ACTTTGGGGGGCTGCAGGTGAGGAAGTTAAATGTCTGAATGCTGCCCAGAGCCACACATAAAACGAGCACACCAGGAAGAAGGTTTCTAGCTTGACCTTCTCCCTGACATGCAAATTGTTCTATATGGGGGAGGGGGTAATCTTATGGGGAGGACCACTCAGGCATTTGGTTCCCACCCACCTACATTCTGAAATGGTACCGCCCAACGACCAATTCATCATGTGTGGTCTTAGCACATCTGTTTTTTATGTAAAACTACCAGAATCTCTTTGATCAGTCAACAGCATGTGGAATTCTTACAGTGAAACTACAAAGCTTTCTCACTCAGCAATGTTACCGAAAAAATCCAAACTTGGGTAAAGCACAATGCAACCATCTAACTGCTTTCCTAAGCACTCTAACCTTGGACCCACATCCACCATTTGAGTCCTGTAGGACAGCCAGGGTCTTGAACCAAAGACCCTGGTGGTATCCCCAAACCGTCATGGTAGCTTACAAGCTTAGGGACCTGCTTGTCTCATATCTGCTGCATTGTAGCCTCATCGAGAGCCAGCGTGGTGTAGTGGTTAAGAGCAGTGGACTCGTAATCTGGTGAACCAGGTTTGATTCCCTGCTCCTCCACATGCAGCTGCTGGGTGACCTTGGGCTAGTCACACTTCTCTGAAGTCTCTCAGCCTCACTCACCTCACAGAGTGTTTGTTGTGGGGAAGGAAGGGGAAGGAGATTGTTAGCCGCTTTGAGACTCCTTAGGGTAGTGATAAAGCGGGATATCAAGTCCAGACTCCAAACTCTTCATCACCACTGTGATGTTCAGTGAAGGTTCCTATCAAGGAATCAAGGGAGCAATACTTTGCATGTGGTGCTGAGCCAAATTGCCTCTCCCCATTTTGCTGAAAACCACAGGAGGAGATACTGCTCTTACAGATTTCCCACAAGCAACTGGGTGGCCACTGGGAGAACAGGATGCTGGACCAGATGGGCTGCTGGCCTGATCCAGTAGGTAGATAATCAGTGGAACTAACCTTCCCTGCTTTCTGTTCAAGGAAGCCTTTTTCTTAGATCAAAGAGTTTTCGGTCAGTGATGGGATGCAATTAGATGCAACTCTGTCAAAATACCACAAATTGTTCTTTAAAAAACCAACCAACCAACCAACCAAACAAACAAACAAACTTTGATGGAATATTCAAGACTTTTCTTTTGGTCCTGAAAGACTTTAGGTTTTTATAGAGCCATTGGCACATCCCTTACTTACAATGTCCACATGGGTCACTTCCAGAAGAAGAAGAAAAATTACAAGGCCACACATTCAGTTTGAAAGATGTGCATTCTTTACAACAGCAGCTTGGAACTAGCGTTCCAAATTATCTGATTCATCACTGGCTAATATCGTAGCTGCAAACAAACAGGGCTCCGCCCTACCGGCATCTCCAACTCTCAAGGGTCAGGACTATGTATGCTAACCAAATGCACATCCAACTCTGTCTCTCGCTCTCGCTCTCTGTCTCTCTTTGTAGATAACCGATCGTTGGTCCTCTCTGGTTCATCCGTTTATAGTCATAATTTTGGCTGTGTTTTAAGAGCCATTACAGCTGTGCTGGACACACCACACTGTCCTCAACGTGATTCAGATGAATAATTGCATTCCATATCATCTCCAACAGCTTTCTTTCTCTCACACCCTCCCACCCCCACCTCAGATTTAGAAACGTGGAGCTTACATGCAGGGGATCTTAGAGGAAGGGGTGCAAGCCTTTTCCACTTGTGCATCGAGGGACCCCCATAAACCAGAGCAGATCCCCATTGCCCTTGTTGCCTCATTGGTACAGGCACCGCTCCAAGCTTTTTATGGGAGATGAGAATCGTGGGCTGACATGCTGCAACCCCATCTGGCCCATGCCCTCCCCCTGGCCCATGCAGCACAGGCTTTCGTTTCTTGACCAGAAGAAGGTTGGGAAGATCCAGCCCTTACACGTTATATCTTGCCTGTAAAAAAAAATCACGTACATGTTTATAAATGGAGCAGAAAATTTAGAGAAGTGTTGAAAGAGGAGCTGATGGATTCTTGGCCATTTCCCCAAAGCATTCATTTGCTAGACCTGCCCGGTGAGATGACATGTTAACTGAAACATGCCTTTATGGTTGGCCATTTGTGCTTCATGGTCAACCTTAAAATAAGAGGAGTAACAAGATTGCAAACGGGTCCTGAACCCCAGTCATGGTATAGAAATGACTGAGCTCAAATCTGCCTACAAGTCTCTGCCTATATAAGCTGCCGGGATGCCATAGAATCCTTCTCAGGACTCTGTAACCGCCCCCTCTCAGGGAGAGCCACATGTTACACTTTGGCCATGTGTAAAGTTAGCCTGATCGATCCCTTCTCCTTTGAAAAGTGTTGTTCTTCTTACATTTCTAGCCCACTTTCCCTCCAAGGAGCTCAAGGTGGCATACATGGTTTTCCTCCTCCTCATTTTATTCTAACAACACTGCTGTGAGGTAAGTTAGACTGAGAGTGAATGGCTGGACCAAGGTCACCAAGTGAGCTTCATGGCTGAGTGGAGATTTGAAGTTTGGTCTCCCAGATCCTAGTCCAACCTTCTAACCGCTACACCACTGGTGGCTGACAAGTAACTGGCATACTGTTAAGCTGGCATACCAGACAAACAATATGTGTGACTAGTCAGGAGAAGGCAAGATACATAGATGCTTGGATGTGATGCCCTCAGCCTGGCTATGGGATGTTCATAAGGCAAGCATTGAAATAAGGCACTTGTGGGGCCCTATAGGAGCCAACTCCTGGGGGCCAAGGTCCTTTCAGGTACGCCAAGAAAATATTTGAGGGGGCCAGGGCCTCCCAAACTTGATGGGCATTGCCATTTAAATTGTGTGTATGTGCCACATCTTGTGATCAGTTATGCAGGTCAAGGCTTACTGGGTCCCCTGCAAATATTTTATTCAAGTTGGCACCCCTGTGGGACCCCAAGAGAGTGTGAGGGAAGAAGGCCTCCTTACACTCTGGAAGGTGGGGCCCAGGCTTTGCCTTGCAGTACCTTTTGAGTGGGCAGAATTTGGCTCACCCAAGGTGCAGATTTGAGAAAAGCTTCCTGCACTTCCCATTTCCTCTGCAACTTTTATCAATAAAATGTGGCCCTCGTTCAACTCAAGGCTCATCCAGACTTCCTTTTGTGGCACGTTTCTAGGCACAGGTCTGCTGTGTCTGTGTGCTCCACCACCCAGCACTATCCCCACAAAATACCACTCTTTAATGCTGATTTGGAACAAATGGCAATTTGGGTTTTCTGTGGATTCCAATTCAGAAAAAAAAAAAGTGCTCAGACCCAGTGCTTTAAAGCACACACCTGTGCTTAGAATGCACAGGACAAAAGGTAAATGTGGATAAGCCCTCATTTTGTGATTCTCATCTCTTTATTCCTGGGTCACAGGTTCTTAGACTGCTTCTTTTGAAGGGTCCAGTTCTTGTGGTTGTAAATTGTGTCAACACTGTCAGTTTTTTAGGTGTCTGGACAATGGGGCTCCTGCACCTTTCATAGTTGCATAGAATTTCAGCAATTTTAGCTTGCGATGCACTCCTGCTGGAATCCCCTCATGCACACCACTACTAAAGTTGCAGGAACCCAGTGTGAGCCAGTGTGGTGTAGTGGTTAAGCACGGTAGATTCGTAATCTGGGGAACCGGGTTCGTGTCTCCGCTCCTCCACATGCAGCTGCTGGGTGACCTTGGGCTAGTCACACTTCTCTGAAGTCTCTCAGCCCCACTCACCTCACAGAGTGTTTGTTGTGGGGGAGGAAGGTTAAGGAGAATGTTAGCCACTTTGAGATTCCTTCGGGTAGTGATAAAGCGGGATATCAAATCCAAACTCTTCTTCTCCTCTTGTACATCTGGACACTCTAGTTCGGCCTTTCTCAACCTGTGGGTCCCCAGATGTTGTTGGACTACAACTCCCATCACCCCTAGCTAGCAAGGCCAGAGCTCATGGATGATGGGAGCTGTAGTCCAACAACATCTGGGGACCCACAGGTTGAGAACCACTGCTCTAGTTGCTTTCCACTGGGATAACAGGTTGGCGGTCAACCCCAACAAATATCTGGCAGAAAAACATGTGCTAACATCATTACTGGGAAGGAGAAATCCCAAAGGGAATATCTCAGCTTGAAAGGAACTCTCTGCTACAGTACTTGCTGTGTTGTTCCCTTCCCACAAGGTAATGGTTTTTTTCCCTCTTGGGGAAGAGAGTAACAGGGAACATAACAATTTAAGGATGTAAGCAAAATCACAGTAGGGAAAATCTGCTGTTGGCAGGTAATGTGAGCCTCAAATCTGCGTGCAAAAATTCAAGCAGGTATGCTCATCTCTTTGACCACCCCTGTGTCAACAATATAAGGACATTAAGGACTATCTGATCCCTTATGCTCCATCTTGATAACTGAGATCTTCTGGTGGGCCACTTCTGGTGGTTCCCCATACCCCTGAGGTTTGGTTGGCCTTCACTGGGGACTGAGCCTTTAGTGTGGAAAGCCCAACCATATAGGAGATCTAGGACAGATATGAGAAAATACTTATTCACACAGCTCCTAATCAAACTATGGAACTCCCCTCGGATGCAGTGATGGCCACCAACTTGGATGGCTTTAAAAAGGATTAGACAAAGTCATGGAGACGAGGGCTATCAATGACTACTAAGCTGTACCTCCACAGTTGGAGGCAGCAAAGCTTCCCAGTACCAGTTGCTGGAAACCATGGGAAGGGAGAGTGCTCTTGTGTTCTGCTTGCTGGCTTCACACAGGCATCTGGTTGGCCGCTGTGAGAACAGGATGCTGTACTTGATGGACCAATGTCTTCATCCAGCAGGCTAGCCCTACATTCTTATGTTAACTCCCTATCAGTCAGAGGGTCAGTAGAATGATAGAGTCATGGCATTGTAGTGCTGGATGGTACCATGAGGGTCATCTGGTCCAACCTCCTGTGATGCAGTAAACTTTTTGTTCTACATGGGGCTCAAGCCCACGACCCTAAGATTAAGAGTCCCATGCTTTAGCAACTGAGCTATCTTCCTTGGTGTCAGGATACTGTCAGCAGCTCCCAGCTGGTTGCCCAGGAAAGTATAAAGACAAGGAACAGTTTCCTACAGTCCGCTTTTATTTCAAACTTTACAGAGAGAGGCTTAGAGAACCCAGCCTCTTGGATAATGGCGTTGTCCTGAATGAATCTCCACCCCTCGTCTCTCCCACTTCCTCATTCGTCATCATCATCACCCCCTCTATGGGTGCCCTCTGTCTTGCAGCTCTATGCTCTCACTGGGTTCTGGGAGATGGTGGATCTGGAAGGCTTTCTAAAGACACCGTGTCAGCCAGCTGTTGCTCTGGCTCTCCCATGATTTTCCAGCTTTCCCCCTCATCTGCCTCTGAGCTGTGACCTCCTGCAAGCCCCTGTTGTAAATCTATACTGTCTTCCCCTTCCTCCTCCCTGGAAGGGTCCGGATGGGGAGGCGTTCTCCACCATTCCTCTTCTGCCCTGTCCCTGACACTTGGCTTCTTTTAGACATCTTCTGGAAACTGTGCGGTTCAGATAGGCCTTCACAATATCAGATGCCTCTTTTTAACCAACCAGTATTTACTGATGCTTCATTGATGTTTCTCATGAGGATTTTATGGATGCCTTTATGGATTTTACTACAATTTTGTATGTTGTATCCAACTTTGATATACTTTTATGAAATTGTGAGTTATAAAGAAAATAAACAAACTCTAGATGCATTTTAACTTTGGGTGAATGCTTTGCATAGCACAAAAGGATGGGTGCAAGCTACATTTATCCAGAAATGTCCTCCCAACAATCACCACCAGAGATCTGAACCCAGGTTTACAATGTGTACACAGTTCTCATGGGGGTGATTTTACCTAGCAGGGTAAGTTATAAGCACTCATTTCCTCTTATTCCTGGGGATGGGAGAAAAATTCAATTTATTTTTCATATGAAGGTGAACTTACAATATTTGTGATTTTCAAAACAGCATATGAACAGAAACAACCATTGACATCCACCCTTTTCTGAATTTTGCGGTGCAGTCCTGCAGTCAAGCAAAGTGAACAAAGATGCATATACCAGGGTAAAGCGTGCATATAACTGCATATATTAGTGAAAGTAATATACAAAAATTAATTAAGCCATGAGAATCTGCTTGCAAAAATATGTATATCTGTCAAACCAGCATATAAAAACATGCTTTGGGGGAGAAAATTGCCCTAGAATTCTGAAGAAATTCAATAAGAAGTTTTTTAGAAAAGAAAATTGCTGCAGAAATGTAGAGAATTGAACTTTAGATTGGAAAAATGAGTCACTGAGAAAACTGATAATTGACATATTTGCCCTTTCCCCTTCTTCGCAACAAAGTAATTTTTCCCAAGGGTACTTTGCAAAAGAGAAAAAGTCATTGGACTAGTTTTATACATCACCCCATTTCCTTCATACATTTGCTCATTTTCAGATTTTTCTGAGGGCTAGCAACTTGCTTCTCTACATAAACTGAAATTTTGACATTAGATTCTATAACTCTCATAGCCATGCAGATTTCTTACCATTTGATAAGAAACAGACAAGTATTATAACAGAATTCAGTCAATAGCACCATTCAGTAACCATCCTTTCAATTCTGCATGTGCTACTTTATGACAGGAAATGGGAAAAGCGGGGATATATATTTTCTATTTTTTAAAAAAGTCAATATAAAGAAGAGGCTAAAGCTCATTGCCATTGCCAAGAAAAAATATATTTTATCTATCTGCTCTTAAGTTTTTTATAATCTCAGGAACAGCCTCAATACAACCTTTTACATGCTTCTCATGAACATTAGTGAAAACAATTCCACATCAGTCATATCCAAACATTTTAGGAATTTAATTATTTTCTCTATCTGCAGGACCCCAACTGACCTTAGCAGGTCGAGGGTTCGTGCATTAAGTGAAAACACAAAATTGCGTGGGATGATCATGACCCCCACAAAAATGCTCGCCCCGGGGTCATACATTAAATACAAACCATTCATTGTAAGTTGATTACCTACTGATAGCAACGTTGTACTGTTATTTCAACACAAATGATGCTAAGGAGTCAAAAGGGAAAGCAAACTATCATTAAAAGTGGAGCAAAAGGGAAGAAAACGCATTGATTTAAATGGGTGGGATTTTATTTATTTATTTTTAGTTGTTCATAGCCCACCTTTCAGGGTACAAATCCTTCAAAGGCAGCCTACAATTCACATTAAATACTTTGTAAAACACACACACAGTTAGCAATAACAATATATAGAAGGTCATCTAGATCCTTCCCAGAGGGCAGCTGGTGACTGATGGTCCAGACTGGGATGGCGTAGGGGGATAGTCCTCTGAGGCACCTGTCATCCCTCCCAGTGGGCAGTTTAGTGGTCGATGAACAACTTGCTCTATAGAAGTTACAGAGTCCCTGAAGAAAACCAGTGTTTGAGGGCTTGGACTGAATCATATTTGACCTCCACACATCACATCACAGAACACCTGTTGAACAAACCTCTCCAGGACCTCTCCCTTTCTTCATTGTTGTCACATGCAGCAGAAGAGGGTGGTAGAATCCTGAGGTTTGGACTGTACCACTTGAGAGGGTTCTGCTGAGGTGGGCCATTTTTAAAAAATGCTCCCCCGTGTTGCAACGCACAAACGAAACCTACCTCAAGTCGAACAACCTGGCAAGGGAGAGGGGAAAGTTCTAACCTGGCTTCCTCCATGCCATCTTAGTGTTCTACTTGTATGGGTTCTTGAGCACTTAAAAAACAACAAATTACTCCCCCACCTGTAGTCTGAGGTTCTACCATCCATGCTACCACACCAAGACTCTAGCACTTCTTCTCCTTGTGTAGATCAGGTCACAAGCTGCCCTGGATTCCATTCTTGGGAGACACAGAAGAAATAATAGTTCCTCAGCAGCCATAAACTGCTTCAGCAGGCCAAGGATGCAGTGGTCAAAAGTTCACTGCCACATTTCTCCTTGTATTCCAAAAACTAATCACAAGGGATTAGTCACTACCCTGGCTAAGAGAGATTCAGGATGACTACACACCATACATTTAAAGCACATTGCTTCCCCTAAAGAATTCTGGGAACTGCAATTTACCCCCCTCGATCTACAATTCCCAGTACTCTTAACAAACTACAATTCCCAAGATCCTTAGGGGGGGAGTCATGTGCATCAATTGTGCTTCAAATGTATGGCATGCATGAAGCCCAAAGCTGAGCTCACATTCCCTATAGCCAGTAATTGTACCTTTTCTGGAAGGTCTGGTTCACATTTTAAAAGCTGTGGCTTCAACGCTGGTCTCTCACAGAAAGAATTGCGTGGTCTCACATGATTTTCTGGGTTCTCTCCATTTTTGTGTGTGCATGAGAGAAATTTCTAACCTTTCAGGTAAACTCAATCCTCATCATGGTCTTTCTGATTTAGAATCACCATCATCATCCAGAACAAAAAAAGTCAACTCTAAGAAAAAATGAAATCTAGTCTTCTCTGTCGCGCTTGCATGCCACACATAAAGAAAATCAGCTCACACACCAAAGCCCAAAATCATATAATATAACATATATGTGCATGTTCTGTATTCCATACACACAGAGCAGCCGCTGACAAGCACAAACTCTCCAGATGTGTTATGTAGCTGCTTCAGTTGGCTGTTCCTTCTGCAAGGCCAAAAGAAATATTAATCATTTCATTTAATGCTAAGGGGATGGGACCTCCTCTCATATTTCAGAAAGGGGCTGGGAAGTAAAGGAAGCCAAAGATTTTCCTATTTAAGGCCAGAGCAAAGGAATGTCTGTGGCTGAGTTGTGTGAAGGGCCCGGTGGCTGAAAGGGCAGGAAACAATTGATGGTGCTCTTTTGATTTTTCTTTCCCCCCACTTTTTTTCCTTCTCTCTTTTGCACATAGAGTCTCATGTCTAATATTTTTTAGACATGATGAGCTGTGTGCAGGGAGCCGTTTTGCTTTTCCTTGCTGTGTTGCAACCCTCAGTTATTTTGGCACAACAAGATGGTGAGTAATTCCCACTTAAGATTTTTCGTGGATTTTAACTGCTCTGTTTTTCAACACTTTGTTTCTCCTCTTGCCATAAAATCAGCACTGAGCAAACCCATTTTCCTGTCGCCGGTTGGAGCTATCAAAGAGGGTCCTGCTCTGCTCTGCTTTATTCTGTAGCATGTAGTACTAGCCTAAATAAAACAAACTTTATCTGAGCTTACGCATTCTTGTGCACCGTTTTCTTAGCTTAAGTTCTTTGCATCCTTTGCTTTGCTTGACAAGTTCTGGAAACTTTTTAATCTTCCTTTCTTTTAGCTGTTGGAGTAAGATTTGTGAATACTAGTTCAGCAAAATCTGGAAGTCATTTTGGCATATTTAACGAGGCTGTATCTTCAGCTCCTTGCAACATGACTGTTTTTTTATATAGTAAAGTATTGCTTTGGTATACAGGAACATGTACCTTTTAAAAGAAAACTTTAATGTCAAAGGAAACACTTTTGCAAACCAGAATGGTTGTTCCAGCTTTGGGGAAAGATTTTCCAGCTGTGTGTGGTGTGTGGGTGTGTTACTTCTTAGACATAAGCAGAAGGATGGAACATACTGCTCTAATATTGTACCATTATTCACCAGAGGCTGCTTCAAGCTTCTACATGATCTGCTTGCAAACTCCTTTAAGATTAAGCAGAGGGAGACTTACATCTAAGTAATTATACCTAGGATTGGGGTGCTCTTGGTGCATGCAAAGAAAAGATCACTTGAAAATGAATTGGTACTAGATGTCCTATACCTTTTGTAGTACAGATGCTTTGTGACCTGTTTTCTTTTTAGATCTTTTTAATCAGTGTATACATTTTGAGCTTTGAGGTGTGCTATGAGGTGTACCAGAAGAAACTGTGCAACGTTTTATTTATTTGTGCACAGAACTGGGTCGATGAAACTGGACACAAACTATTCATCACCACCAAACCCACTCACGCAATCCATAGCTGTAATTATAGGAAAAGGGTTTTTTGGAACATTCTGAAATCCACGTCCAAAACACGCATCACGTTTCCTGACAGAATTCAAGTTCTGTACAAGCCAGGCACTCTAGAGACCATAAGAAAAGGAACCACCAATAATAATCTTCATTACCTAGAAAAAACTGCATTGCTGAAACACGTTACTTCAGATCTTATGATTTATCTGAGATGCATGTAATAGCAACACATTCAGCAAACAAATGCTCAGATTTCAGTGTTCACCTAAAGGACACAGTCTGGCTGCAATTCTCTTCCCACTTACTTGGGATTAAACCCCATTTAACTTGATGGCACTTACTTCTGAGCAGACATGCAAAGGCTTGCACCCTCAGATAGCTATCCCCACCACGCTCCCCAATATTGATCATTCATGTCTACTGATTTTGTGGTTTCCCCCTGTATGCTTTGTCTTTCATGCAACTATTTGCAGTGTGGATGATGTCAGATGTTCAATTCACATCTTAGTGAATATTAAATATGAGTATCCAACACCATCCCTTCCTTGGTTAACCATCAATCATCCATCTTCCAAACTGCAAGAAGGAAAAATTAACCATTTCCACCAAAGAAGCATGTGTTTTTTCAGTGCAATTGCATGAAGGAAACTTCTCTGCATTTTGGTTGCTTTCCATATTCCATTGCCTATTTCACATAGATATTTGTGCCCTTATGGTTATGACTATGGATTCTGACATGGTGTTTGGTTCTAGTTGGGAGTCCACATTCTGGGCAGATGTAGCAAAGGATTCAATGGTGCAGCCCAAAATGACATTTTTGCAGATTGTCTTGTCATGGGTGTTTCATTATTTCAGTGCCAGGTTAGATTTAAGAGGCAAGGACAAAGAGATAAAATTACCCTCGTGAGACTGGGTTTTTGTTGGCATGGAATAGCTCAAACGCAATATCAGGTAAAGTACTTTCTTAGCAATGTATCTTTCCATACAATGCAAGTTTCTAGGCTTCTGTTCTAGAAGCAATCTCATCTTTCCTCACTCTTCCTCCCATTTTTTCCTTGCTCCCCACAATGGACAATGACAAATCAAAGGCTGTTCAAAACCTATTTAGAGAGACAATGTAGGCAATGAAGCAGCAGTTTATGGTTGGTGGGTGTTAGTGTTTATAAGGATGAAAAAGAGAGTTTCTAATCACATTATAAAGTGCTCTGGATGTGTCAGAAAGAATTTCCATTTGGTCTATATCAAATTTAAGTCAGTGCACTGTTTTTCTTAGCATATCTTGCCAACTGACAAGCTCTGGCAAGACATTAAGGAAACTGCTGAGGATATACAGAACTGAGAATGATCAGATGTAGCCCTACGCAATGTTCTTCTTCTTTTCCATAATAACTAAAGAGGGGAATGAAATAGACTTGCACCATGATTCTATCCTACCTTCCTATGGTGACAGTCACATCACCACCAGTTGCCCACTTTGTGACATCTACATCTGGCAGCTGAGATACCCTATCCTTTATTCTATGCTGATATAGGTCATCTTAGAATCAGGCTACAATGGCATCTTTGGTCTTAGTTCTGGCTATTGGGGAATATCTGAGTATTTGAATGATGGTTCTTTCACCAGGGCTCTTTCTTCCTTGCAAGTCTTGTTTAATTTGTGGTTCACCAAGATGAAGTTTCCTGGTTTGCATGAACATTTGTTTGAGTCAAGTCTTCTCCCTCACCCCTGCCACCGCTCCAGCTCTAACTAACCAAAGCATCAGCACCTATAATGAAGGGCCATCTAGTGGTTGCTAATTCTCCTCCAAAAGAATACTTAATCATCCTATGCTCCAATTAGTATTGCCCACTGTACCACATGAGCCTCGTACCTAGATCCATATAAATGATGAACATTTGCTATATTGGTTAAATAGACCAAAAAGACTTGTCATCCAATAGCACATTCAGAAAGTGATAAGTAAAGGTGTTTTCTTTGGGGGGGAGGTGAGGTTGCCCTTGGAGTAATCTCAGCACTATCAATAACTGCAAAGCTTTAGCTAAATTGCAAATGAAAAGATGCAACATTTAATAACTGGACTGCAGCCATGCTAGATAGGCTTGGGGATTAGTGCCAGCCTTGCCCCTTCATGTTTGAAGCCTCCTTATGGGTGCTTCAAGAACAAGTTATGTGATTAAGAATTGCTTACATCTAATAGCTCTGCTTTCCATTTCAAAGCATTCAAGACATAAGGGGCAAATTGAGTCGTGCTTGGTTCTTGTCGGCACGTTTTCTGAAAAGATATGACCCCATTTGGGGTTTTGCCAACATTCAGATGTACAATAGAAGCATGTTCACTGGGGAGCAATCAGTTAAAGTTGCTTTTGAAACAGAACAAAAACATTTGCAACTATCATTCCCTCCCCCATCCCTTACATCAGCCTCCTCTGGGATCTGATTTATATGATACCTCTATGTTGCGGTTGCCCATTCCTTATGGCTTAATCCCACAGCACAGCAATAATGTTTAAGTTGGATAATCATGTAGCATTGTCATGTCAGGTAGGATCCCACCAGCACCACACCTTCCTGGGTGTTGGTGGCAGTGGATGGATAACGTTCCACACAACCTATCCATCCCATCTGATTATCCTATTGGGTTGGGATCTATCCATGGGGAAGCACCAGCCACATGCAACAGAGTTAATGTATCAATCAGCTTTAGATTTCCATTCCTGAAGCAAAAACTTGGATTGAGTCTTATGTCACCTGCAATCAGGATTATGTCGTCTGAAATAAGAATATAATGGACTCTATCCAACTTGTGCAACAGACACCTGTACATGCAATGGAATTTTCTATACCTCTCTGCGTCCCTTCCAGCTTACCACATGCTCTCAAAAGCAGCTCTGGGGGTTTGAGGGCCCCTCCAGAAGAAATGTGGAGGAAAAAAGACATCTCATTGCCCAAGCAGAACTCCACTCACACTACGCTGGGTACAACCCCATGTGATCTTCTGGTTTGTCAGTTACAATACAAGCATTTGATGACCCGCACAAAGCCCTGACATTGATTATAGTTGATGGCATTTAAGCTTTAAATGGTGCAACTGAGAAATAGGCCAAACGCAAAACTTTCCCCATGATACAGGCAAGTAGCATGGATGGACCACATTCATTGGATACATCTGAGAGCCATTGGCTTAAGACTACTTCATGCATTACCTTTTGTAACTGGTTCTGCTTCTCGTAATACATGTGTGTACAGTGGTACCTCGGGTTACAGACGCTTCAGGTTACAGACTCCGCTAACCCAGAAATAGTACCTTGGGTTAAGAACTTTGCTTCAGGATGAGAACAGAAATCACGTGGTGGCGGTGCGGCGGCAGCGGGAGGCCCCTTTAGCTAAAGTGGTACCTCAGGTTAAGAACAGTTTCAGGTTAAGAACGGACCTCCAGAACAAATTAAGTTCTTATCCTGAGGTACCACTGTAGTGTCATTTGTAAAAGACTTCTGTGTGGTTTCAATTAGGGGTGGGGAACCTTAGGTATGAGGGCCAAATGTGACCATTCAGACCACTCTACCTGGCCCTCGGGACTAACCCCAGGCTACACATCCTCCTCAGCCACTCATCCCTCTCCCCAGGCAACATCCCTCACCAATGCAACTTCGCACCCACTTTGAGTGTTTTTGCCTGGCTGAAATGTGTCCTTGCTTGCTTGGCTGGGTGAAGCATAGAGAGGCATGTGCGAGTCTTAAAACACTTGTATGAATATGGATTGGGCTAAGCGTAAGCAACCTATTTTCTCAATTATTGAGTTAGTTGTTCAGAAAGGCAAGCCTTTCCATGTGTTGCTTGAAACCAGGGATGGGAATGAAAGCTGCCAGCTTTCAATCTGCACTTGATTTGGAATCTTTGTTTCCCAAGGCTAAGCATGAAAAGCTGTCATTAGTTCACTGTGGGGTGTGTGGAGCTTGTAGACGGCTCTATGCCCAGAATGCTATTTGCCTTCTGTTTTCATTCTCTAATGTGGGAAGCGCAACCTTTCCCATCTCCGCTCAACCAAGCCCTCTTCATCTCCACCCAAGGCCTAATCATGGACAACTCATTTCTTTCTTGCATTTTGTGTGGGGATGTGAATTACTGGGAGATGGCTGAGCAAGACATGCTTGAGACTCCCTGCTGTAAAGGCTCCTGAGTAAGAGCGCACAGCTGCGCATAGCTGGCTTGAGCAATGCTGATTGCCACATTTGAAATGAGAGCATTCTTGAAAGCGAGGGCCTTGAGGGGATTAAGAGTGTTGCACAATGTAACCTTCAGTACAGAAAATGGTCTGTGGCTTCCTGTGATTTAGAAAAGTCCAAATCTAAATTAAGTTCCAGGGAATCCACATCCTTTAGGTGAGTAGGTGTTCTTGGAAATTAGGCCAGCTTCATAAGTTTGAGGAGGCCTATGGTTTGATGAAAATTAGATAATTACCCTTCCCTTGCATGACTTTCCATATGTGCTTTTTGACTCGAGCCCAAGATCCATCAAACATTTTCCTTAAGAAGCTGGGGAAAGAATCCATTGCTTTATTGCAACAGGGTAGCGCTGAAGTTTCTTTTTCACTGGCGCAGATATTATTTTACTTATTTTTAACAATGTTGAATCAATGCCATAAGGTGCTCGATAGATCTTGATGCTATAAGCAGAACCTCTCTCCCTTTCCAACTTTCCAGCTTAATCTTAGACTTCGGTGGTTAAAACAGAAGATGGAGAGCAAGAATTCAGATGGAGGGCTTGTTTCTTTCTTTCCAAAAGATGTCGTCTAGTCTAATTCTGGCATTCATGTTAGACATGCTATCAGTTATATATATTGGAGAGCCTTTTGCTGATTCTCCCCCCCCCCCATGTTTTGGTGACCACTGGGAAGTCTAATGCTCATTCAAAGTGACAAGGTGTTAAAATAGAAAGTTGGCTGTGCCCTGGTCTTCTGAAATATAGACACTTTCTCTGCTAATACAGTTGCTTGGTTTGTTGAGGATCTCAGGCTGTTGTATTCTTGATTTCTACCATGATCTAAGTCATTGGTCTTAATTTCTTGTGTCATGACCTGCAACTGGGTCACAAGCCAGTTCTAGGTTGACATGCTCAAGAGAATGAGAACAGATTTAGGAAGGAGGATATAATATGTAAGTCCAACAATTAAAAGTGAGTCCTGGGCCATCAAGGTGACATGTTAAGCTCCAAGTAGATGCAACCCAGGCTTAAACTTGTATTGCTGTTCAAGCTGCTAGCATATGCTTAAAAACCTCCCTATCCCTGTGAAATTTAATTTAACAGCCGTTTATTTCTCAGGGTGTCCAAGTTGGCATGTTTGCTTAGGCTATAAAGCAATGTGAACAACCCATACATTCTGTGGCCAAATTTTCACCCAGTGACACTGAGCAGAGCAAGGACAGCTGCCAACAAAATGGCTCAAACAAGGCCTTTTAAGGCTCTGTGGTCCTCGGCCCATTCACTCTGAAATTTCAGTGCATTCAGGATGTCTATTCAGTCTATAAACCATGAAACTTCCCCAGTGTTTCCTATAGAATCCTAGATGATTAGTTGTTTCACTTTGTTGTTCTGTTCTATCTTTGCATTTATTTATCACAATTTTTTTGGCATTTTTTAATTATCTGCTCCAAAGGCCTCAGGTTATCTTATTATCTTATTATAATCAAACAGAAGCCCTACAGGGTAGATGATAGGAAGGGGTAGTCTGAGCAAGACTTTGGACATAGGTCTCCCTAGATATGACCAATCATTATTTTTATAGATTTATTATGTTTCCATACCACGTTTTCCTCCAATGAGTTCAAGATGGTGTACATGGTTCTCCCTTCTCTATATTATCCTTGCAACAACCCTGTGAAGTAGATTAGGTTGAGAGGCAGTGACTGGCCCAAGGTCATCCAGTGAGCTCACACACAACATTCTCCATGGATCTGGTCCAGTTCCAAGAATTATTAGTCTAACTCTATTGCCTAAGCAATTCTGAAAGAATTTAAGTCCATAATCTGACACCAATTTTAAAATAAAGGAAACTCAATGGGGAAAATCCAAGCGTTCTGGTTTCACAACTATTCCTGTAAAAGGATATGCTGTTGAGTGGCATGTGGTGGTTGATTTTCTAATTTTTGCACATTGCTGAGGTCTAAAGACGTGATGAATTTGGCTTGTCTTCCTCAAAATGTTAACTAACAGCTTTTAATTAGTCTTTGAATCTATGGATCCAAGAGCCAAAGTAATAAATTATGTGGCCTGCTCAGAACATTTCTTCAACAAGCTTGAGCCTTAATTTAATGAGAACACCCTCTTCTATTTTTCATCCTCCTCTTTCTTAAGCCAGTGCATTTTGCCCAAATGATGGATTAAGGATACAATAAAGATTTTACAGTTGTGTTTTATGGGCAGAACTGGACATTACAACAAACACAAATGTGTTGCTAGGGGTGGAGAAGAATGTTTGATGCTATTCCATTCATTTGCCATTTCTATTTCATAGTGTTCATTTTGAAATTAATGAATCTCGAACTCCCCATTTAGTTAAGTTTAGCTTATTATTTGGTCTGAAATGAATGACCACCACATGGAGTGCCAATCTTACTATCTTCCTAGTGAGGTCTAGTTTTAACAGCAACCAAAGATATGAGGTGGGGCGAAGAAACTGTGTTGTGTTAGATGTTGCAGTGGAGGAAAGAGACATGGAGCAAGATGGTAATGTCTAGTTCTATGTTATGCTTAGGGGCACAAAAATATCAGTAGTAGAACATGTTTGGACCCTGGGTGAGAACCCAGAGGCTAAGAGTGGAGTGTACCAGAAGGAAAATGAATTTCTATTGGTTTATATATATATATAGTAACTTTGTATTAATGTAACATTTTTATATGTAACTGTGTATTTTTGTAATATGCAGTTGCCTGTTGTTGCTTCTTTATTGCACACCACTTAGAGATATTTTAATATATTAAGCAGCATAGAAATTAAAGAACCATAATCAAATTTTAAAAATAACATAAATCCAGCAAGAAGAATGAAAAACAGCTTTGGGTCTTCCTCCTTCCCCCCAAAAAGCTCAACAACTTTGGTCAATCCAATGGGTAGATCACTGCCAGTGTTTTTATAATGGGAGTAGATTGCAGTCTCTTGGGAGTTTTACATCCCTTACCTAGCCCAATCCCTGCAATGCAGGAATCTCATGACAGACAGTCGTCCAACCTCTACTTTAAAACTTCCAGGGAAGAAGAGTGCACCACCTCTTGTGGGAATCTGTTTCACTGTCAATCAGCTCTTACTGTCTGAAAGTTCTTCCTGAAGTTTAGTTGGAACCTTCCTTCTTGCAACTTGTATCCATTGATTCAGGCCCTAGCCTCCAGAGCAGGAGAAAACAAGCTTGCTCCATCTTCTATGACAGCCCTTCAGATATTTGAAGATGGCTATCCTATCTCCTCTTGCAAAATGAAGTTTCAGCACACACATACACCTCTCTCCCCACCATATTGTTTTAATTCACAGTGATCCTAAATACATTTGCCTATACAATATGGCAAAGTAAGTGTCACCAATTGTTGCATAACTCATGTGATGTTTCATCCTTGGGCTCCAGCTTTATATTCAAATTGTGATCGAACAGCCAAAGGTTCATTGCAGAGTGGTGGCCTTGATTCAAAGTAGACTCTTGTTCCAGGTGAACATCTTTTCTATTGCAGTCTAGCTATTGACACAAGTATCAATCACAACATTTCAGCTAGGCTATGAACTGGATCAACTTTTTGTTTTTACTAAATTTCCCTAAACTTCACTTTTTGGTGACTTTGCATATGCTGCACTTCTCAGTGATTGAGGTCATGGCATCATGAAATCTACTTCCCTATCTCCTGGTTCAAATCTACTGCTGAAAGTAACATATCCATTTTTTCTTAAGAATAGTGGTTCCACAATAATTCCAAATCATTGTAGATATGTGCACATTCATCTTTTAATGTTATGCCTCCCCCATCAAAGCCCCTAGATAACAAAGACATACAACAGGGGCAATTCTTTGCCAGTCATAATTCTCCCTGTTGCATGAAAAGCTACATGTACTCTTTTTTATTTTATACTCCTAACACCAGTCAGCTGGGTCCGATTTCCAAAGCTTGGAAACTGTTTCATGTCAAGATGACAATGGAAAACATGATATAACCCTTCAAATAACAGTCATTTTGTAGATTTAGTTTGGGAGTGCTTCAACCACTGGGTTTTTTTGGCTGGGTTTCATGAAACACAGCAAAAGAGATTCCTTTCCTATTAGCTAACAAACCACTTCCATTTTCCAAGATTTCATGTTGAATGAGCACTGCATTATTTTTTAAAGTATTTTAAAAAAAATGTAAGTGAAGAAGAAAGAATATGCAGTGTCCTTTAGACATGCCTACTTCTTCTTCTTAGTTACATAAAATATATACATGAATGCCTGTCAGCTTGGGGGAGGTGGGCAGAGCAAGGGATCATGTTCCAAAACTTACCTCTTATCATTCAGCTGAATTGCTACACCCCTTTGATAACATATTCTTCAGGTACTACAACTTAATGTTTATTTTGCTAGCAACCTTTGTACAAAATGGTTTGTGCCCAGAGGGTTGACGGCACAGGCCTGCACAAGCTGCAAGTCACCAAACTAATCTAGCATAATGGATGCAGTGAGGCTTTGATGGAAATTCAAATACACGGCCTCAAGCACATCCTTTTATGCAGCTTGGTTCTTGCAGGGCTGGACCACCCCCACCTTTGAACATTTGAGTAGTTTCTGAATCAGAAGGCTGAGTACAAATGATCTTCCTCCTATCTCCCATTACAATGCAACTGATACATAGGGTTGCCATATTTCAAACAGTGTTGAGCTATTTTTGTGGAAATACGGTAAAAACGACACTGCCGACATGCTGCCATATGTCTGGATTTTCCCAGATATTTGTCCGATTTCTGCCCGGACACTGCTGCCGACTGGTGTATATTGTATATGTCCGGGGAAATCCTGATGTATGGCAACCCTACCCATGTAACCTGTTTCCTTACCAAGTCATAACTGTGTTGCCAATAATGGGAGTCAGTAGAACAAGATGTTGTTGTTGATGATGATGATGATGATGATTTTCCTAGTGATCAAAACCCAAAGGAATGATCACTTAAAAATACCATAGGTTGAACAAACACCAGAACTACCAAGCGATACCATGCAAGAGGAAAGACTAGTATAGAAATGTATCTGGTTTTTATTGTAGAGAGCTACAATTTCCAGAGTTCCTGGGGAAGAGGGGTTAAACTAATCTGGGAATTATAGCTCTGTGAGGAGAATAGAGGCCTCCTAACAACTACCAGTACCCTTAATCCTCCCAGGATTCATTGGGGAAGCCATGACTGTTCAAAGTGGTTCTCACTGTTTTTTAAATGTGGTCAAGATGGGGGATGGGTCTTTGTTGTGAGAACGCTCATTCCCTATGAACTTCTGTTCCTATTTCTCATGGGTTCACAGTTCACAGAATGAGTTGTAGGCAGCCTCATTTACATTCCAGTTCTGTCATCAATACAGTCTTCACTCCAAACTAGATGCCTATTACAGATGAGGGAATTCCAAGGCATGCAGGCCTTTGTGGACTTTGTACCACTGAACGACACAGCTATGCCACAGAACAAGAGAGTTTCTGAGCTGCTGATCAGTCCAGTCTCCATTCTTGGGTGAAACACACAGGTTCCCATGGCAAGTGGAGATCAGGTATCAAGAGAAAGCAAGCAATCCCAAATTAATTTGCATCCCTGTTTATATAAAGAGTGCCTAGTTTTTCATAATTCCTGTTTCCCATCTAGAAACTGGTGTGTTGTGCCTAAGGATGGTAGCTGAGCTGCGTAGCAGTTGGTTGTAGTTACAGATAGTTGGGGGGACTGGACCAGCCATTATTTGTTTTCTCCTTCCCAGCAGGCCTCAAAGCACCTGAAAGGGCCTCATTTGAATATCTGCTACATCCTCCCATGCGCCATTTTACCAGAGGAAGACATGGATGACTTTCTTCTTTCTTCCCATCCCACCCTTTGCATTTTCAACCATCTGGTCCAGTGTTTCCCAAACTTGGGCCTCCAGCCATTTTTGCACTACAATTCCCATTATCCTTGACTACTGGTCCTGCAAGCTAGGGATGGTGGGAGTTGTACTCCAAAAACAGCTGGAGGCCCAAGTTTGGGAAACCCTGATCTAGTCTGATGAAAAATTTGGGGGTACTCATGACCCGGAAGCTGTACGCCGGCTCCCCCGGCCAATAAAGCGAGATGAGTGCCGCAACCCCAGAGTCGGTCATGACTAGACCTAATGGTCAGGGGTACCTTTACTAAGTGTCTGATAGCTGAGCAATCTCACCACCTGTCAAAGATGGCCTGTGGGCTTAGGGAGATGAGATGGCATACTCACCACTGGGAAACCCAGCAGAACTGAACTCCACACATCAGATTCTGTCATTCATTTTTTGTCAGCTGATAAACAGGTGGCTATGATATGAGTGAAATGACCTCATGAACCAATTTGGGCACCCTGGTGGGCAAAGACTGGCCCAAAGCAACTTGTTCCCCATCCCTGACATAGCTGCATCAATGTAGAAGAAGTTTTGACTCAGAAGCCTTTCAAATGGCCTCCATTTGGTGGTTCTTCAAAAGAGAAAGAAAAAAACCAGGATAAAGGTTCAGGTTGCAACATAGTTTAAGACTATCTCAATCTTAAAAATATTAAGGTACCGCTATAGCAGTTTGATACATTATTTATTTTTAAAGTATCAGTCTGGGATAAAGAAAAACTATCTCCCAATGCCATGCATGTTTAGCTTAGAAGACCAGGACAGATGCATAAAGATATTTCAGCAGAAAGCGCATAATGTAATGTATATGAAGAGTTATGTTTTAGTTGATGTGCCCGATAACAAAAAACTTCCATGTAATTTCATTTTATTTTGTAGTCATTTATTTTAGATAGCGAGCTGGATCGCTTTAATGTACATCAAAATGAATTACCTGAGCTAAATTCTCCACTGACTTATAAGCCTTGGAATCATCCAAGCCACTTATAAATTAGCTGAGAATTAGTCTTCTGCCAGGGATGAAATATTGCTGCAGTTTGAGACAGACCAGGAATGCATTTCTTTCCTATCTGAAATATAAATGTACTGCAATATATAAAACCTTGACATCTCTGGAGGAAAGTAAGGTATCTCCATAGAAGTCCTTTAAAAGCTCACTGCATAGAAGATGTAGCTCTTCGTCTTGGCAGGAGAAGATCATTTCCCCTACTTTTGAGATTTTTCCCCATGCTTTCTCATGCTGAACGGGAAACCCATTTGGCAAACTCAGACTTGAAGCAGCTCATATTTTCACTTGAGTATATTTGGGTTTCCAGGTCCTCAGAAGGAGAAATATGCATCACAGGTTAAGAACATAAAAACCAGAGCCTGTCTGCTGGACCAGACGAAAGTCATCTAATCCAGAACATCCTGTTTCCAGTTGTCACCAGCCAGATGCTATCCCCCAAACCTTAACACACTGAGTGTGAAGGTCCGCAAGGAGATTTTAACTGCCTGCATCTGAACATAGACAGAATCCTCCCTTTGATCAGGAAATCGAATTGCACAGGGCCAGGGCTAGTCTTGCACTGGGCAGAATGAGGCAATTGCCTCAGGCAGCAAATATTGGGAGGGGAGTGACAGTCCTCACTCCCTAGCTGGTTTTTTCTGAGTTCCCTAACCATTCCTCTCTGTTGGAGATCAAAACTAGGTGTCTGCTGTCCTCACATGTGGGGCAGGATGCTTTCCTTTGTTGCCAGGGTTCAAGCAAGATTCCAGGTCCACTTGACTTCTGTACATGCAATGCCAGGGCATGGTGGGGAAGAGATCATGTGCTTTGTGGTACATATTACTGCCAAAGGCAGCAGAATGCCTTGGGCCAGCCCTCTACAGCTGTGGTTTTCAACCAGTGTGCCATGGCACCCCGGGTTGACTTGAATGATGGTCAGGGGTGCCATAGGCAACACTGGCCTCTGTCCCTTTTTCCTTCCCTCCCTCCACTGATGTCCCCTCATGTCTCTGCCTCCCAAAGGCTTGCACAGTTGTTTATTGCAGCAGCCCTGGCTACAAGCTCCTCTTTGGGGCAGGGGCGGGGCAGTTCAGAGACCAGGGGCAGCAGCTACAGCTGCCCAGAGGACTCCCAAGGAGAGGGGAGAGGAGGCTGAGGGAACAATCCACAAGGGTGGGTGTTCAAAAAAGGGTGAGAGGCTGGCAGCTCTGCAGGCAAGGGGTGATACAACTGGGCTCCTGAGCCCCACAGGGGTGCTGCAGAAAAAAATGTAGTTGATCAAGGGAGCCTTGGACTCAAAAAGGTTGAAAACCTCTGCTCTATAGAGTTCCTGGTTTGGGAGAGGAGCCTAACTGCATTATACTGAATGCAGGCTTTCATCTTCAGAACTTTGCATGGAACACACAGAGTTTGGGAGATCAGCCGGTAAATGGGGACACTGGTGGAAGGACATTTTGAGGTAATGCACATTCTTTTGAAGACCTTGCCATGCGGAATTCAAAAATACGTGTTGCCTTTTTAATTATTCCCGATCACTCCTAAGTGGTCCATAAGAAAGGCTTGGCTTTCTTCAAGGTAATCCATAACACTGGTGTGGTTACATATAAGGCCTTTTGTAGAATGCAAAAACAAATAAAGAGATCATACCTTTGGAAAAATGTTGATTAAGCACTCCCATTTTTACTTGCATGTTTCAACTTTGGGGGCATATCTCTGCCTGCATTTATTCATCCCTTTTGGCTAATGGATTGCTATACCAAACAGCAATTCATTGACTGACTGAAGACATTTATAAATCGCATTTGTCAATGATTTCAGGGCAGGGTACAGTAAAGCCTCATTTAAATCAAAAGTGCCTCCGGTTTTTATTCCTCTGGCTGTGCTATAGTTTTTCTCATTGTGTACAAGGCTGCTTTTTTGTGATAGGTTACTGGCAACTTTTTTGTTGCTTATCTCTATCACACAAAGGTGACTAATGGCAAGCTGTTACTCTAATCTAAGGTAGAGACTGATGGCAACCTTTCCAAAATAGCTATCCCAAAGATACAATGACCGTGGTCCAGAATGGCAAGATGGTACAAATGTGGAAATAAATCAGCATTCTAGCCATCTTCAGGCATTTGTTACCTGTGTGAAAGAAATATCTGAGGTGAGCCATGGGGATGAGCCTGAAGGGTCCACCACCACCACCCCAATCACATTTTCCTTGGCAGATGACCCAAAGTCAGGGTCCTACTTTACTCATTCAGCTCCCCCACCCCTCACATTTTAGAATCCATATTTTCCCATGATACTCAAACATGCAGGAACCCTTCACAAGTGCAAGAGGCTCCTTGCTTCAAAATGCTACCCTCCAACTCTGAAAACTGTAAGGGGGTGAAGCTCACATGCTTCTCCCTGCGACCCCACCCCAGAGAGTTTCCTTAACCCAAATTGTGGCTCCTTTAACTAGACTTCACTGTGGGAACAGACCAATTACTCTGAGACAGTTTTCGGGCAAATTAACAATGATGTTCAGCGATTGGAAGCACATGTTATAATCTTCTTGATGCAAGAAGCCAAACATGATCGCCGTGTTGTAATTCTTAAATTCATACATGCATGAGAATGTTTACTTGATTCCATCAGGACTTAATTACGGGTAAATTAATTTAAGAATGGTGTCTTCGGTTGCAGTGTACAAACCATTTGTTCTGGGAACGTCCCAGTCAAAGAAAATGATTGCTGTTTCGGATTCTCAGGTCTCCTCGAATTGGAGACTGCCCTTTTGTGCATCTCACAAGCATGTGGAGGGAAATGGCTTCATGAAAGCATGCTGACCTACGTGATTGCTGCAACATTTGAAGTGGGTGAACTCACATACCAGCGAGCTTCCGATCACATAGAGAGGTCCCTAAACTACCCCAAAATGTGGAATAGTTAACCAATTCTCCTCCAAATATTGTTGAGCTGTACCTCCCATCAACCCAGACTTTTGGCCATGGTTTAAACACAGAAAAAGTTGTACGTAGGTCAGAGTAGAGCCTGCTTCAACACAGCCATCCTTTCCACATACATATTTATGAAGAGCTGTGAGAACTGAAAGAGGTACTTGCATTCTTCAGTGCCTTCTCTAAAGCCATTGGTTTCAGAGGAGGTTAATCACTCTTCAGTCCCACCGAAATCAGTGGTGTTTGAATTTGTTGCAATGCATTTGTTAAATGCAAGACATCTCTCTGGATTACAGCCAATTTAAAATGCCAATTAAAAAAAACACCAGGCTGTGTTTTTATTCAGTAGATTCCTGGGATACAAAATGAATAGCATTTAACCTACTTGCCCTGTTTAGAAGTTCACTGGAAGTATATGGTGGTGGGAGCAGAACTACACAATCTAGCCTGAAGGTCCCCATTCCTACTGGCTATAGCTATAGGTTAAGACTTTTGTAGTTGACCAGGAAGATCTTGAGGGTTAATCTTCTTGTGTCCTGCTGAAATATATGCACAATCCTTCACACTGCATGATTGATGCTCCTCATTGTGTGGAGGATTCTCAGTGTGTTCAGCTGAGAAGCACATTCCTCTTCTGCCCCTCCTACTCAATATGCAAATGTTGGGGTGGAGTCAGGAAACATAGCCCTGCCTGGAGGCACCATGCCTGAACAGGGCTGATGCATTTGTAACATCCCATTAGTACATGAATTTTACTTGAGGTGCTAAAGCAGTGCTGGGGAGAATGGTAGACTCAGCTGTTTCTCACTCTGAGGAAAAGCCATTAGTTTTTGTTGGCTGATTCATGTTTTTATAGTTGTTGAATTTCCTCATATTGGGCAGCTACTGCTTTTGAAAGCCAGTGGTCCCATAAGAGTCACTGAATCTTCTGATGTGTTGACCCATTTCCTAAGACTCCCCCCAAAGTGCCACATGATCAACTCAGCCCATATGGTCTCAGTCACATAAATGCCTCTGCAGCATGGGTCCTCATCACATTGATGCTGCTTACAGTATGCTGGGCATCTCATTACAAGGCCATGTAGCTTGTTAGGTCTGATCTCTCTCTCTCTCTCTCTCTCTCTCACACACACACACACACACACACACACGCACAAACACACAACCTTTCCCACAGCCTGCTTAGCAAGCCTGCCATTGGTCTGTTCCTTGCTTACCTCACTAAATCACCATGTATCTTTTGTCTATCCTCAACCTATTTCTGGTCTTCAGCCAGAATGCAAATCACCATGGAATGGAAGAGAAGGTACTCCCATCTGCTGATGCAAGTATACCTGAGAGAAGTCTAAGGGCCTCTTCACTGGTGTTGATGATGAGTAGGAGCTCCTCCTTATGCTCAACTTCCTTTCACACAAAAGAAACAATTCATTCCTTATAGTGTCACCAGCAGCATGAAATCCATCCCTGTCCAACTTTTTGTAAGTGCTAATTGCTTAATTTGCCTTCACTGGCCTGGAACTGGGGAATTCAGGAGATGAGAGACGGAGAGGGGGAACATAATTTTGTGAGCAACCTAGTAGAAAATTGATGTCACTCATGTTCAGTCTAAATCATAAATCAAGTGCTGAGGCGCATGGCAAAGGAGCCTTGTTGAACACATGTATCTGAATTTCAACCTGCGTGCTGTACAACGCAAGCTTTTCTTGTATGGGCAGTCATGTCAACTTTTGCAGCTTAGGGATCAGAGACATTGCATGTAGGAAGAAAAGCCTCGTGTAAAATAACAAAACGTACTATAGAGTCAAGATAACAACATGGTAAAACAGGCAGCGGTAAAAACAATGCTTATGTCCCAAAGTCCTAGCAAAATAAAGTTTTAGAAACTTCTTAATTGGGCATCAATACAGGCAAAATGGGATAAATTCTGGTGGCCTTGAATCACCATTCAGCTAGCTATGGGCATTGGTGAAGAAACACCATTGGTGGTTGCACAAGCTCATGGATTAAGTCAGGCTTCCCCAACCTTCAGCTCTCCAGATGTTTTGGACTACAATTCCCATCATCCCTGACCACTGGTAGGCTAGGGATCATGGGAGTTGTAGGCCCAAACATCTGGAGGGCCGCAGGTTGGGGATGCCTGGATTAAGTCCATATTCTGATGTCATGTAAACATAGCAGGATGCAGTGATTCTCTTGGTATTTGGGCATTATATTTGTAGTTGTCACTTGTTATTATGAATCAGTCAATTCTGTTTCAAAAAATTGGCCTGTTTCCAAGGTCTGAGGATATTGGGCAAAGAGAAAATAATGTACAATTTAATCCAATCTAACATTTCCTGCCCAAGGAAATGTCATTTTGCACATTTTCTTCTCATTTCTCATTGCAGTGGTGCACCATGAGCTTGAGAAAGAAAGAAAAATAGCATGTCTTCAATTTGCAATCCCACCAATCAAAATTGCTCATATCCATTAATTTAAAATAGCTAGTTACAGGTAGGTAACTCTGTTGGTCTGCCGTAGTCGAAACAAAATTTTAAAAATTCCTTCCAGTAGCACCTTTGAGACCCACTAAATTTGTTATTGGTATGAGCTTTCGTGTGCATGCACACTTCTTCAGATAGAATTTTTTTATTTTAAAAAAGCTAGTTTTAGTTGATGAATCTACTAATACAGCCAGTGAAAGAAAGCAACCCAACTGGTATGTGCTGATCCAAAATCAAGCAACTGATGATCAAGTGAGCCAACTGGAGTGACAAATTATAGATCCGATTAAATGATACATTACTTTCACTTTGCACCATATCCTCCAATAGGGACCTTTGTTGAAGTTTTGGAAATTTCTTTGCCACTAAAGAACCGAAGCGGTCCCAAACATTTACATATTTACATCTTCAGTATAGGCATAAGATTGTGTTTCATGATGTTGTGATGGCAGAGAAGTATCCTAAGATAGGAGTCAGCAACTAGAGGGAGATTGGTGTGTGCCAATCCAGAGGCCAAAGAAGGGCATAAGAACAGTGTAATGTGGCCAGAGTGAACCAACAGTCTCAAAGGTGGGTTGGAGAAGACTTTTGGCTGCCACCCTAAACTCCCTGCCCCGCCCTAGCAAAACTAGTTGATATAAGTTCTTGCTTGGTGTTTCATCTGTTCCTCAATCAGGCTATTTAAGCTGCCAAATACACAGTTTAAAATTCAGTATACAGTAGATTAAATGCATAATATGGTAATAATCATTATCATGCCACCATTTGTGATTTTTTACTTCACTAATTATGCTATTTATTATAAACTAAAGCAATAATCCATCGGGGGAGCGAGGGAGGGAGAATTCTATAAAACATCTGGATGAATTTAAGTGCTGACTGTTCCCTCAAATGATACCAGAGGCGTTACACATGATTGTGTGCATCTGTACAAAAAGAGAACATTGTATTTTTTACTCTTCTTGGCATATAAGCCCCGGAGGAGTGGTGTAGGGAGTAGTGAGAAAATGTTTGGGGGCATGTGTCCAAAACTCCATGCATTGTGTAGGTGTTGGGATTTTGGACTTGTTTGCTTGCGAATCCTTTTTTTTCTCCCCATCCCACTCCATAAAGATATTCATACACATAGTGTTCTGGTGCAATGGAACAATTAAGAGACATAGCACTGCAAGTCAATAATTATGTATATAGGGTTTGTTTTTCTTACATAAGGATTACCTAATCATAGCAACTGATGGCTGTGAGGCATTCCTGCTGCATCATAAATACAGGTTATAAAATGGATTTTTCCCATTGATGCACCATTTATTGAAAGAGGAGGAAAGGGTATGGGAAAGAAAATAATGCATAACATAAACAGATTCCATAATTATCTCTAGGGCAAAATGAGTTAGAAATCACTACAAATGACCACTGCAAGATTATTGGGAAATCTCTGCAGTTGCTCCAGCAGGCTCACCGATGAAATTATTTGCTGTAAACAAAAATATTTCTTACATCAGAGTAGGAATCCCAGCTCTACTGTAGACATGGTGTTTTTCAGCTGCAAGCAAGTGGTTGTTTTAAAGAGAGTTCAATTATGATCTGTTTCTTTCAGCTCCCTATTCTGGCCAGCCAGGTGTTGTTGTTTTTAAGTGCTATGCAAAGCCTTCGAGACCTGTTTGCTCAGATGCTATAGTGACCAGGAAAAGAAACAGGCAGCAACACCATGACCAACAATAGTTCTCTAATTTCAACCCTCTGCAGCAGCAGTTTCCAACCTGGTGCCCTTTGGATGCTTTGGGCTACAACGCCCATCATCCCTAACCAGTGCAGCCATGTTGACTGAGGCTGATGGGTGCTGTAGTCCAGAATATCTGGAGGGCACCAGCTTGGCCAAGGCTGCTCTGGAAAGGAACTTAAAAGCTTGTATTATATTCTCCCAGTTAACACTGGTTCAATGGGAGCAGCTTGGGTGGTGCATCTTGTTATTACTGTTCTTTAGAGCCCCGGTACTACTGGTTCTGCAAAGGGCATTTCCTTACACAGAGCCCCAGGTGAACCCTACATTGTATTTGTGGCTCTAATGCAAATTAGCTCACCTAGTCACTTCAGCTGTGGGGAAAAGCTGAGCGCACACTCCATACCTTCCAACATAACGCGACCCAAATCTATGGCACCATCTTTCAGGTCTGCACTACTGTGCAAGTCACAGGACCAGTGTTGGATTTATGTATAAGCTAAACAAGTTATAGCTTAGGGCCCACTCTCTTGCAGGGGGCCCCAAAATATTCTTCTTCTTAATTGTATTTCAATATTAATATACTTCTTCTTAATTGTATTTCAGTTCAACAATTACTTTGATAAAATACATATTTTGTTATGTGCAAATGGCTTGAGATAAATTAGGGTTGGTCCATAAATTACCATATAGCATATATTCAACACACAAAAAACAGCAACAATTTGTTGTTGACAAAGGACAGCTGGACATAGAAAGGACCCCATTACCTTCAGTAGCTTAGGGTCTCATCAAACCTAAATCTGGCCCTGCACAGGACCCATGCGAGATCTCGAGTCTGCCCCCAAACAGGGTTTTTTTCAGACACAGTGCCCCAAAATGTGCATTTGGGGGCACCATGCCTCCCAAAAGTACAGCCTGAGAGCACACGAGAGGCCACTGTCCTCTTGCAAGAAAAAATAGGGTGCCCTGTGTGTATTTTCCCCCTGTTTTTTCCAGGGCAGTGGATGGGTATGACACTGCCTCAGGCATGTCTCTTTTTGTTCTCCACTTGGATGAATGAGGGAGCTGTTATAATGGGGAAGAAATTAGGGATTCTAGTGATTTTAGTGAGGTCATATCCAAGACCTCACCCTAAGCTATTGCTGGATCAGGCTGAAAAGCCTGCAGAATTCTCTCCACATTCTAGCTTTGTTAAAATATTCTTCTGCCTATGTCTTTGCAAGGGGGAAACACCCCACATGAGTATAAAGACTAGCATAATCCACAGAAGGACAAAAAGACTCCTTTCATGCATGCTCTTGTGTTATATTCACATCTAATTATAAGTCTTATGAGCACATTTTTTCCACTCGCCCGCACTCAGCACTTATCTAATTGCCCAAACTGAAAACACTCTGCAGTTTGGCTCAGCGATCCAATGAGTTCATTTTGAGACTATGCTTTGCTTGTATTACGATTCTCGGGATGGAATGAACATCTTAACTTTTCTTGTAAACATTGCCATAATAACAGGCACTGGATTCTTTGGCACCCCACTCCAAGGGAAAATAGATTTTGATGGCCTTCATTTGTGTTGGGTAAATGAAAAGGGATATTGTTCCGATTCTCCCCATCAAATGTCTTTCAAGGTGCAGGTGGGAATCCACCCAAATTCATGGACAGGTTTTGTGTTGCTGTTTGTAAATCCCATTTCTGTGCCCATCGCCCCTTCACATGCATGCAAATCTGTGTTCGCCTCTTCACACAAGTCATGCAAACGTCACCCTTCTTCATTCATTGACTCACACACATGACCACATGTGCATTCTAGAATATGCATGTATGTATTATATACATAGGGACGTGGGTGGCGCTGTGGGTTAAACCACAGAGCCTAGGACTTGCCGATCAGAAGGTCAGCGGTTCGAATCCCCATGATGGGGTGAGCTCCCATTGCTCGGTCCCTGCTCCTGCCAACCTAGCAGTTCGAAAGCACCTCAAAGTGCAAGTAGATAAATAGGTACCGCTCCGGCGGGAAGGTAAATGGCATTTCCGTGTGCTGCTCTGGTCTGCCAGAAGCGGCTTAGTCATGCTGGCCACATGACCTGGAAGCTGTACGCCAGCTCCCTCGGCCAATAAAGCGAGATGAGCGCCGCAACCCCAGAGTCGTCTGCGACTGGACCTAATGGTCAGGGGTCCCTTTACCTTTACCTATTATATACATAACCTGCCTATTAATGGCAGAGGCAGCACAAATCCTTTTCAGGTTAAACATGGTGTCTGTGGGTGCAAACGTTTCATTATCTCCTCCCTTCACCCTAAACATAGAGGAAGACACAAATAGCCTCAAATGTCTATAAGTGACCAAAGTAAGCAAGCTAGGCTGTGCCCAATAGGTTAGGAAAACAAACTCACCTGACAACAATTAGCACAAGAAACATCCTTGCTGACCTCCAGGAAGATCTCCATCACTGGCACTCCAACCCCAGCATAACAGAACAATCCTAACCTGCAGATCCACTGGCTGGTGGCAGTTCGGAAGGAGTGAAGGTGCCTGGGACTGGGAGGAGGAAGAGTAAGACAGTTTAGAATTACAACAGGGGGTTGAGGATGGTCACAGCTCAGAGGCAGATGAGGGGAAAAGTTGGGAAATAATGGGAGAGGAGGATGCACTGGAGGGGGGTAACAGCTGACAGACACGGTGTCTTTAAAAGCATTCCAAGCCCCACCCCCATCTCCCAGAACCCAGCAAGCCTTAAAAGTAGGAGAGCAAAGAGCTCAAAGACAGAAGGCACGTAGTAGCACCCGTAGAAGTGATGAATGAGGAAGTGGGAGAGACAGGGGGTGGAGATTAACTCTGGACAACGCCATTATCCAATAGGCTGGGTTCTAAAGCCTCTCTCTGTAAATACTGAATAAAAAGCAGATGGTAAGAAACATTTCCTTGTCTTTGTACATTCTTGGGCAACCGGCCATGGGAGTCGCTGGCAGCAGCCTGACACCCCTGGTGCAGGACCGCTTCATCGGCAGTGGGCATGTCTGCCACAATGCCTGTAAATAGCTCCCCAGGTGTAGAGCTACTGTTGGTGGTTCCTTTACCAGCCCAAAGTAGGCCCCGAGGTGGGACAGTCTAAGCTGGGACAGGACAGGAAGGAGGCCAAGGATCCTGGAGAAGTAAAGGGAAGATAAATAAAGAGAATATATGTGCAGGGGAGAGGAAGGAAGTCAATGTTTATCTGGAAACCTATTCCCAGATAAGTCAAGAAGCCACATCTGCCACCTGGCCAGGAAGTACAAGCCAGGGCTTCAGATGTAGCAGAAAAGCTGCCTTTTCACATACCTCCCCCCACTTAGGATTTCACTGAAAGACATTAGCCACTGTACTCACTGCTTTCTTTTGAACAGATATACAGTACTTGTTCTCACTCATCAACTACAAGCTAGGGAACAGTGATTGCTCTGACTAATGCAATATCAGGTGTTTTATCCTTTGCTCTGAAATAGAGAAAGAAACCACCATTCCTTTGGCCATTCTCCCATAGGTGCAGTGAAACCCATTATATTGACGCACACTGCATATGAAAAGTTCTATGTAATTTTCCATCAACCCTGACTAGTTAAACTAGAAGCAGCTGCCGGACATGGCAGTCTTGCGCATAAGACTGGTGGGTAGGAAGAGGAGGAGATACTTACTCATTTCCCTGTAGGACCTCTTTTCTTCAAAATCACCCCACCCCACTCCAGATGGTTTCTCAGCACCCACATAATTTCCACTGCAGGGTTGAAAGCAGAAGGGAGGGGCCTAATTTTGAATGGTAAAGGTAAAGGACCCCTGGACGGTTTAGTCCAGTCAAAGGTAACTATGGGGTGCGTCGCTTATCTTGCTTTCAGGCCGAGGAAGCTGGCGTTTGTCCACAGACAGCTTTCAGGGTCATGTGGCCAGCATGACTAAACCGCTTCTGGCACAACGGAAGACCGTGACGGAAGCCAGAGCGCACAGAAACTCTGTTTACCTTCCTGCTGCAGTGGTACCTATTTATCTATTTGTGCTGGTGTGCTTTCAAACTGTTAGGTTGGCAGAAGCTGGGACAGAGCAACGGGAGCTCACCCCGCTGAGTGAATTTGAACCACTGACCTTCTGATTGGCAAGCCCAAGAGGCTCAGTGGTTTAGACAACCCATGTCCCCCAATTTTGAATGGAGAATCAACTGGCAGGAAACCAATCAAGTTTCTCCTCCTTGATCGATGCTAAAGACTCTCGCACAGCCCTTCCCAGCCTGATCTTCTCCAGATGTTTTGGACTATGACTGCCAACTGTCCTGCTGCCTCAGGTGCAGTATGGGGGTTGCTACCCCATCATCAGTACTGAAGTCAACTTATGTATGTGGTATGGGCAAGGGTGCCATCTCATCCTTTGCCCGAGCTAGCAAAATAGACTGAGGAGACCCAGAATCAAATTTCAGTCATGAAGCTCATTTGATGACCTTAGACCAGTCATCTCTCAACCTAATCTACTTCACCGAATTGTAAGGAAGAAATGGACCAAACCCAAGTATGCCATCCAAAGGTTCTTGAAGGAAAGGGAAAATGCAACCATTTTTTTACAGTGCAGTCCTATAGATACCTCCTTTTGTGAGGTTTATTCCCAGATAAGCTTGTTTAGGATTACAGCCTTAATGACACAATGGCCCAATTCCCATTGGCCTTGCTTAACTGCTATGTTACAGCAATACCTTTTCCTTCTCAAACTTGCTAAATGTTGTGCTGCCTGATACATTCTTTCTGCACTAAATGGTGAAATGAAACATGGATTTTGAAAAAGCAATCACCATTTTGGCCCCTTCCTCATTATATCAGCCCGTTCTGTTTCTTTAGTGGTATACATGGAAATGTTGGCACTGTTTCAAAACTCTCTTGTTGGGCAGGAAGGTTTCCCTCTGTTTTGATTTCTCTTTGCTTCAACTCAAGGAAAGCAAACACATTGATAGAGATAACCAGTATTAAGATGTGAACGTTTAGGAAAATGCAGTTTTAATCTGCTACATAAATTTTCCAATACTGGAAGAAGAAGAAATCTCTTTCTCTGAAATGTTTTCCAGATGTCTAACAACTTGTAATTTATATAAACAATTTCTGGCAAGCCTTCTCAATAATTACTCAAAAAGTAAACTTGTATACAACTCTAACGAATGATGCATTGTATGTTGAAAACAAGCTTTTGTATTTTATAAAGTCTTAAGGGCCAAACCCCCGTGTACAGTGCACTGGAATAAATAGATTTCTTCCAGATAAATATGCCAAATTCTGTTTTGGATCGTGGCCAGTATCTTGGATTGCAACCAGCATTCATCCTCCCCTCCTTCCCCATCTGCTCATTATGTTCTGAATCATAATAACCATGGGAGCGACATGAAATTCACAGGGATAAGCAATTGGCTAACTGTTCCTCAATCTTGGGTTCCCAGATGTTGTTGGACTACAACTCCCATCATCCCCAGACAGATTAGCCAATGATCAGGGATGGTGGGAGTTGCTACTCCAACAACATCTGAGGTCCCAAGGTTAAAAATCACTGCCCCCATGCCATGTTTTCTGGATTAGCAATCCGGCCACAATGCAAAAGGAAGTCCTTGTGCGATCAGGAAAGTTTGCAGGGTCCCAATCCCACATTTGTGAAATTTCTTTGCTTATTACTCCACTGGCGGTAGGTTGCCTTGTCTCCTGACAGAATCTCTCTTCCCTCTTGATCATGGCATGTAGTCATTTATTAGAGCAGGAGTAGCCAACACAATACTCTTCTGAAGTTTTTGGTCTGTAGTTTCCATCAACCCTGCTCATTGGCCACACTGAGTGGTGCTGATGATGAAAGCTGGAGTTCAGCAACATAGTGAGGACATCACAATGGCTACCTGTAGGCTTGCTGTCACCTAAATGTAAAGGCAGGGGGTACCCCCTGCTACGGGGTAAATTGGAAGCCATTAAAAAAAATCCTCATAGCCTCAACTACAACTGCGCCAAAAGTCTGCCCAATCAGTGAATTTGTTCTTTTCTTTTAGCCCCAAGTCTGGAAACAGACATTTCAACTTGTAGTATCAACTTCCCATTATGTCTACATATTCTTTGCCAGTACTGGCAGTTTTGTAGAGTGTTTTTCACTTTTTTTATTTTTTTAAAAAAGGAAATCTTCATAGCCAATGTGCAGGGCATTATGTCATCGTGAGCTGACAGAGAGAGCTACATCTTAACCTAGCAGGAGTTTTGTGAACTGGCAAATCAACCCAGATGGAAGGTTCTCCTGGAAAAATGTATTTAATACGTTCATCCTGCCAAAAGCCACAGAGATTTGTAGTGCGGCACTTCCAGTTTAGTTCTTAACTGATCTAGCAATATCCAGAAAGTTAGAAAGAAGGCTGAAAGTCATTATAAACAGATGTTTGGGTAACATTGCCTTCTGTCAGGGCAATTCTGCCACCTACTGTATATGAAGAGAATGACAAGGTTCCTAGATTAGACCATTCAGCGAAGAGTCGAGGAGACAATTTCCTGTTCAATAATAGCATTTTTATTTAAAATCGTGTTCTTTTTAATGGCTTTCGTTGGCAGAAACAGCCACTTTTCTAAATCTGATGCCTTCTTATTCTAGCAATTTGTTGCAGGCAAGGTAGTTCCATAGTTTCCCCATTATTTTTTGCTGAAGATAATAGCTCTTTGGGACATAATGAGACAGCAAAGCCATTTTATGTTCCTTCTCTCACTATTCTAATAATTTACAATGCAATTCTCCGCATCTCCATTTACTTCTAAGACCCATTGTCTTCAGGGTCACTTACTCCCAATCAGTGCCTATAGGATTAAATTACATTTGCTTTAATTTCCTTATTGCAATGGATTTTTTGTTAGCTTTAGTCTGGCAGTAACCTGGGGGCACTTTGGGGGTGGGGCCCAAAAGCTGGGGTTCCATAGGATTCCCCCCCCCCCCCAGTTATGTGTGCCTGGGACTTAAAATAGTTCATATGCATTCTCCTAACAGTCCTTCTCTCACCACCACCATCATTTCATTCCCATTTGTTTAGGGGAAATGGAGGTAACGAAATGGAATTATTGGGTTTCATTGCTTCACATTCCATAGATGGACTGGCTTCCTTAGTCCATAGAAAGCTTTTGATACAGTGGAGTGACCAAGGGGAGTGGCAACTTTTGCTGATTCTCTCCTGCCACTGCAACCCCAGTACAGTGGCCAAGCTGCATGCTCCGCTACTGGGGGCGGAGAGCAGGAGGGGGGGTGACTGGTGTCCCCGGCGGGCGTGACGTGCACCCGGGGGGCATGGCGCGCATCCCAGGGGCATGGTATGTCGCCCACGAGGGCATGACACGCCACCCACAGGGGCGTGGCACACGTTCTGGAGGCATGGTGTGCCGCCTGTGGGGGCATGGTGCCCTGCACGCGAGAGGGTCCACAGCGCATGTCGGGGGGCGCCATGATGGCACCCTACTGGAATAGTGGTGCAGGGGATGGTCTGCTCTCTCCGCACCACCGTTCCTCCCCCAGTGCCCCAGTACCCCTCCCACATTGTTCTGGGGGGCGCCCTCCAACTTTCCAGAACAGTGTGGGAGGTAGTACTGGGGACTGAATGGGGGAAGAGGAGTTGACAAAAGCTGCCTCCCCCACTGAAATATATTCAGAGTTGAGAGTGGATTTCATGCTCTTTATCAGCTCATAGTGGTGAGGAGGAATGGAAGTTCCCCCACAATATCTGCTTTATATACATTATTTACACAATGGGCTGCAGGTGATTGGCTAATTCCGAGATTCTCCTGTAGGCCAATCAGGTTGTGGATTCACTTCCACCTGGAGCTGGATTGGGTGGCTCCTGCGGACCTATCAGACTGCTGCATTGTTCTAGGACCAATCAGACTGCTGCATTCTGAATCCTATTGTTCTAGGACCAATCAGGCTGCTGCAATCTGAATCCTATGGTTCTAGAACCAATCAGACTGCTGCATTTTGTATCCTATTGTTCTAGGACCAATCAGACTGCTGCATTTTGGATCCTATTCAACTCAGTACATAACACCCACATGCCACCAGCTGGAGGGAGGGAAGCCAGAATGCAACCCATGCATTTGTCCACTTAAATTCACTTTGGGCTGAGATTTGTTCCAGAGACCTACCAGCTCCAATTAGTCCATTGTTCTGTCTACTGGGTGACACTGAGTCTTGAACTGTACTGGGAACTTTGACAGGAAGGAAGGCCTCTTGTTCCCTGCAGGAATTGTCATAAAACGGTGTGGTTAGTTTGAAAGGCCACAAGATGCGTTGTAACGGGAAGGATATATGACCTTTTGTTTAATGCTACTAACATTATAAACAAAACACGATGCATAGGTTTCAAGTAATCTTTTTATATTAATCAGGCTTAAAGAAAGGATTTTGCTTAATGAATATAACTCTTCAGCGAGCTTTGATATTCCTTTCCCCCCTCCTATTTCAGGACTCAATGCATTTTATTTCTGAACATCCACGTTTGGCTTGTTTCTTTCATTTCTGCCTTTTACGACTGCTGTGATGCATGGGAAAATTCGCGGGGGAATGCTTGGATTCAAGGGGTATAGCCAAAGTTTTTCCAGATTTGCAGATGATTGCTGGGGTCATAACAGTACAAATAAGAATAAAAGAATAATAATGTTGGAACCTTCATCCATGCATGCATATGAGCCCGAATTCATGTTTTACCAGAATTCCGTGTGTGTATACAGCGGTACCTTAAGGGACACGGGTGGCGCTGTGGGTTAAATCACAGAGCCTAGGGTTTGCTGATCAGAAGGTTGGCAGTTCGAATCCCCGCAACGGGGTGAGCTCCCATTGCTCGGTCCCTGCTCCTGCCAACCTAGCAGTTCAAAAGCACGTCAAAGTGCAAGTAGATAAATAGGTACCGCTCTGGCGGGAATTTAAACAGCTTTTCCGTATGCTGCTCTAGTTTGCCAGAAGCGGCTTAGTCATGCTGGCCACATGACCCGGAAGCTGTACGCCAGCTCCCTCAGCCAATAAAGCGAAATGAGCGTCGCAACCCCAGAGTCGGCCACGCCTGGACCTAATGGTCAGGGGTCCCTTTACCTTATACAGCAGTACCTTACAAACGCTTCAAGTTACAAACTCTGGTAACCTGGAAGAGTTAGCCGGAGTTGAGAACTTTGCCCCAGGATGAGAACGGAAATTATGTGCCAGCGGCGCAGCGGCAGTAAGAGGCCCCATTAACGAAAGCATGCCTCTAGTTAAGAACAGTTTCAGGTTAAGAACGGACCTCCGGAACGAATTAAGTTCGTAACTAGAGGTACCACTGTGTGTGTGTGTGTGTGTGTGTGTGTGTGTGTGTGTGTCCCCCTCTATCTTTGCTGTTCCCCAAAACAGTTCATTGAAGACTGAGCATGCTGACTGTTGAGGGGCAAAAATGGAATTCTGGAGTGGAATGGCAGGAATCCCAAACAGCAGCAAACAACTGCAACATTTGTTGCAGGTCTCACTTCTGTATTTTTGATACAGGAACATCTGTTCAGCAGAGTAACCATCTAATCATTGCTACGTTTTCCCAGCAGCAGCTACCTGGAGGAAAACGTTATCCTGAAACTGTCACTTAAAAGATAATTATGACAGAATCTTTACCATGTGCCAGTAAATTAAGGTGACAGGGAAGCAAATCTTTAGTATCCTTAGGAATCCTTCTGAAGCTCCATAGCTACCCAGATATCCTGTGACTGATAAAACGGTTCTGGGATTCTAGATTCTATTTTGTGAATGGAAACAAATAAAGAATTCTACTATTTTCTCATTCCTCTTATTCCAAAGTTTATACTATATGAGCAAGTTCCTTAAAAGTTGGATAGCAGTAGCCTATTGTACATGCACAACCTGGTCAATGGATCGAGCCACCTGGCAAACGCAGAGTGTCATGTCTGACCAAAGTTGAAACAGCAACGAAGTGAGCACACATGGTTGGGTCAGACATAACATGAAAAAGATTGATGGAGATGCAGAGCCCATAGATGTTTGAGGGAGGAGAACTATTTTAAATGAACTGTACTCCTATGTTGTGAGAGTAAATAACAACATTGGAGTCTGGACTGCTGAGGGATTCTGTGACAACACAGATCCCTCCTCCTTGAGTAGAACTGGCCCACATCTTAAGATACAGGCTGGTTGGTGGTAAGGAAAGTGGTTGTTCAGATACTTGGGTCCTAGGCTATCTAGAGCTTTATAGGCCAATGTCTATAAACTGATTGCAGTAGCAAAATTAAATATATGATAATGTGTTTATGTTCATGAGTGAAATGTTGTTGGGAAGTATGTGTATGTAACTATGTATCATTCACCAAAGTCTTCTGTTTTTGTTTGTAAAGTTAAATCTTCTGAAATGTGTAACGTGAAGATGCACATCATTTCCCACCAGGGGAAATGAACATCTTTTTGTGCTGGCATTAACAATTTATGCATTTGTATTTTCATGTAATTGACCTAAGATTTAAAATATGCATAAATAAGTGTTTTTAATATTCTGTTGGAAGCCACCCATAGTGGCTGGGGAAACCCAGCCAGATGGGTGGGGTATAAATAAATTATTATTATTATTATTATTATTATTATTATTATGCATTATTCTCATATTTAGAGAAGTGGGATTCCCTCCCCCTCTAAAACAACTAATGACACTCATTGCTTTGAGATATTAACAAGAGAGATTGCTGTTGACATTGAACAAACTAGAAAAAATGTCAGCAAATTCTACTGATAATCTTTTATTTCAAAAGATTGCATGTCATGCCACTACTACCATGCTACTATGGTACATACAGACAGTGAAACATAGTCTGCAGTCATGACCAGCTTCTGTTTTGAGGTAGCCTTTGAGTATGGCCCCTTCTAAATCAGTGGCCCTGAACCCCAGTCATGAGTTGAACTGGGCAGCAGTTATGAGCTGCCATTTTTATTTCCCACAATGCCCTGGAGCAACACTAGAGACTGCTCAAGGGTGCCTGGTTCTGACATCAATGTTAGATAAGTTGGAGTTCTTGTTATTAAATATACCAAGAGAAAAGCACACCAAGAACTCAGAAATTGATTTGCGAGTAGGGACCACTCCCACTATTGAAACTTACATTGGCCTGAGTTCTTGGTGTGCTTTTTTCTTGGTTCTGACATCAAGCTTACGATTTCACGCTATTATAAGCAGAAATTATCAAAAACATTTCACTTTATGTACTGTAGAACTTTATGTCCAGCAATGTTCTCCCCCCCCCCCAATTTGTACATGCGTTCACAATGGAATCTAGTTTTTTTTTAATCTAGTTTTTTAAAAAAGAATTGTAGGTGTCCATCTGTCACCCTTCCTAGTTGCTTGTCATCAAACCTTTCACATTTGTCTCTTAGCGTGTAGTGTAGAATTCTTTGTGAAAGTGTTCACCGTTCTCTCTGTGTGGGAAAAGACCCTAGACAAAACACAGAATCTCATGTTGTTTCCTCTCCTGCTATTAAATAGTTGATCTCTAGTGACCACCTCTGCTCTTCAAATGCTAGGTCATGGAATCACAACTGCCATTTTAAACTCTATCAATGATCAAATAGCAATGATCTGCCAAAGCTGTTTGCTATTTCTTCCATTTGTGTTTTACTGATGTGCACCCAACACCTAATGTTTATTATTTCTCTCCTTCACGTTTTTCTCCCCAGTCGTAGGAGCATGTACACACCTTGGCCAAGTGTACGCTGACAGGGATGTTTGGAAACCGGAACCATGCCAAATCTGCGTGTGTGACTCAGGAGCTGTTCTGTGTGATGACATCATCTGCGACGAAGAATTGGAATTAGACTGCGAGAATCCGGAGATTCCGTTTGGAGAATGCTGCGCAAAGTGCCCTTCACCAACGACCCCACCTGTAAGACCTTGTATAAACCTACCACCCTGAATCCAGCCTCAGCTAAGCCTTGATGCCTAAATTTAAGATGGTTTAGGCTACAAACCTATGCACACTTCCATGGGAGTAAAGTCCCACTGAATTCAGCAGGACTTCCTTAAGACATGAATAGGTTTGCACTGTTAATCCTATTGAGTCGGATTCAACACAGTGCTATGGAAAATTTTCCATGATCACAGGATTTCTGCTTGCAGAATGGAATGTTCTTCCCCTCTTCTCCCAGCCTCCCACAACCCTATGGAAGAGATTTAAGTATGTCATGGTGGGAGGAGAAGAAGGAAAGTTCTATTGCACTGTTGTAATTCTTGTGTTCATGCTATTATTTTGTTGACTATTGACCACTGGCTTCAAAGGGGTTATATTGGGTTCAATTCTATTTTCTTAGGCTTAACTATTGCTATGGCTGTTGATCAGGGCATTCTCAAAATGGCCGTGTGTGATATATTCAAAACCTTCCTTCAAGTATTGATTTAGACTTTGTGAGATCAAGCATCAAAGAGGGCCAACTTATTAGGAGCATCATCTAAATACAGCTATTTCCCCATTCTCAAAAGGGCTATTTCATGGAGGTCCAGGAATGCTGATTCCTTCCCTTTTCACAATGAACCAGGACCTCTGCACTTCCTAGGCTGATAAAAGGGTTAGAATTTGAACTGCCAGGATATACGGAGAAATATTGTTTTTGCAACACGTTCCAGTCCAAACACCAACAAGGAAGTCTCTCAGCAATCTCCCCACAAAATCTGTTCTCACTAGAAATGGAGAGATGCTATAAACTGTTGAGCATATAAAAACTGGGCAGGGCTTGTTATTCACTTGAATACAAATAAAGCCTGGCAAGTATCAGGAATATCTACTTAGGCCAAAAACTTTGCATCCAAAGAACACTAAATTCTGTCCCAAGAGAACATCCACTCTCTGCACAATTTGCATTGCCAATTATAAATTTGCAGCTGGAAATTTCTCATGGTGTGTAGATGCATGGAACAAAGTTCATGTTCAGCACTTGATTTCCGCTAGCGAAAATGCTCAAAACCCAGATCCGGAATCAAGATGGAAACTTCCATAGAATGGAGTAGTCTGCATTATGAGTTTTGTTTATGAACCATTGGGATCTTTGTGTCGTTCCTCCCCTATCCCTCAAATATTGTAAGAATACTTGAGGGATTTGGTGCTACTAATGAAATAAAAATCAAATGCTTAGAGACACAACCTTTTACAGAGTGTGTGTCTATTTAGGAATAAGCCCCACTGAAGCCTCACTGGGGCTTACTTCTGAGTAAATTGGACTGTATATAGCCGAGGTGAGGAAATGTTTCTTTGCCAAAGGCCATGTTCTCTCAGGGAATTATCTGTCAGGGCCCCTCAGGGGCCATATGGTAGAGATAGGTAAAACCAGAGATTAAAGTGAGCAAGACCACCTCTTTCTCCACTCTTTCCAACAATCCTCTCTCTCTCTCTCTCTCTCTCTCTCTCTCTCTCTCTCTCTCTCTCTTCCCTTCTGCCCAGTAGGCTGTCATGGAAGGGACTGCTCACTTGTATCCCTGGGATGGCTCAGTAGAGCACGAGACTCTTAATTTCAGGGTTCAAGCCCCACTAGGTGAATTTTGTAGTCCTTTCCAACTCTATAATTCTCAGAGAGGATCTGAACCAATTGTTTGCATAGAACTTTTCTTCTTCCTTGCTTCCATTGTTCCACCCAATTCTACTCCCCCTCCCCATTTTTTTCTGTTCCTGGCCTTCTTATTTCCCTCTGGGCTCCCAATACCCAAATGAAATTAGGCAGAGGGCCACATGTACCTCTTAGGCCACAGATTTCTCACCTCTAGTATATAGAATATTCTTTAGATGAAAGTTGATGGCATAGATTTAAACTGCTGTCTCTCGCTGAACTAAAAGTAACTGGATGTGTTGAAGTTCTCTGTTACTATTCCCTTACCTGAATCATTATTTTTCATCCTAAAATTCCCTGCAAGAATGTTAACCTTTCCATAGTGGTTTCATCACTAGACTCTACCTTCCCCATATGATGTTTGTATGACTGCACACTGACCTGGCTCGAAGTTTGAGGGACCAACTTTGAGGCCCACTCCTGTCATGGAAGTTTTCATAGAATTATAGAGTTGGAAGGGACCACAAAAGTTGTCTAGTACAACCCCTTGCAATGCAGAAATATTTTTGCCCGATGTTGGGCTTGAACCCACAACAGATTAAGAGGGTTCATGCTCTACTGACTGAGCTATTCCTTCAGTTGTCCTGATGGGGGCAAGCACATTCAGTGCGTGCTACACATCTAGGATCTTTTAATTTCCCACAGTGCCCTGACGCAGCAATAACCACACAAATCTCATGGGAAGAAAATAAACATTTCTAGAGTGCTGTGGATTTCTAATTTCTGCATTAATCTGAAATTAATAGCATTTAAATATGTACATATTTTTGAACTTGTTTTATTTCAAAAATATGCATTTCTAAGCATGCTTTATCTTTTAAAAGTATTGTTTTAAGCAAGGTTTATAAGCATTTTTGGAGCCAATAACGGCATTACCAAGTGTAAAAAAGTGTAAATTCCAAAGGAAAACTGGGTTGCGACCTGCAGTTAGTTCTAGGGGTGTAGATCATGTCGGGCTGTATCATTCTCAGAGAACAAAAGAAAGAAGCATTTCTACTGAACACAGGCCTAAATAATCAGCACTCTTTAGCTAAAGGCTAAATTGTATGATGACATCCCATCACCCTCAATCAAAAACTAAATGAGTTTATAACTAAAAATGTGGAGTGTCCTCTCATATTGCTTGAAAACAGTTGGGCAATTTATTGTCTTTCCTTGAAAACTAAGCAGCTCCCTTTGATAAACATGGTGACATGGGTTGTAATACATACCAGAATTTATCTCATCTAGACCATATGAAAGAAGTGCTCATTTTCATGGATTTTATTGGAGTTGTACTTGGAAAGCTTCACAATAGCCCTTTCTCTGAATTTTATTGCCCTCAAAACACCAAACGCCAAGCTGTTCAAACAGAGACATTGTGCACTGAGGGAAGAGGGAAGGGAAAAGGTGAGGGGTACCAGGAAAAAGAAGAAAAGGAAAAGAGAACATTATTCTTTATGTCTGTTAAATTTCTGTTGTGCCCTTCCTCCCAAAGGAGCCCAGGGTTTCAAAGAAGTCAACAAAACAATGCAATTTAAAATAAAATAAAATATTTAGAATGTTAAGAGTACCCAAAACATTAGGAACATCTTTAAAAAGTCATCACAGCTAATAATGTTCAGATTGACAGGAACAGTGTATTTCAGCTATCAAGCACCTGGGTGAACGTGAAAGCTTTTACATACTTCTTGAAAGTTAATAATGAGGGAAATAGATGCACCTCACCAGGGAGGGCATTCCACAAATGGGGAGCCACTACTGAGAAGGCCCTGTCATGGGTCAATATCAGCCAGGCAGCAGAGGCAGAACCATCAACAGTGTCTTGTCTGCCAATCTCATGGCCTGCAATGGTTGATCGTTTCCTTCTAGTAGCTAGCTCAGCAACTCCTGTTCTGATTTTTTGCATTCATAAAAAGAATGCATTTCTTTTCAACAGTGTGGCCTTCTGGATGTTAGTTAGTTAGTTAGTTAGTTAGTTAGTTAGTTAGTTAGTTAGTTTATTAAATTTCTATACAGTTATACCTTGGATCCCGAACACCTTGCGAGTCAAACGTTTTGGCTCCCAAACACTGCAAACCCGAAGTGATATGAGTGTTCCGGTTTGCAAACGTTGTTTGGAACCCAAACGTCCGACATGGCTTCCATGGCTTCTGATTGGCTGCAGGAGCTTCCTGCAGCCAATTGGAAGCCATGCCTTGGTTTCCGAATGTTTTGGAAGTCGAACGGACTTCCAGAACGGATTCTGTTTGACTTCCGAGGTACTACTGTACTGACTGTTCTTCATCCAAGGATCACAGAGCAGTTTGCAATATAAAAGCACAAAATTGCACACCATGGTAACAAACAACCCCCCACAGTATTACGTTGCTGGACTCCCATCAGACCCAATCAATATGGTTAATTGTCAGGGATGGCGAAAATTGTAGTCGGACAACATTTGAAGGGGACTTGGTTAGGGAAAGTTGCACCTGGAAATATGCCAGTTAAGCAAAAATGCATCTTTCACTTATTTTGGTGGGGGAAAACAATACAATCTTTTTGAAAAGTGCCAATGTGGATGTATATTCCCAGTCTCGTTTGAAACTCTGGTCAATTTCTGATCACTTATTTTCTTTATGTTTGTACTGATATTTATTGCTCACCTTGATTTCTTTTTCTTCCTCTAGGGCCCTGATATGAATGTTCCAGGTGGTCCTCAAGGCCCCAGGGGAGATCCTGTAAGTTCAATAACTATAAAATCATGTCCTTATTTCTCATTTTTTTAAAAAACCAAACCACTGCAAGCGAGCCTCAGTTCCCAATAATACTAACACAAGGGAAGAATGAAAGACTCAGGCTACTTGCTTAGGATGTTGATCTCCTGCCACAGATCAGCTTAGGCTTCAAAGGCCTAGTTTTTCACACTAGGAGAAAGCTGTAACATTTCAGACATCTGATGGGGACACATATAATTGACTGCTTCTTATTGCAAAACTTGCCCTGCTTCCATATCCCATACTTGTATCCCATACTTGCAGGTGGCGCTGTGGTCTAAACCACTGAGTCTCTTGGGCTTGCTGATCATAAGGTCAGCAGTTCAAATCCCCACAATGGGGTGAGCTCCCGTTGCTCTGTCCCAGCTCCTGCCAACCTAGCAGTTCGAAAGCACACCAGCGCAAGCAAATAAACAGGGAACCCCTGTGGCGGGAAGGTACATGGGCTCTGGTTTCCGTCATGGTGTCCCATTGTGCCAGAAGTGGTTTAGTCATGCTGCCCACATGACCCAGAAAAACTGTCTACGGATAAACGCCAACTCCCTCAGCCTGAAGCGAGATGAGCGCCACAACCCATAGTCAAATTTGACTGGACTTAACCATCCAGGGAGTGGGACGCAGTTGGCGCTGTGGGTTAAACCACAGAGCCTAGGACTTGCCAATCGGAAGGTCGGCAGTTCGAATCCCCACGACGGGGTGAGCTCCCATTGCCCGGTCCCTGCTCCTGCCCACCTAGCAGTTTGAAAGCACGTCAAAGTGCAAGTAGATAAATAGGTACTGCTCTGGCGGGAAGGTAAACGGCGTTTCTGTGCGCTGCTCTGGTTCGCCAGAAGCGGCTTAGTCATGCTGGCCACATGACCCAGAAGCTGTACGCCAGCTCCCTCGGCCAATAAAGCGAGATGAGCGCCGCAATCCCAGAGTCAGTCACGACTGGACCTAATGGTCAGGGGTCCCTTTACCTTTACCTTAACCATCCAGGGATCCTTTACCTTTACCTTTTTACTTGTATCCCCTTATGGTTGTTCACAAGAGCTCATTGCATGCAACAGGCAGGGGGCCAGGGGGATCTGCCCCCAATGTTTACATAGACTCCCATTCTTGCTCCTAGTGCCCATGTTTCATGGAACATCACCAAGGGGCTATGCATATAAAGCATAATGTGCAGACTGGGTGGGTGGAGGACTGGAGGCAAGGCAAGACCTTTGCACATGCCCTCACTGCCCTTTCACATATTGGCCATTGTGGCTTTTGTGTGAACAATCCCAAGTTTGATTTTGTTTTGTTTTTTAATATTTTTTATTAAAGATTTTCTTGGTTTACAAAAGTTAATGCATTGTCTCTTTTTCAAGTTGTAAAGTCTTTTCTACAGATCAGTTGCATTTGATATGAGACATTAGCAGTGCCGGATTTACGTATAAGCTAAACAAGCTATAGCTTAGGGCCCCACTTTCTTGGGGGCCCCCAAAAAAGTTAAAGAAAAAAAAAACACTGTACATTTCCAAAATATAAGATAAAAAACAAATAAAATAAAAACCTACATACAGCAACAGTGTTTTGTGTTGTGTAGGTCCATAAATTACCATATAGCATATATTCAACACAAAATACAGTGACAATTTGTTGTTAACAAAGGACAGCTGGACATATAAAGTGCCCCATTACCTTCAGTAGCTTAGGGCCTCATCAAACCTAAATCCGGCCCTGGACAATAGTATTGTATACAGTATAAGAGTGGGGAGGGGGTGCTGAAACTTATATTCTTTTATATAGTGCATGTGTGGGGTTTTGTGGCAACGTCAGCTGGGTAAGTTCTTGTTCTATTCGCTTATTACATTTCCTTGATAGTGAGAGGGATTGTGGGGGCCCAAGCTGACGCAAGTGTGGGTCATCAACACACCATGACTACTTGATGTAAGAAGGGGAAACACATGGGCAACACACACTGTTTTTGTTTTATAGTATTCCGTTCTAGTTACCATATTTTTCGCTCTATAAGATGCACCAGACCACAAGACGCACCTAGTTTTTGGAGGAGGAAAACAAGAAAAAAAATATATTCTGAATCTCAGAAGCCAGAACAGCAAGAGGGATCGCTGCGCAGTGAAAGCAGCGATCCCTCTTGCTGTTCTGGCTTCTGGGATAGCTGCGCAGCCTGCATTCGCTCCATAAGACGCACACACATTTCCCCTTACTTTTTAGGAGGGAAAAAGTGAGTCTTATAGAGCAAAAAATACGGTATTTGAATGAGAAAGGGCTTGAGCACTTGGTACATGCCTCAATTATTATTATTTCAATTCATGTTCAGGGTCCACCTGGTACTCCTGGAATAAATGGCTCACCTGGCCCACCTGGCCAGCCAGGAACACCTGGCACTCCTGGCCAACCTGGAGTCTGCCCAAGTTGCCCCGGTCTCGGTACAGGATCGGTAAGCCACTCTCTCCTTTCTGTTTACGTTTTGGCTCTGAATTTGTTTTAGGTGAAACAGTACTATGTGCACGCCATAGAGTCATGAGAGATACGTTGCTCTGTTCCTCCATAGAACAGCGTTTTGTCAAAGGTTCTGAATGAAGATGGGAAGTCATAAAATGTTGTCAAAAAGGTTCTTTTAGCCGATGGAAAAATGGATCCCTAGGCTGCCACCACAGTTCCCTGGCCCCCCACTCTTTATAAACCCCACTCTAGATATTTGTGCTTCTTAAATTTTTATACTCCAGGGTCCCTGCCACAATAACTCACTGAGCTCCTCCATTTGACTATTTTCTGCTGCTACCCTTTCCCTCAGAACATTTTTGTAGCCTCATGGTGGCTTGGTATGTATGATAGGCTTAGTCATGAGACTGGCACCATTACAGGAGACAGGATGAACTAATAACTAAGGTTTTTATTACTACTGTTGTTGTTGTTGTCATCTCAATAATTTTGTTTCTTGATGACAGTTTCTAAGGACTCAAGAGTTGCTGTTGCTGCCACCAGCCTTTAAGCACCTTGGGCCAATTTCCCAAATTCCTAGCCAAATTCACGCACAACTCTGTTCAGCTACTGGGGACAATTTGCCTCTGGTCAAAAAGCTCCACCAGTTGTACTTACAGCTGCTTAGGCAGCTTAGCTGATTTTATAAACCAACCTGTGTAACTGTCTTCTGCTAAGACCTTTTCACAGGGCAACCCCTTAGCCCAGGCATAGGCAAACTCTGGCCCTCCAGATGTTTGGGACCACAATTTCCATCATCCCTGACCACTGGTCCTGTTAGCTAGGGTTGATGGGAGTTGTAGTCCCAAACATCTGGAGGGCCAGAGTTTGCCTATGCCTGCCTTAGCCCAACAGAGTCAATGGCTCCCTTCATTTAGCTTCACCATCAAAGAACTGTTGCACACTGGGGTTGAATGGCTTTGTAGGCCTCACCTTGCACTTTCAGTTGAGCTTTCTTTGGTCTTTGTAAAGGACAAGACGGCACTCTGGCAGTTAAATCTTACTTCAACTTTGGGGAGGGGGTTGTGTTCTTCACCACACCTGAGACAACAGGCTCATTCAGGAGCTCCAGGATTTGCTGTGAAGCACAGTTCTGTCCTCACACAGAGCAGAATAGCCAGGAAGGAGGAGTTTCGCAGGTCTCTACATTCCTCACCTTTAGCATTTGCTTAATGACAAGGCTGGTCCTGATACTGCCCGTTCCATTGGATTTTTGTGTCCCACCGCAGCTGAGAACCAAAGAATCCTTCTATCCAACATCTGCTAAATGCACTCAAAAAATGTGTGTCTTTCCAACCAGTAAAATACAAATTCTACTTTTGTATATGGTAACAGCCCTGTTTCCTTTCACGGCAGCTGTAGCTAATGCTGCATTTTACTACCACGTGGTGCACTTCTCGCAATGCCAAAAAGAAACCTTTCGTTAAAGAATTGGTCCGATAAACCTGCCGTTCTCCAGGAATGTTGGGGAAAGTGAGAAACTTAAGTCAAAAGAAGGACATTTTTGGAAACAGACATCCATGCGGGGATCAAACCTGCAACCTTGGCATTATCAGCACCACACTCTAACCAACTGAGCTATTCAGTCCATTAAATGAGCCTATAACTTTGCATGGTTATTATGAAGTGTTATGAAGTATTAAAACAGAGTCCACAAATCCACAAGTGTATGCAAGTCCCCCCTCTAGCAAGCCCTGATCCTTGCTGCATTGAATGCTCGCTGCTGAAGTGTTCAGTAGACCTCCTTCCAGAAACTTGTATGATGCCTCCAGCCAGGAGTCAGAGCTCCGGGAAAACCTCCCCATGCCTGCTGTTGTGTATTGGCCCTAGAAGGAACTGCATGAGTAAGCTGTCCATCACTGTGCTGTTATGTTTTTTGGTTGTACGTTTGTTTGTTCGTGCAAATTTGTATTTGTTTGTGCAGCCTTGGTTTGGCTTCTTGGTGTGGATACTTTTCACTTTCTTGGCCTTCTACAGCTGATCACAGTGGTATTTCCTTTTCCTGCCTGCCCCTTCTGTCACTTCTCCTTGCTACAGCTACAGCTCGCAATATCTCCCACGCAAGCTTTGGGCTATGGTTTGCATATATCTCCTTTCTCTCTGATAAAGCAACGTGTGTTCCATGGACTCATGGATCCATGTGAGGCCCTTACAATGTTCTTTCTTTACCTGTTCCTTCTCCCAAACTGCCTCTTTCCCAGCTTAAGGTGCAATACTGAGAATGATGGCGACGATAACACTGCGCAGAGAAAAGGGTTGTGAAAATGGACAAGAACTTTATCTTCAGCCTCCTGGAAGGCTGACCTTTAGCGGTTCAGGAGACAGATTCATTTGCTCCCAAGCTACATTTTGGTCAACCCTGCCACTGTAATTGAGAGCAACAGCATTATCCACGCTAAAGGAAATTATAACCCTATCTTGACTGACCAATCATGAAGATGTGTCCTATGGACTTTGAGTGGGACACCTCTTCATTTCAAATATACAGTATTGCCAGTGGATCTGTGGACAGCTGTCAGCTCCTCATTACATGCTTACATGTGCTGGTTTTGTATGTCATTGCAATTGTGTATGCTGTCCTCCTGTTTTATGTGTAATGGCTACATCTTTTTCGATTTCTTTTTTTAATTACAGAACTTTTCTCCTCAGTATGAAGGCGATTATACCAAGTCTGGTGGAGGAGGATACGGCCAACTTGTAAGACAATAACACTGTCTCTCATCTTTTTATTGAAATTACTGGTTTTTCCCCCCTTGTACAGATTGTATTGAACATATACTATTACTGCTTAGGAACATAAGAAGTTTTAAAGCAGGTCACATTACTCTGGATCTGGATTTGAGCAATTCTTTAAAAGATTTTGATCAACTTTTTCAGACTTTTCCTTGACATCTCTACCTTACCATTATTTCTTCTTCATTCCCCTCCCCTTTGATTTTTTTACTTCCTTGCTTCCATGTTCAGCTTCTTCCTTTTTCCCCTTTTCTTTTACTCCTATATTTCCCTACTTTCATTTAAGTTTTTTCCCCATTACCTGCTCCACAAATTTCTCCCTTCCAGTCATTTTTGTCATTTTCTCCATTAGTAACAACATTTCAGACCATTCATTGTGTCTCATTCTCTATTTCCACATGGAAATTTCAACTGATAATGGATCAAAGCATTGTTTATAGCTCTTTTCGCATAAGCAGACTTTTATTGCATTTCCCCCCTTATCTATAGCTGCCCAGATCAGTCCATAAGGATTTTTAAATACTTATTCAGCATCGTATATGTGCTTTATTTTTTGCTGGGGGGTGGTGTCCAAGAATTATTTTGATGTAATCAAACCTACATGAAATTTCCTCAGTAAAACTGTATCATGAAAGAGGCATTCTTGTAGCTCCCACTTTCTATGTGAATTATGCAAGCATTTCCCCTTGAATAGGCAATAGCCACCTACAATTGTCCATCCTTATTTTCTTGAATGGAGCACATGTTTAGAAGAACATTGCAAATTTAGGAATGCAGGGCTAGCCCAAGATATTTTCCTGCATGAACCAGATCCCAAATGATGCTCCCCATAAAAATATCAGGTCCAGCTTGCATCCTGCCTTCATCTACTACCAGCACCATTCATGATGCCACCTGAAGCATGTGGTCTCACAACACTACATGGCAGGACTGGCCCTGTTGCAATCAGGTTTGTATTCTGTATATTCTGTTACAAGGGCTGCATTCCATGCACTGGATTATTAAGAAAGCTGTCTACACAAGTGGTCTACAAAGGAGATAAGAATCCTGGTTATTCCCTACATCTTTCCTACTTTGTCCATTTATTAATATGCTCATTAATCACTATATTCATTCACCTTCTGTTCCTCACAGGTTATTTCTTCCTTTCAGTTTGTTTGTTCATTAATCCATCCATCCATCCATCCATCCATCCATCCATCCTCTAACCCATTCATCCATTTCCAGTTGTTTACCATATTTCTCTCACAGTTTGTGTCATTTGCATTCTGCTGCTTGGCTTCCACATCTGAGATGCGCTGAACCAGAGGGGGGAAAGAAATACCTGACCATTTAATGTTCTTGGTTGCTACATTGCTTGTGAACTTTCTGTTTGACTTTTGTCGTGTGGGTATGGCTAGAGCTTCAATAGACACAGATCACTAGACGGTGCCAAACTTCGTTTTGTGTGCAGCATTTATTTGTTCTTATTTTTTTGCGACTCTTGGAACATTGATGCACAGCCAGTCCTTGGCCCTTTACCTAAAGAGAGCTTGTTTCTCCACTGAATCACCTACATCTGGAAGAACTTGGTATGACTGTGTCTGGCACAGCAATCACAAGAAATTCTTACATGCCAGCTACAATGGAGCCTTTTCATGATGGGCAAACAGTGCCAGCCAATAAGAAAGGAAGCACACAGGTGATTGGCTGTATGATGATCAAGTGTCATGAGGCTCTATGCAAAGAGATCTCCAAACTGAAATCATCAAGAACGGGGGAATTCCCTGTTATTTTGGTAGACACAAAGCAAGCACATCTACATAAATCTGTATCTGTGCCAGCTTGAGAATACTTTCAGATTTAGCTTGTAACTTGTAACTTGCAACTAGCCTTTATTGGCATAAGTGAAAACAGTAAACTCAAAGAAAGTCATCCAAATACATTGATAATCCAAACACATACAATATATAAAAGACTAGATAACCACTATTGAATAAATCAGGCAATTTTAGATTTAGCTTTAAAGATCTCGGCTAAGTTCCTCGAAACAATCTTGGTACAGATTCAGCTCTTGATATGTGATGATTGCAATGGAATAATTGACTTGTGCATCAGACTGCACTTTTCTTCACTACTTTGTTTACTTACACTGTGCCTATTTGTAAATTAAGATTTACCGCATACAAATCAGCAGTATTGAGTAAGAATGCCTTATAAGTGAAGCATTCGGCTGCCAAATATATTAACTGGTGCAAATCCTTGGATACATTAGCTGCATTATGGAATATATTACTTTGCCATTCATGTCATTCACTTCTTGTCACACGGAGCATGTCATCTAAGTTGCAGTTCTTGCAATGGGATTCCTGTGCTGCTATCACAGCGGGCTATAATTAAGTGGCAAAAAAAATAATTATTCCCTGCTTTGTGAAATATATTTTATCTGTGCTGTAAGTCACAGGATATATTTCCAGTGCTCAGGAATATATTATGTGTGCTTTGACTTATGGACTCAGTGTGTGGGGAGAGCATTGTCCTTCCCCACAGAAATTACAAAAGCTTAGAACACCTTTTAAGCAGACAAATAAAAGCATAACTGGATATGGATGACAAAATGTGGCTTTTTGCCTAATTATCAAGCATCCACTATACAAATTTGTTCATTTTCCATCAAACCTTTGAGCCTTTTATGTGTGTGAAGTGTGTGTGTGTGTGTGTGTGTGTGTGTGTGTGTTGTAGATATGTGGGAAAAGGTTGCAGATCAGTGGTAGAGCATTTGCCTTGCATGAAGAAGATCCCACGTTTAATTCCTGGTATCTCTAGGTAGGGCTGAGAGAGAGATCCCTGTCTAAAGCCTTGGAAAACACTGGCGGTCCATGTACTGTACACAAGACTGAAATGGATCGATTGTGTGACTCCGTATCAGATAACTAAACTTCTTATTTTTAGCGTGTGGAGATATAGAGAACGTGCAGAATAAACCAACAAGAAAGTCATCAAATACTACATAAAAATTTACTATAATTTTAGTACTAGCACTTGCAATTCAAAACCACTAGCAGTGAGATTGTTTTTCATCATAGGCAAAGGGCTCGCTGTATGATTATGCTACATTTTCCCTTACTCTCAGTGGAGCTGTTTCTCACCAAAGCTCCAATTCTGTTGCCAATGGAATAGATGTGGATTGAGATGGGTTCAAAATTGCCTAGCTAAAGCACACTCTGCCTTTTGCTTCATCTTTTCCAATAATACTGACGAGCCCTTTTGTTTCAGCTTGCATTTGGTCTCTACACTCTGTCTCATGGGTATATTCTAAATTCACTGTGTCTGATGGTATTGTTTTTACAATGTTGTTTGCAGGGTGCACCTGGAGCTCCTGGCGCACCTGGCCTCCCTGGTCCTGTTGGTCAGCCCGGTCCACCTGTAAGTACAAGTAATGCTTCTCTAATCTAATATCTTTTCTCACTGAGAAATAGGATCACGTTTCATGAATAAGGGCCAAACCAACCATTACCTAGAAGATGCACCATTTCGATTTAGCATGCTTCCAGACTGTCACTATTTTGGGCTGGGGTCAGTTATGACATTTCAACTTCTGAAAACCTCTGAGGGAAATGCCAAAGGAGATATCCAGCTAGTTGTACCACCATATTTCACACGGAGCCCTTTCAGACATGAAGCTAAGTTATGGGTGCCCAGTATGCATGATGTCACAATGTCACATTATGACATCATGCACGGCCCCTGGCCTCAGAACCTGACTTCTGGTGGTACCAGAAGTTAGGTTTGGAGGTCTCAGAAAGCATCTCCAAGGCCTCGGAGGTGCTGTCCAAGGCCTTTCAAGACCTCAGAGGTTGCGTGGGGGCCCTGCAGTGTGGGTGCTGAGCTAAACCATACTTCAGTGCTATATAAAGGAGTCTCAAGTTGGCCTGCTTTCCTCTCCCTTATCCATCCCCAGCTCCAGAGAGGAAGATTGGAAGCACCCAGTTCCACAAATGAGTTCCCTATTTCATCCAGTCTCCAAGGATTCTGGTTCGTTTAAACAAGCCAGGATCAATCCATCATTTTTCGAATTAACCAGAATTCTCCAAGTTTGAGCATGACAAGGAACTCTGGTTAGTCTGTTAGCAAAAGTGGATTGTCATTATCTCTTCCGTTGCATACCAAAAGGGAAGAGTGGAGGGAGAACTGAGGCTCTCTCTCGCAGAATTAAACTATGGTTTTAGCATTGTGTCCAAACTGAGCCATTTTTAAAATTTTAAAATATGCAGACAGCACAAATTATTGCATGCTCCACAATGGAATCTCTTTGATGGTGTCGAAGGAATTAATTCTCCTCGACTCCCTCTTGATGTCTCAGAAATTTGGAATTTGTGATTGCAACATTTAATGAGCCGACTCAATCCATGATTCCTAAGGTGTGCCATTTGTCTTGCCTAACAGGGACCCCACGGATACCAAGGCCCCCCTGGTGAACCTGGGCAAGCTGGTACTCCGGTAAGTATCAGTGTACACTGTTAATTAATTGGCCTCACAACAAAATTTGGTAAATTTTGGTAAATGATCGTGTTGTGTGGAATTGTATATTAAATACTTCCAGCATTCATTAGCAGGAGTCATTATTATTGGACAGTTTTCTACAATATTTGGAAGAACACAAGTAATGCAAATTTTGTGGAATTGTGGAAACGCTTACCTGAGGCTCGCAGGCACATTTGAAAAGAACCTTGTCTCTTGAACTGGTGCAATCGTAAAGCATTGGGGAGAATACCGCCTTATCCTACACTCTGATTGGAAGGTGAAAGTGAGAGCAGAGAAGCATCCGGAATGCTTCTATCCATTTTTTGAGGCTTTGAGCATTTTTCTTTCTCAAAAATGCTTCGCTACCCATTGGAAACCATAGGAAAGAAAATGGAGGAAGAGATTTAGTCAACCATGTGACTAAATTTGTCCCTGGTTTGTGGATGTGTCAGGGGAACATGACAGCTTTGGATCCTTCAGATCCAAGCCTCTTGCAGGGACACACCTAGAATGCCTCTGATATGACCCCATTTTTATTTTATTTTTGGCCATATGGACATCAGAGCTCTGCCAGAGGATCAGAAAAGGAGGCTCTGATGTCACTCTCCAATGCTAAGAATTTTGTCTCAGATGTTGGAAAGAGGTAATAGGATTGCACCCTTAATCTGCTGAGGCAAAAGTGCCAAATAAATGTTTATTATTATTATTATTATTAATAATAATAATAATAATAATATCCCGCCCGCCCCGGCCAAAGCCAGGCTCAGAGTGGCTAATATCATACAAGTAACACAATGCATAAAAACAAGCAATCAATAAATTAAGATACATCCCACAATTAATTCAAACAAATTAAAATTAAAACTGGACAAGTGGCAATCTTCTGGTTAAAATTGAAGGCAGTTACCAACTGATAATACCGCTGATATTATAAGCACCTGTGAGCGGGCTAGGAACCTTCTTCGTGCTTGTTCTTACACAAGGAGAACTTACTTTGAAAGCTCCAGCTGTGCTCAGGGACTTATAGTCTTTTTGGGAACATATTTTTAAAGGTAATATCAAGTCAATGTTCAAAAAAATCAATACAATATTTATTTATTTTTACTTTTTAAAGCATTTACTTTAAAAAGCATTAAAGGGACAAATTGTCACCTGAGTTAATATTTTTCAGATAAACTGAACTACAAAACCATGACCAGGCAACATTCTCTGAGAATCATGTTCATGCTAATTGGACTCACAAAAGTGAATTTCTCCAGCTAAAGCCTGAGAATTAATAAAACAATTAAGAGATTAATAAAACAATGTCCTGCTTAATGTTTAGCAGGACTTCTGAAATCCTAGATTTCACCATGTGGTGGGAAGGACAATAACAAGAAATATTCAGCCATGAAATTAACAAACAACAGGTGCCATATAATTGACATCACCGTACAAATCCATTGTGGATAGATTCACAGCCACTATATTTTGGAAACCAGTTTCTCAATAGCCATAATGACTACAGACTCCATCTTACTATTCCACTTCGTGGAAGGTTGAAAACAGTTGCAGAAAAGTAGGGGAAATCAGTTTGGATTCCGACATCACCTGCTTGAACGAAACAGGGACTAGGTATTCTCTGTTGATTGCAGAGTTCTCTTTCTCTCAGAACTTACATAATCTGATTTCCACTGGCTATCATTTCTGTAGACCACCATATATTGTTTCTGTTTTTCAGGGTCCTGCTGGTCCACCTGGAAATATGGGTCCACCTGGCCCGGCCGGAAAAGATGTAAGTTAAGTTCATAGTTAACATTAAGCTTATAATATTACATAAGGCTATCTAAGGAGAGTCATTTTCTTCTAGACCATTGGTTTGAATCCAAAGGTGGATTGTACAGGTAGAAAAGTACTTCTCTTGACACAAGGTGTCCCCCCATCTCCTGTTTTGCTCAAAGATCGATGAAAGAGACTTCAAACGCTATGAATGCTGATTTGCCATCCACTAGCCTAAGTCCCTGGTTCCTCATGTCCAACCATGCTTGTTGACAAGGACAGACGAGCACATTTTGTCATGTGGGTTGCAGGGATGGGGAGCACACAAGGGTAGATGGACACACAGCAGAGGAGGAGGCAGTGACAGCTGACAAGAGCAGCAAATGGCAGGCAGTGTGCTCCACAGAAGCCGAATCTGCCACCCCACCCAGCTGTCTAGAGCTGGCCACCATGAGGCAATTGCCTCACTATGCCTCATAGGTGAGCCAGGCCCATAGCTGTCAACGTTTCCCTTTTTTAAAGGGAAATTACCTTATTCCAAATAGGATTCCTCACAAGAAAAGGGAAAAGTTGACAGCTATGGCCAGGCCTGCTTGTTGAGATCAAAGCCAGAGGGTTGTATCAGGCTGCCCTTCCATCATATACACACCTTAGTACACATTGGAAGACCTGCACAGGGTGTTCATTATATGCACAATGAGTTGTGAGAATAGATCAATTAAAGTCAACAAGACATTATTGTTCTTCTCATAAAGGAATGCTGTTCACAAGAGTGATTTTTCTGTTGTAGGTCTGGTCCTTCTTTTGAACTCTTAAGAATTTACTGAGACATTATAGCAAGACAATGAATTATTATTATTATTATTATTATTATTATTATTATTATTATTATTATCTCTCTTTAGGGAGAATCTGGAAGACCTGGCAGAACCGGCGAACGTGGATTACCTGGTACTCCTGTAAGGAAGGAAAAAAAATATTTTCTTGGTTTTGAGTATAAATATGGGTGGTTCTGGAAATGTGGTCCAATCTGAATATGGCTGAGGACAGTGTTGAAGTGGTGTTTATCATTAGGGCAGTTCTGATATGTGCCATCATGCTTTTGAAAGTAGTCGTGTTCCGGCCACTGACATACGCAACATCCATGTTGAGTGCATGTTCAGTGAGGCTGTGAAGGGGCTCTTCTCTTGAAATTACCCAGTGTCAGGAACTGGGCAGAGGAGGAGTGGTGGAGACTGCCTCCCCATCTTGACCTTTCCAGGGAGTAAGGAGAGGAAGACAGTTTAGATTTACAACAGGGGGTTGCAGGAGGTCACAGCTCAGAGGCAGATGAGAGGAAAAGTTGGGAAATAATGGGAGAGGAGGAGGCAGGACCAGAACAGCAGCTGGATGACACAGTGTCTTTAGAATGCATTCTAGACCCCTCATCTCCCAGAACCTGGTGAACCTTAAAAGTTGGAGAGCAAAGAGCTCAAAGACAGAGGGCATCCATAGAGGAGGTGATGATGATGACGAATGAGGAAGTAGGAGAGACGTGGGGGTGGAGATTCACTCGGGACAGCGCCATTATCTAAGAGACTGGGTTCTATAGCCTCTCTCTGTAAATATTGACTAAAAAAGGACAGTAAGGAACCTTCTCTTGTCTTTATACTTTCCTGGGAAAGTAGCCAGGAGTTGCTGACAGCATTCTGTCACACAAACACATCAAGCTGCTCAGGATCTCCCTTGCATGGAGGAACTCTTTACATGTACATGTAACTAGGCACATCAGGTACATCCAAACACTGGCCAGATATGCAGGTAGCAGGGTACGTAACCACACTGCCTGCCAGCAGTGACAAGACTAAGCCCATACAACCCTGAAACTGCCCCACATATTAGTTCAGTGCTTTGTGGGGTTGTTTGAACTCTCTGCTGGAAGCCATGCATTTCAGGATTGTCCTGATGGGGGGAGAGGAAAAACCCACTTCCCAATTTGGAGAGTATTCCCACAGTATCATGTTGTGTAGCAGTTGCAGAAATGTGGCTCTTGGATGCTGTGTGAATAAGACACATGAGACCACATGTGATGGTTGAAATCAAGCCGTTAGCTAATGGTTATACAGCAGGTAAGTAGGGGTGGCATAGCAGTAGGGTGAGGATCAGGTCATATTCCAATCAGCCCTTGCTGTTGGAATAGTGCTCTCCACTTGATGGTTGGGAAACGCTCATTGCAGTCTTGGGAGTTGACCAGTGCTGACTCTGGTGTGAGACAGGCACATCCATAACTTTTGAAGCAACTTAGTATGTGTTATGCATCAAAACTATTGGTTTCAAGTCTTATTGACAAATTCAGGCTTTCACTTCTACAGAGTATGGGAACTTCAAATAACAATGTGCTCAGAGATTTGTTCGTCTGTCTGTCTGTCTGTCTGTCTGTCTGTCTTTTTGTTTGTTTGTTTGTTTCAATCTGAGTGATATCCAGAATTAGCCATGCTTAGAGCAAACCCAGTGAAATCGGTGGATATACTCTGAGTATGACTTATTTGGGTATCACCCTAAGTCACATTTGGGAAACCTTTGGCCCTCCAGATTTTGCTAAATAACAACTCCCATCATCCTTTGCTTGCTGGGGCTGATGGGAATTGTAGTTCAGAAACAACTGGGGAGCCATTGAACTGAGAATGCAATAAAAACTCTTTCAGTGAATATTTGTATAAAATGATCTCCATTTTACATGTGCCTTCATGGATTCTTTTTCTACTACCTCTCATTTCCATTTAGGGTCACAAAGGTCCCCCTGGCATGCCTGGCATGCCTGGAATGAAAGGTCACCGAGTAAGTATTTTAACTTCAGCCAATGCATGGTAGAAGGCATATCAATGAGCGGTAATTCTCCCAGTTCTTGTATATTGCAGAATCTTACTCAAGCCAATGAGATGTTTGTTCACTCAAACACTTTTCTAAACTAAACTCACTGAAGCCCCAAAGATCAGGGCCCCAATTCAACCAGTTAGGACAAGGTAACTGCAATTAGCTTTTGTTGGCTTGGGGTCCAGTTGTGTTAGCAAGTATTCACTGGCAGTCAGTGAAAAGTGGAAATATTCTCAGATGAGTACAATTTTTCATTAGCACTGCTGTGTTCAGGCAATTTCAATGGAGAATTCTTTTTTCTATATAAATTGGCTTTGGAGATATGCAGGCCCATTTCCTTGGAGTTTGCATTCCTGGGGTTACTTTTTCTCTGGCATTAAGAGGAGATTTTCAGAATTTCCCCTGAAGATTCTCCTTTTGTTGTTGTTCTATATTATTTTAATTTGGCGGCTGCTATTTCCCTCCCACAATGCTGTTTCCCTACCATGATTGGAGAATCCAAAATGGTGGTCAGACTGGCAACACTACTGCTGTTGCTTCCACTTGAGAAACTGTTGGATAATGTTTCCTCCCCCTGTAGAATAAATAATAAATAAATAGAAATTCTGTGAAATTCTTAACCCCCTCCTCCCTCTGAAGTTTCTTTGACCATAGTTAAGGTAAATGATTTCTATTTGTGCGTCTCTACTCAGATGTAGGCAGTGCTTTTCTTCCCCAAAAAATGTTTAGGAGTACTCTCATTTTGACTCAAGAAACTCACCATTTTATAGTTCAAATCGGGGAAAATAAATACAGTAAATGGACAAAAGTACAAAGATTCAAAAAATGTTTAGCGGTATGCATACCCCTGCGTCCCCCCCAGAAAAAAAAAGCACTGGGTGCAGGGGAAAATGAACAGAGCAAACTCTGTTGTTTATCAAAATGGGGGGCGGGGAGAATGGCATTTTCCAAGGAGATGTGCTAATGTATTTATTTCCTTTCACAAAGGGATTTGATGGAAGAGACGGTGCCAAAGGTGATGCAGGTGCTCCTGGTCTGAAGGTAAAATATGTTTATTCTATATACTGTACAGAACTGCTTCTACCAAATTAGGGATTGTTTTAAATGTATGCCTGAAGGGGCCATTAAGCTGTATTATGAGCTGCCTGCTTGGTTTGGTTGAAAGAGTGGATGACCCTGAATATGGGATTTTTAAGTGCATTTAGCTAAACATTCGTCTAGCCTTCTCTGCTTGAACAATAAGGTTTCCCAAACACAGGAGGGACTGTAAGTGGGTTCTGCCAAATGCAAAGTTGGGGTGAGAGTGGCAAGCACAGCCCCACGCCAGTTCCGTGAATAGAATTAGGAGTGCCTGAATAGAGTTTAGGGCAGCAATCTTATATACCCTTACCTGGTAATAGGGAAGGGTGACAAATTCAGTTTGGTTCACAAGACATAATATATATGGCTGTCCTTTGGAGCTCTCTGAATTTTGCACTTCTCTGGCATAAAAGGTATACAAAATATCTATGTTGCAGGAAAGTGTGTGTTCTATTAATTAATGCATTCTATTACTAAAAATCACATACAAAAATGCCTTACATGAGGGGGAAATTGCTTGCCAAAAATGTGTATATTAGGCAAAACTACCGTTAAAATGGTGTGTATATTGTGAGAAACGTGCCTACAAATTTTCATGAGGACATTTTATACATATATATTTCTCAAACTGATACAAAAATGTGTGAACTTAAGAATGCAAAAATGAGAAACTGAGAGAAAACTTGAGACTGACAGGTTCTACTATCCCTACCTAAAAGCAAGCCACGCCAAAATCAGTGGTGTTTACTTCATTCTGTGTATTATTGCACGATAGTATTTGTCTAATTATGCAACCCCTTCACACAATTAATTTAAGAAGAATAGGAAAATATTTACCATTTCACACAAGGTTCTAATTCCAGAGATCCCTGTGTTCAGCAAAGCCCGGCAGGAACTCTACAACACACAAAGACCTCTTTACATGCTCACCCAGTTGTCTCTGGTGATGTTGATCTTACTTCCCAAGCAAATGATCTATCTCGTCTATGGCCCAATCCAGCCAGGATCACTGCATGTATAGCCCAAGATAGTGCAGGCAGATTTGACCTATGTATTGCATTTTTATTTTTATTTTACATATGAGGGTCTGATCCAAAAAGCAATCCTCATATAAAAGCCTGCTTCCATGAACTTATTGTCCTTGCTGGATCAGGGTGAAATATTTAACAATTCACACAAAAAGAAAAAACAGTTTTCAAAACTGTGAAACAATATATGCTGTACATTTATAAAATGTGAAGCAATATATGCTGTATATTTATCCAGTGTTTTCTTTATTAAATAGGGTGAGAACGGTCTTCCTGGAGAAAATGGATCCCCCGGACCAATGGTAATTTGTTTATTTCAAAACAATTGAGTAGGAAGTCTCAAAATAAATACTTGATAGAACATTCAGCTATTGGATTAAATTTATGTGCATTGTGCCCTTTGATATAAATACTTCCAGGGCAGCACACACAGGCAAAACATTAAGATGACTATTATTATTATTATTATTATTATTATTATTATTATTATTAAAAATGTAAATAAAACAAGTATAATAGATATAAAATAATCACATAGGAACAGTTAAAAACCTGGAAAATTAAAACAGTTTTGTTTTCCTCTGGCTGAAAAAGATAGCATAGTAGATGCCACAAATGGGGGAAGATTCCGTAAATGGAATTCCACAGCTGAGAAAGTCACCTCCCTCACTTCAAAAGGTGGGGATATCAAATAGAGCACCTCTGATGATTGTGATATCAGTTTATGACAGGCTATTATGGAGGCAGGGTGTTCCTTCAAGTATCAGTCCCATTTCAAGCTGTATAGGGTTTCAAAGGTAAGCACTTACCTTTTGAATAGCCTGCAGAAATGAGCTTATAGTCTGTGGAGTTGTTTAACAACCAGTAATCTATGTTACCGGGACGAGGGTGGCGCTGTGGGTTAAATCACAGAGCCTAGGACTAGCCATTCAGAATGTTAGCAGTTCGAACCCCTGCGACGGGGTGAGCTCCCGTTTCTCGGTCCCTGCTCCTGCCAACCTAGCAGTTCAAAAGCACGTCAAAGTGCAAGTAGATAAATAGGTACCGCTCCGGCGGGAAGGTAAACGGCATTTCCGTGCGCTGCTCTGGTTCGCCGGAAGCGGCTTAGTCATGCTGGCCACATGACCCGGAAGCTGTACGCCAGCTCCCTCGGCCAATAAAGCGAGATGAGCGCCGCAACCCCAGAGTCGGTCACGCCTAGACCTAATGGTCAGGGGTCCCTTTAGCTTTAATATATGTTGCCACCAGCTAGTCGATTGTGCATCTGTTCCCTTTTGAGAAGAGATTCCATGCTGTTATCTATTTCTGTTGTCCAAAAAAGAGCTTCCTATTACACAAGTTCAACTATCCCTTAGCAGCTAAGTATAAATAGAGCTGGTAGGTACTGTAGATAAAATGATGTGGGTGGCACTGTGGTCTAAACCCCTGAGCCTCTTGGGCCTGATGATCAGAAGGTCGGCGGTTTGAATCTGTGCGACGGGGTGAGCTCCCATTGCTCTGCTCCAGCTCCTGCCAACCTAGCAGTTTGAAAGCATGCCAGTGCAAGTTGAAAAATAGGTACCGCTGCGGTGGGAAGGTAAATGGTGTTTCCATGTGCTCTAGCTTCTGTCATGGTGTTCCATTGCGCCAGAAGCAGTTTAGTCATGCTGGCCACATGACCCGGAAAGCTGTCTGTGGACAAACGCCAGCTCCCTTGGCCTCAAAGCAAGATGAGTTCCGCAACCCCATAGTTGCCTTTGACTAGACTTAACCATCCAGGGGTCCTTTATCTTTTATTTTATTTTATAAAATGGTGGAAGGATTGGAGTGTGGAGATGGTGTCCTCCTAAATAGACACTGCCTCCTCCAAGCCACCCCAGCTCCTATGGGCAGTGAATCCCAATACACATGATCAAAATAGTCTTACTATGGGGCCAAAATATTAAAGAGTCATTCGTGGTGTTTCTCTCATAAAGGTTTCCCAGCTATCCAGTCAGTGATGAATAATTTTAAACAAATTGTGTTTGATTTCCATTCCTTAACTGAATGTCATATATTTTCATTAGGGTCCAAGAGGTCAGCCTGGCGAGAGAGGAAGACCGGGAGCTCCAGGAAGTGCTGTAAGTTACTGAACCAAAACTTCACATTGATTGCTATTTGTAGTCCTTCAGGCAAGGCATCTTCAGCAGGTCTCAAGAATCCTGGAAGGTAACATGCAGACCCAGAATTTTCTAATGTTGCCTCTGGTTTTCTTGTGTACAAAAGGAGACGACAAAGTATAGCATGAGTGTGTTTGGAGAAAGGGTCCGTATGTTACAAAAGTACCATCCACACAGAAGAGGGAGGTTTCGGCAGGCTGAGAAGAAACCCCAAGGATTGCAGATGGGGGCTAAACTAGGAAGGGTGTGCACACAAGCCCACTGAATATACAGTGAATCTCTACATGTTCTGTGCAGAGATTTCTCAGTCATTGTTGTTGTTGTTAATATGCTTATTGGTGACATTTTAAAATCAACAGGTGTATTAAAAACAACATCTATTATTATTATTATTATTATTATTATTATTATTATTATTATTATTGCAGCAATCCTAGATAGGATTGCATCCTCCATGCCTTTTTGGAGGCCTGGCTACTGACTGTCAAGAATGGTGAACTATTTATATATCCTCTATTCCTTTGGCACTGATGCCCCCAAATTCTGTTTTTATTTTCCAAGTATATGCCAAGTGCCTGTAGTAAGAATCAAATTATTCTCCCCCTCTACCAGGATTGAGGGACGCGGGTGGCACTGTGGGTTAAACCACAGAGCCTAGGGTTTGCCGATCAGAAGGTCGGCAGTTCGAATCCCCATGACGGGGTGAGCTCCCGTTGCTTGGTCCCTTCTCCTGCCAACCTAGCAGTTCGAAAGCACGTCAAAGTGCAAGAAGATAAATAGGTAACGCTCCGGCAGGAAGGTAAACGGCATTTCCGTGCGCTGCTCTGGTTCGCCAGAAGTGGCTTAGTCATGCTGGCCACATGACCCGGAAGCTGTACGCCGGCCCCCTCAGCCAATAATGCAAGACGAGCGCCGCAACCCCAGAGTCATCCACGACTGGACCTAATGGTCAGGGGTCACTTTACTTTATACCAGGATTAACACATACTATAGTTTGTTTACTTTGTGGGCTTGGCAGCCATTATTTAAAAGGCATTTTTAAAACTGCCTTTCTTGAAGATTTTGTCCCCTTGTTTCTTCCCTCCCAAACCCATCAGTTCCAGATTCATCACCCAGAGCTCCAATGTGCACATAAAATTCCTGAAGCTCCAAAGTTTCTGGTGAGGAGCAAGTTCAGTGCTTACAATGAGAGGAATTCACACATGGAGTTTTCTTTCTCTCCTTACAAACAAATGTTTGTTTCAAAGAGGGAAACATATTAATATTGCTCCGTGTCAGATTTTGTTTGTTCCTAATGTATTTAATTCCATTTGCAGGGCGGTCGTGGTAATGATGGCTCCCCTGGAGCAGCTGGCCAACCCGTAAGTAACTGTGCGTTGTGTGGCTATTAGCCACTCTGACCTGTTTATAACTCGGAGTACATCTAGCCCGGGACGCAGTTGGCGCTGTGGGTTAAACCACAGAGCCTAGGATTTGCCGATCAGAAGGTTGGCAGTTCAAATCCCCGCAACGGGGTGAGCTCCCGTTGCTCAGTCCCTGCTCCTGCCAACCTAGCAGTTCGAAAGCACGTCAAAGTGCAAGTAGATAAATAGGCACCACTCTGGCGGGAAGGTAAACGGCGTTTCCGTGCACTGATCTGGTTCGCCAGAAGCGGCTTAGTCATACTGGCCACATGACCCGGAAGCTGTACGTTGGCTCCCTCAGCCAATAAAGCGAGATGAGAGCCGCAACCCCAGAGTCGGCCATGACTGGACCTAATGGTCAGGGGTCCCTTTACCTTTACATCTAGCCCATATATTATATTAAGTGCTGCTGAATTGCAAGCGAGACATAAAGCACTTCTGGCTTCCCTCAATGAAGGCAACGGCCAAAGTAAAACTTCAGATGAATTGTACTTCAGATATTACATTTGTTGCCGAGAACCAGTAGTGCCAGGCAACATGCATCATTAAAACAATGCCTGGCCCTTTTGTTATCCGCACTGGTATCTTCTGCTTCTATACGTTCATCCCACACCCTGGTAGTCTCTTGTTTTATTCAAACACTTGCTAAGTTCCATCTCAAAATCTAAAAAAGAAGAAGAGCTCACCCCCCTGTGCACTCTCCAGAAGTAGTTACAGAAGGGTCGGATAGAGATCCAACAAAAATAAATAAATCTATCTAGTCGCGTCTCTGTGAATAGCATTTAGATTGAAATTCTTCTCAGGTTATTGATTAATGAACAAAATCTAAAACCACAGTTTCCATATGTGCTGAGGAAACCCAGACAATGTTAGGCGTGACTCAGTCCACTGAACAGAGTGAAATTTAAATGGGTTTATGCCATTTTGCTTTTAACAAGAGTCTTCCCTGTGATTGGGAGTCGAAGTCTGTGGCTGAAGTGAAAGTCTCACCACATGAGAACAGCTGAGCTAAAGACTCATCCAATTTGCCCTTGCCGCACCACTTTCCCCCAGGGAAACCCAATGTTTACTGCTGAATCAGAGCAAACTTCAATCACGTTTTCTCCAGACTGACTTTGCTCTGATTTATTCCTAAAGAGCTGGTTTCCCAGGGGAAAGCAGTGGGGCAAGTAGAAAACTGCTCAGACTCATGCTTTCTAGGCATGGGACAGGTGCAAGTTTGGATGAGCTCTAAGTCTCCATTCCATCACAATGCATTGGGACTTAGCCAAGAGACTAATGTGTGCTAAAATCTGTCCATATTCAGCATTATGAAATCCAAGTAACTTATATCTGGCATATTGCAAGGACCCAGTGTATAACCATTCACGTGGTCATAACACAAGCTTCCTGTGTTATTTATATATTGTTGTGATATCCATATCCTGCTTTTTCAGTAAAAAAATAATAGTCAAGTTTACTTGCAACATGTTTAAAATCACAAAACATCAACATGTCGACCACATTTTAAAAAAATGTGTAAGGAACAGGCCATAGGAGATAGATATAAAATCTAGGGATTTGTTGTTGTTGTTGTTAAAAAAGACCAGTTTAGGAAGCCAAAAATTTGTGTGAACAAGATGATGGAAGTCCATCAGAGATGAACAAAATGAACCCCTCTTGGTGGGGAGTCCCACAACCTAGGTGAGACCACAGAGAAGGCTTATGGTTTTGTGAGAGACCCTAGGCTGGATACCTGAGCTCAAGCTCTGTGCTTGATGTGTCACTTCAAGCACAGGTAGCAGCTCACGATGGTGAAGGCAACCTTCCAAAGTCACACATTCAGAAAGGGAAAGATTTTGTTCATAGGTGGGCCACATAGTCTCTTGATTGTTTTCATCTATTCTCATAAGAATATGATATAACACAACTAATACTTTTAAAAAATAATGACCTATATCATTTTTTCTTCCAATAATAATATTGTTGTTGCTGTTTTCCTAAGGGTCCCCCAGGCCCCCCTGGACCTTCAGGATTTCCAGGTTCTCCAGGTTTTAAGGTATCTATCCTATCCTATCCCTTTCTATCCTATATGTTTGCCTTTAAATAAATGCCTCATATATGTCTCATCTGCGATCCTAAGGACGTTTTTGCTGAAATCCACAAATAGATGAAGTTAGGAAGTTTTATCAAAAGTAGCTATTGGGTCTGGGTTTTTCACTAACGAGGTGTTTCTTATCTATTAATAGCATGTGGGGCACGGGTGGTGCTGTGGGCTAAACCACAGAGCCTAGGGCTTGCTGATCAGAAGGTTGGCAGTTCAAATCCTCACGATGGGGATGAGCTCCCATTGCCCGGTCCCTGCTCCTACCAACCTAGCAGTTTGAAAGCACGAAGTGCAAGTAGATAAATAGGTGGGAAGGTAAATCATGTTTCCGTGCACTGCTCTGGTTCGCCAGAAGCGGCTTAGTCATGCTGGCCACATGACCCGGAAGCTGTACACTGGCTCCCTCAGCCAATAAAGCGAGATGAGCGCCGCAACCCCAGAGTCATCCGCGACTGGACCTAATGGTCAGGGGTCCCTTTACCCTTTACCAATAGCATGTGAGGTGGTTATTCCCCCCCAAAAAAATCATGCAGTGTGATTTTAATTGAAACACTTGTGGATTTGAATGGCCAAGTTCCAGATTTAAAATCTTCTCTATTGATGCAAACATAACAAGGTACTGTGTAGATATCTGGAAGAGGATCTTCAGTGCCTCATCGATTATGGTTTTCAGTATCCCTTTGTGGGGAGAGGCAGAATGGTAAAAAAAATGAATGTGTTTGGTGTTGATGTATCCTTAGTTTCCACTAACTTTTTCAGAAAACAATTCCACGCACCCTTTCCTTCACATTCTAAATAGCAACAATTATTGAGAGATCATGGCAAACATATTTGCTGACATTACTTTGTGCTGAAGAAGAATTCTTATTCTTCTTCTCTGGCGATTACTCGTAGCCGACTAAGATTGTTTTCTATAAACACGGTTTTAACTGAGAGTCCGTAAGTGACTGTGGAGACCAATTCTGGATCCACACATCCTTCCACAGTGGGGACATTGGTTTCCGGGCGGGATTTGATCACGGTGATCACGGTGTGGATTTGCCAAGTGTGCCTTCCTCTTAGTATGTTTATCCCTTGCGTCCTGAGTTCGAGTGTCTTCAAAGCCCAGTGTTTCCCAGTTGTCAGTGTTTTTTTAGATTTGCCTTGAGACAGTTTTTAAACCTCTTTTGTTGACCACCAGCATTACGCTTTCCATTTTTAAGTTAAGAATAGAAGATGATCATCAGGCATCCGCACAACATGACCAGTCCAACAAAGTTGATGTTGAAGAATCATTGCTTCAACACTGGTGATCTTTGCTTCTTCCAGTACACTGGCATTAGTTCGCCTGTCTTCCCAAGTGATGTGTAAAAATTTTCAGAGACACCGTTGATGGTGCCTGATTGCCATGACCCTCGTGTGATGTGATCTTCCACTTAATGAAACCACCAGAAGAAAATCCAGTGAAAATCCTCATTATTGCATATTTTACACGGCTGTTTATAACTGTATATATTTTAAAATTTTATATATGGATGTTTTGTGATGGCCTATGTTAGTAATGCCTAAAAAAGTTTGGCAAAGTAGGATGAAATCATCAAGCTACTGAGTTTTGTTTGTTAAAACCGATTGCTTGCTCTCTTCTATTCAGGGTGAAACTGGTCCTGTTGGCCCCCCTGGCTCTAGTGGGTCTCCTGGAGCAAGAGGAGAACCTGGTCCTCAAGGACAGCCTGGTGGTCCTGGTCCTGCTGTAAGTATCATATGTCCTTTATACACCCATACATTGTTTTACTCACCTAGCAAAATCTGTTTCATAGAGACATTTTAAAAGCTGCTTCCGTGAATGTCAACATTATTACCTATTCTCTTTTTTTCAATTCTATTTTATTAAGTTTCAACATTTTAAAATTATACAATCAAAACACAGTTTTGTCTTTTCTCTTATTTTTGTCAGCTTCCTTTTTTCCCCAATAAATTTTTATTAATTTTCCAACACAATTATACAATTTTATCCAAATTTTAACAAATTATCTCTTTTTCGACTTCCTTCAGCTTCTCTGGCAATCATCCATATTTATCTCTTCAATATGCATTCCCTTCATTTGTATTGCCATTTGTCTTCCCTCCCCCTTCTATTTCTTTTTAACAATACATCTCAATTTTTACAGTGCTTCTTGAAACCCCACTAGCATTGTTTCCACATCTCATACACTTTTCAGATATTCTACAAACTTTCCCCAGTCTTCGATGAACCTTTGGTCTCGCACGTATCTAATTTTCCCAGTTAGTTTATCCAATTCCGCATAATCTGTCAGTTTCACTCTCCATTCTTCTACCGTCGATATTTCCTCTTGTTTCCATTTCTGGGCCAGTAAAATTCTTGCTGCTGTAACTGCATACTGAAAAAGTTTACAATCCTTTCTTCTTATTTCCTTTCCTGTAATCCCTAAAAGAAAAGCTTCTGGTTTCTTTACAAAAGTATATTTTAACATCTTTTTCAATTCATTGTATATCGCTTCCCAGAAACTTTTCACTTTCTTACATTCCCACCACATATGATAAAACGTTCCTTCTTTTTCTTTACATTTCCAACACTTATTACATGTCTTATACATTTTTGCTAGTTTTACCGGTGTAATGTACCATCTATAAAATATTTTCATAACATTTTCCTTCAACGCCGTACATGCAGTAAATTTTAAATTTTCTTTCCACAGGTTTTCCCAATCATCAAATTGAATATTATACCCAAAGTCTTTGGCCCATTATATCATTACCGATTTAACCTCTTCATCTTTCGTATACCATTCCAACAATATCTTATACATTTTTGACAAAATTTTACATTCATTATTTAGTATATCTGTTTGAAATTTTGAATCTTTTTCTACATAACCACTTTCTTTTATATCTTTTTTAAACATTTCATTAACCTGGAGATAATGCAACCAATCATATACATGATCTTTAACTTGTTCATATGGTTTTAATTTCCATTTTCCTCCTTCTTTAATTACCATTTCACCATACGTAATCCATTTACCTCTCATATTAATTTTCTTTACACTCATAACCTCCAACGGAGATAGCCAGTGTGGAACTCTTGGTTCCAATAGATTTTTGTACCTGTCCCATATTTCTATTAACGAATTCCTGAAGATGTGGTTCCCAAAACCTTTATGAATTTTCTTCTTGTCACACCATAAGTATGCGTGCCATCCAAATCTGTTATCAAAACCTTCAAGACCCAATAATTCCTTATTTTCTAGTTTTATCCATTCCTTTAACCAACATAGGCATGCTGCTTCATAGTATAGTTTCATATCATATTTTTGTCAGCTTCCAACCTCGTTTTCCATGCAGTTGTTGTCTGCTTCACCCTATCTTCTATCTATCAAGTTATAACCACAATATTATAATCTAATTACTTCTGTTACTCATAGCTGAAATCCTTCTCGCGAGTTCGTCATACTATAAAATTTCTTTAAATAGTCCAAAAAAGGCATCCATTCTTCCATAAAACCCTCATCATTAGAATCTCTTGATTTTGCTGTTAATTTTGCCAGTTCTGCATAGTCCATTATCTTACTTATCCATTCTTCTTCAGTTGGAACTTCTTCTTCCTTCCATTTCTGCACATATAGAATCCTAGCTGCTGTTGTTACATACATAAACAACTTTTCACATTTTCGGTGGGATTTCTGCCCCTATAATCCCTAACAGAAACGCTTTGGGCTTTTTCAATAGGCTCATTTTACGCTTTTTATCTTATCATGTATCATTTCCCGAAATACCCTCGCTTTCTTGCAAATCCACCACAAATATATGTAAAAAAAAAATCTACCTGTTTACACTTCCAGTTATTATTAGGAACCTTCTTATACATTTTAGATAATCTGTTAGGTGCTAAGTACCATCTATACGACATTTTCATATAATTTTCTTTTAGAGCATAGCAAGCAGTAAATTTTATATCTACTTTCCGTAGCTTTTCCCATGCACTCATTTCTAAATATTATTACCTATTGTCTCTAGGGTCCTGGAGGTAGAGATGGAAGTCCTGGTGCAAAAGGTCCCCCAGTAAGTAATCCTTCTGTCATACCACATTGGCTGTGCCTGTGGTCTAAGCTGCCATTTTATTCAATATCACATGGGAATTTGTAAATTTGAGCACATTTTCTTTCCCCACAGGGTCCTGCTGGCATGGCTGGTGCTCCTGGACTGAGCGGAGGTCGTGGTCCTCCTGGCCCCCCGGGTACCAATGGAATCCCTGGACAAAGAGGTCCAGCTGTAAGTCGCCAGCTCATCTTTGTCAAGTTTGCATGAAAATTGGATTCAGGAAAACAACATCTGCAATCCTATAGATATTGGGAAAACAACACCTGCAATATATACAGTACTTATAGGCACAAGGATATGATTTGAACCTAATTAGGGAGGGTTATCTTTTGAGCTTCCAACTTTCCATGTTTCCTCCTGAAAACTATTACATCTTATCTCCGACATTTTGCTGTTATTATCAATATATGCCCGGGAATAACCTGAATCAGAGGGTTGGGGAATGCATTCTCAGGCAGAGCAGCTCTTCTCTGAAGAGGAGCTATAGGGGAAAGATTTGTCCCCCCCTTGTCTCCAGCGGTTTCAGAAGCAGGGAGAGACACAGACACTGAGCAGCTTTGGCAGGAGTTACCTAGCTACGAGCTAATGGAAAGAGAAACAGAAGGGAGGGAACAGCCAGCAGAGACGTCATTAGAGTGTGAGGGAGTCTCCCTCCCCAAGAACTAGGAGGTCTGTCTGTATTAGAGAACAAAGAATGCAGAGAGGAGGAACTTCCTGTTGGTGCCCAGGATGTTGCAGGGGATGGAAGGGGAAGGATTTAGAGTAGCCAACTGCTCTCCTAGTGGAGAGATGTGGATTTTTGCTTGCAACCAGATGACCGAATAAAAAAAGACTATAAATTATAAACTGCTCATTAATTCTTATCTGTGAAGTTATCAACGGGAGGGGAGGACTCTCGATGCCTTGACAATATAATACAAATGGGGATGGCACTAGAAGCCAAAAATATTAATGATAAGAAAATATTTTACTAGATATAGTGGCACGACAGATAAAAATGCGTAACTTTAGGGTGGGTTCAGTCATGCTTAGGAATAATTCCATGTGCCTTGCATCCTAAATAGCAAGAATTCTTGAGAGATCATGGCAGACAATGGGTCATATTTGCTGACAATACTTTGAGCTCAAGATGAATTATCAGCAGCAGATTTTACTAGATTGCTTTTTGCTCTCCTACTCAAACTAAGGGTGTAACCCAAGCGCATTGAAAAGCCATGTTTGATCAAGGCATAATCATGCTTAGAGTAGCCTCATTGAAATTAATGAGACTTAAGTTAGCTGTGACTAACTTGCCCCATTGATTTCAATGGGTCTACTCTATGTATGATTAAGTCCAAGCCACTGTGAGATTTTATGAAAGCTGTCATTGTAGTGTTTGATCTTTGCTGGCTCATTCAAACAAGCAAGTCAAGCGGTGAATGCGCATGTCTGAAACAGCCGTTAATCTTTACCGCAGGGGTAGCTACCCTGTTGCAGCAAAATGACAAAGAGTGTCATGACAAAAGCTTTAGTGCTGCAGAATCCACTTTGCCGAATGCATACAATGTGATCCTAAATCTCAGAACAACACAATTTTTCTCCTAGCGTGTGTGGTTCATTTGGTCTCAGTCAGTGAAACCCCACATTCTATCGGAAGTATAATGTGAGGTATAGGGATGTGGGTGGCACTGTGGTTGTCGGTTTGAATCCCCATGACAAGGTGAGCTCCCGTTGCTCTGTCCCAGCTCCTGCCAACCTAGCAGTTTGAAAGCACACCGGTGTAAGTAGATACTGCAAATAGGTACCACTGTGGCAGGAAGGTAAACGGTGTTTGCATGCACTCTGGTTTCCGTCACAGTGTTCCGTTGTGCCAGAAGCTGTTTAGTCATGCTGGCCACATGACCCGGAAAGTTGTCTGCAGACAAACGCCGGCTCCCTTGGCCTGAAAGCGAGATGAGCGTCGCACTGCATAGTCTCCTTTGACTGGGCGTAACCATCCAGGGGTCCTTTACCTTTACCTTTTTATAATGTGAGGTGCTTCACCTGCTGGAACGATTGCTGTTTAATAAGTCTTTCGGTTAAATTTTAAGGATTGTGTGTTCTCTTTAGGGTGAACCTGGTAAGAATGGCGGAAAAGGAGAACCGGGACCAAGAGGTGAACGAGTGAGTATTTGTCAACCCAGTACCTAGTAGGTTTGGATGGGGCGGAACTGTAATTCCTGCTCATGGAAAATTGGTTTCAAAAGATACCAGTACATTGCTGTAGTGAGATTTTATCTTTGGGACTCCTCCAGCTTTAGCAGTTAATAATATTTTATTGTATTTCATTATAAGGGTGAAAATGGTACTCCCGGCGCTGCTGGTCCTCCAGGAGAAGAAGGCAAGGCAGGGGGACCTGGTCAACCTGGCACAAATGGTATACCTGGAAGTCCAGGAGAACGCGTAAGTACTCAGCAGATCAGGTTTTAGACAAAGGGAAACACACCTTTGAAATGACTAGTGTGGCCAACAGTGCAACCAGACTCATGTCTGCTCAGAATTAAGTTCAGCTGAGTTCAGTGGACTTACTTCCAGCTAAGTATGCATAGGATTGCAACCTAAATCCTGAAGCAGCGAAACATTAGCCTTGCCCAACTTAAGGGACTATTCAGAAGACGGTAAATTCAAGAGAATGAAATGGAGTAAGAGCTTTTTTCGCTAGAAAAAAGCCAACAAGATTGTCATTCTTGAATTATTTTTATTTTTATTTTTTATTTTTTGAGAAACAGCGTGGATTTCCAGCGTGGTCCCCAACTATAGCACTTTTCACCATCGGGAGCATTAAATTGTAAGCTCCTCGGTACAAAGACCTTGTCCTTTCATTAGCTGGATCAGGTCCATTGTACATGAATTCTAGAGCAGCAACAGATAAACTTTTCATCCAATGTGAAATGTCGCCTACAGTTATTCTTTTGACTAAATCTCATCCATCATCTCATATATATGCTGTTATGTGGACATCTCAGTACAAATAAAAGATTGAAAATGCATTTGACATCTCTGCTTGGTTGGCATGTAGCATACTTCAACGCATCCTTTTCCTCTGCTATTAAGTGACCCGCAGCATGAACATTTCTGTTGGTTTTTTCCTTCAGGGTGCCCCAGGTTTTCGCGGCCCTCCTGGCAGTAATGGACTTCCAGGTGAAAAGGTATACTCTTCTCTTCCTGCTAAACTGTTCACTTTCTACTTTGCTTATTGTTTTTCCTCAAATTACAATACAACTTTATATTTCCACAATCTGTTACTAATCCTATATTGCAATTTGTTTCAATGTCATTTAAGGGTGGGCCCGGTGAACGAGGTTCTCCTGGTCCTGCAGGACAAAGAGGCGTTCAGGGTGAACCAGGACGTGATGGTAGCCCAGGTCTTCCAGGAATGAGAGTAAGTTAAAATACCTTCTGGGTGGGATAGATAGATAGATAGATAGATAGATAGATGATATAGATATAGATGATATAGATATGGATGCGGCTGGCGCTCTGCTATAAACCACCAAACCTTTGGGCTTGCCGATCAGAAGGTTGGCGGTTCGAATCTCTGTGACAAGGTGAGCTCCCGTTGCTCTCTTCCAGCTTCTGCCAACCTAACAGTTCGAAAGCGTACCAGCTCAAGTAGATAAATAGGTACCGCTGCAGCAGGAAGGTAAATGGCGTTTCCATGCGCTCTGATTTCCATCACAATGTCCTGTTGCACCGGAAGTGGTTTAGTCATGCTGGCCACATGACCCGGAAAGCTGTCTGTGGACAAACGCCAGCTCCCTCAGCCTGACGGCGAAATGAGCGCCGCAACCCCATAGTCACCTTTGACTGGACCTATTTGTCTAGGGGTTCTTTACATACACAAACACACACAATATTATATATATTCCATATTAGTGATGGCTGAGATGACTAGCTATAGTAACAAAGAGCTCATATGCCAATACTTTATTCTGCTAATATCCAGATACCAACTTTCTAGATTTCTAGATAATTCCCTACCAGTGTCCAAGTCCTTGAGAATCCATTTACACCTATGCACTTAGTGGTCAATGCTTATAAAGAGCTGTGCTTCATTATAGAGAAGAAATGGTGGACTTGTTTCTTGACTGCACCACTAGGACATCTTAAATTTGTCAACTTTCGAATTCCAAAAATGAGAGGTGATAAAAAAGTTGTAACATGACTTGGGAATTCAAAAGGAAGTTTGGTTAAAGTAATGTAATTTAGTTTTGCTAAGCAAGCAAAATGTGTGCAAATCATTGAAAATATTTGCCAAGCACTTGCAGTTATATTTTTAATTAATTTATTTAGCATCACCTGACATTTGCAGAAGGGAAAATTTAAATTATTTTGTTTTCTGAAAGCATTTTGTGTGCTATTGCACCAAAAGTAGACTTACCAAGCTAATAATTGTCCAGCCACAAAATAATAGCAGATTTGAATTTTTCACACCCAAAAACAATTTTTAAGACCCTTCACTGGAGAGATTAGCAAAAATTAAGTTTCATGCCCTAAAATAACATGCCCTACCACTTAATAAAGCTTGTCTTCAAGGCTAATGCTTTAACAGTGGGAAAAATAAAATGGAACCCTAAAATGTCCTCTTACGAAAGGTCTCTTTTACACAAATACTATTTTCATTTCCTTGCACAGGGTTTAACAGGAAGCCCAGGAAGCCCAGGACAGGATGGAAAACCAGGTCCTTCTGTAAGTAAATAACTTTATGCCACTCCTGTTACCATCCTTGACTTTCACACCTGTAATAAAATAAACATAGCAGCTTATTTAAATTTACTGAGTACATTGGTTTGCTCTGAAGTTATATTAGCAAAGCTTTTACTCTGGGTTTTACTAAATGGCACTGTCAACCCTACTTAGCTAACATTCATGGGGACACCAAATATTATTAGATGAATGTATACTTTCAGTAGGAATGCGGGTAGAGCTGTGGGCTAAACCACATAGCCTAGGACTTGCCAATCAGAAGGTCGGTGGTTTGAATCCCCGTGACAGGGTGAGCTCCCATTGCTTGGTCCCTGCTCCTGCCAACCTAGCAGTTCGAAAGCATGTCAAACTGCAAGTAGATAAATAGGTACCGCTCCGGTGGGAAGGTAAACGGCGTTTCCATGCGCTGCTCTGGTTTGCCAGAAGCGGCTTAGTCATGCTGGACACATGACCCGGAAGCTGTACGCCAGCTCCCTCGGCCAATAAAGCGAGATGAGCGCTGCAACACCAGAGTCGTCCGCGACTGGACCTGATGGTCAGGGGTCCCTTTACCTTTATACTTTCAGTGTCTTAGGGTTTTCTTGCTTGTGTGTGTGTGTGTGTGTGTGTGTGTATGTGTGTGTGTGTGTGTTTTAAATCATTTGAGAATGTTTAAAATGACAGGATAATCTAGAACTGTCTTTGTTTAATTCACAACAGCAAGATGATCCCTTGGGGTTTTCATATTTCTCTGTTGTTTCTTTACATGTCCCTATACATTTAATTTGCATTTGTTTTCATCAGGGGTCCCCGGGAGAATCAGGGCGAAGTGGTCCCCCAGGACCAGCAGGTCCACGAGGTCAACCAGGTGTGATGGGTTTTCCTGGTCCCAAAGGTAGCGAGGTTAGTATAATCTGAAGAATATATACTTAAGAGGCCACACTTACTTATACTTACAGCTTCTATAAACTCATGGTGCTGTGACTCAGACAACAGAATATCTGTTTCCAGTGCTTTTTGTCCTACAAAAAAAGAGGTGCCGGAACTCACCATGAATGTCTCTGTTGTTCTCTTAGAATGGCAATGGCACCCACCTGAGAGGTGCTGGAACTGAGTTCCAGTGAGTTCCAGCTGAAAAAAAGTCCAGTCTGTTTCTACTTTGAGTATGGCACCCCTGGATGTCTGTGACTGGCCATAAATTATGGTTCTATCACATTATTTTGATAATAAATAGAACGTAGTATACTGAACTTTTATTGCTTTCAGTCCACAGCCATTGAAATTTTCCACTATTAAAAACAAAAAAAGATTTCAGAGATACATTTCAACTCTGCCATATGTTTGTATTTCTTAGGGTTCACCAGGTAAAAATGGAGAGAGAGGTTCACCTGGACCTCCTGGCGGACTGGTGAGTAGAATTAATCAATCTGCTAGTAATTCCACATTATATCTTTATGGCATTATGCTGACCATAACTAACACCAATTCTTATTATTTAACAGGGACAACCAGGAAAGGATGGTGAAGCAGGAGCACAAGGCCCTCCAGGACCTTCTGTAAGTAAGCTTCATTGAGAAACATGACAACAATTTCATAGACTCAGAGCTGGAAGGGACCTCAAAGGTCATCTACTCCAACCTGCTATTACTGTTGCAGCATCCCAATTATATCATATCTACTAAAATTGTAACTACTGGCTATAAAAAGACAAAGTAAATTTATCACCCATCCTATCTGTAATTCTGTCTGGGACTTCACTTGACATCAGGCAGTGGGGCACAAATTTCATCTGGTAACCATGCAAATTATTTTTTGATATTTAGGGGAAATGAGTATGTTTGTTCCGATAGCATTGGAAATGAGATTGAGGGGAGCAGAACAGGGAATCATACATCAGGAATTCAGTACTTTTGCTGCCTTCTTCTTCTTCTTCTTCTTCTTCTTCTTCTTCTTCTTCTATGCCAGCTGCTGGGTGACCTTGGGCCAGTCACACTTCTCTGAAGTCCCTCAGCCCCACTCACCTCACAGAGTGTTTGTTGTGGGGGAGGAAGGGAAAGGAGAATGTGAGCCGCTTTGAGACTCCTTCAGGTAGTGATAAAGTGGGATATCAAATCCAAACTCCTCTTCTTCTTGATTAGTGTTGCCCTCTTATTGTTTCTTTATCTCAACATACCCAGGAACAAAACAGTACAGATGTGCCAATGATGCGTAGAGTGTGTTGGCAAACTATTATGACTACTTTCCCCCTCGGTTTTTCCAGGGTCCTTCTGGGGAAAGAGGGGAGCCAGGAGCAACAGGACCACCTGGATTCCAGGTATTTTGATATTCAGCTGTTATTCATTCTTGAGTATATATTTTTCCCCAAACCAGATTCTTTAAAAGCAAGTTAGGGCGAAAATGTGGAAATGCATTTATGACACGAATCATTTAATTATATTTTGATGTTCAAGTCTGCAATACTGAACTCAGCTTGTTTATCCCATCCCATCAGAATCAGTGGGATTTGAGCAATGTAACTCTGAGCCAATTTCAGCCAGAAAAAAGCAAGGTACCATAGATTCCCCTACTCTGTATTTTTATGCCTTTCCCAACTGCAAAGACACCATCAGGTTATCAAATTTAGCTACTGGTCATCTAAAAGGAGTTGGACATATTCGTAAAGTGTAAAAGATCCATAAATACCTCCCAAGGAATTTATCTATAATCCTATTTGTAGGTTTCCTTCAATATTCCTACAGATGTTTTCCTTGACATAGACCCTTCAGGTTAGCCTCACATTTGACTATATGAACAATTATTGGTGACAGGCTGCAAACATACCCTTTGTTAGGGTTACTCTTGAACTGCACGTTTATGCTCTATCATGGAAGAGAGATAGTATTGACTCAGAGATGGAGTAGCCATTTAGCATGCTTAAGGATCTAGGCCTAGTTAAAGATTATCAGGTAGGTGGGGAAAATAGGCCGATGCCAATCAGAGTAGACAATAACTGAAAAGATGGGTCAGTGGTTTGACACAATATAATGCCTATATTCAGATGGAAATCACTAAGTGGAGGAAGCTACTTTCTACTCTTTCTGAATTTTTATTTATAAAGTCATGCAACACCATTTGGCTGTTTATGTGCTGGAAAAGCAGACCTATATATGTGTAACGAGTTCTTTTGCCTCTCCTAGGGACTACCTGGTCCTCCTGGCGGACCCGGAGAGAATGGAAAGCCTGGAGAAGCTGTAAGTTGTCCTTTCATCTTCTCTTTTCCCTCCTCTTTCCCCTCAATCTTCACCTCCAGAAAAAAAATGGAAAAAAAATGGATGCACAGATACACAGTGCTGAGTGGTGTGGCGAAAAACATGCAGGCTTTCCCACATACTATCACAGCAGCATCTAAATGATATCTGGAAATGGTGGCATATATCACTGCTGAAATATCAGCCCTAGCAAACCTGGGACACAAGGAAAATTCCAAGGTTGCTATAATGAATTCTGAGTCCTAACTGTATGTTGACATAGAGCCATTTTCCAGGGGCAGTGGTGGGGTGGGGATTAGTTTCTAGTATAGCTTTAAATGAACAATTAATGAGGTATTACATGCCAAGTAATTACTGCCATGAAGTGATGTGACTCATGAGCCAAATGCTTTTTTTAAAAAACCTACAACATAGTAGAAAAATAAACCATAATAATAATATAAAACTTTAAAAAGAATGAGTAGCATAAAATATATTCCATAGTGGAATACAAGGTTCATATTTATAGAAAACATATCACATAATCATGACTGTTGTCAAATAAATTCATATTTAGTGGGAATATGATTTTTTTAAAGCTATATTTTTTAAAGCAATGTCTACAAAATGTTTCCATCAATATTTGCTTCTTACTTAAATAAAAATCTATATTCTCCCGATATGCCAGGATTTCATACAAACTGTAGGGCATAAAAAACTATTATATAAGGACTAAACACGAGGACAGAAAAGAGTGTGAGTTGTTAGCATTTTCCTACAGGTCAAAAAGGGTTTTGATAAATTAGAATTGAATTATCTTTTTAAAACCTTAAAGAAAGTTAGTACTGGTTCAGTTTCTGGATGCAAATAATGCATAGTTTACTTCAAACCAAAATAACAGATAATTAGATGCATTGTAAGCTTTCGAAGGATGTCTAGTTTATTACTTGTACTGTTCACAGTACCTTTAGCAACTGAAGTGTGAGCAATCCATTGTCTGAGAACTATGGCCATGACATGACCTATAAATGTTAAGCATTAATGAATATGTATTTCATGAAACATGTAAGTAATCTATCTGCATTTGGTTCATAACAGGGTCCAAGAGGTGAAAATGGAGCTCCAGGACTCCCAGGAACCAAGGTACATTTTGTAACAACTGCTCCATGTTTTTTGTGTGTGTTTGTGTTTAAGTATGGAACAGGGGAGCTGGGAACCAAACAAATACATGCTGTGGCCCTTGGAGATTGTGCAAAGCAAAATGTTTTAATTCATATCAGGGTGAAAATGGCATCCCAGGAGAACGAGGTGCACAAGGACCTCAAGGTTCCCCAGGAAGCAGAGGTGGAGCTGGCCCTCCTGGACCAGAAGGTGTAAAGGTATGTACAAGTTTATTTAGTTTTGTGCACACCTTGCAAAATATTTCCAGTCTTCCTCTTTTGTTGTCATGTAATAGCTTCTTAAAACATTCCACTAGGGCCCAGGTGGTCCTCCAGGTCCTCCTGGAGGTCCCGGACTACAAGGTTTACAAGGAATGCCTGGAGATAGAGGAGCCAATGGAAACCCTGGACCTAAAGGGGACAAGGTATGCACTTCTGTACTTACAACAACAACAACAACAACAACAACAACAACAACAACAACAACGCATGCTATTCTAAACTCATAATGATCATCTGGCTAGCTTTACTACTGACCTGATCATAGGTTCCTTGAAAAACTGCATTGCCAGATGAGGCCACTAAAAGCTGCAGGTACTTATCTTTCCTGAGATCCCCACTTTTTGGATACAAAATGATATATAAAAATATTGGGGTCAAATCTTCAGGTAGCATACCTCTCTCACCCCTACCCTAAGTATACTTACATGGAGTTAGCTTCCATTGGAGTCAGCAGGACTCCAATTGAAACAAAAAGGATTAAGAATGGGCTATTAATCACCATATTATGTTTATATTAGTGGGATTGGTTCAGTTTGACTCTTTAACCCTGAACTTATTGATCAGATTTGCACTTGAGTTCCATGACTGAATCAGCGTCCTGATTCATAACTTTCTAATACTTCCTAATCCTTGCTTGTATACTTTATATACTTTGTGAAAACCAGTATTTTCTCACAGCACGCTGTGTACCAGTTCTGTGCCACTGGTAACAATAGGCATATGAACATAAATTACAGATTGGTGAGGAGGGAATGACCCTTTCCCAGACACAAAGTAGATTGACTCTGTTGGGAGAGTCATTATATCTACAACACTGATCGCAGCAAACAGACTCCTGGTGGTTTAGCAATGTTAAGAAATAGCAGTGATTCCTCTTTCTCCCCTTTTCCTGTTCTGGTAACCATATAAGCTTTGTTTGACAGGGAGAGCCTGGTAGCAGAGGTGGAGATGGCTTACCTGGAAAAGATGGTGTCCGAGTGAGTAAAACCTCCCATGGGTTCATTTTTAGATAACTTGGCTACAACATCCCTTTATGGGCGGGAGGGTGGATTTCCAATTGTTCTCTTCCAGCTCATTATATGAGTTTGGGGAGCTCCTTGCTAACCTTCCCTACCAGTTTCCCAAACTTCCCCTTGTCAGGTAAGTCCAGAGGGCAGGAACCAGCAGCGGAGGCCAGCAGGGAGGGTTGGTAGCAATGGCACAGGTCACATTGGAAATAGACAGTCATGTGTATGCTCAGGAGCGTTTACTGCACAGGGAGTGCAGTTTTCCAATATTTCTCTGCTCAGTGGATAAAGCTGGGAGGGATTGTAACCCACACACTCTATGCTCCCATGTAGCAGTGGATGCTCCTGAGCTGGGAGGCAATGCAACCCTCTATATAGCCCATGTTCCTCAGCATTAATAGATGTTTGACTATTTTGAACCCTCCTAGCCATTTCTCCCTAACTTAACCGTGTGTGTGTGTGTGTGTGTGTGTGTGTGTTTAGAGGTGGGGATCAGCTTTGACAACTAGTAGTGGGTGAGCCTATATTGAGACGCAGAGATTTGACTTCAGCTTGGTATTTCCAAAGTGGAAGATTCAGTTCCAATCCCTTACTCAGTTTGGAATTTCAGCACCATCACTAATTCTTATAGCATGAAAGTATAAAACAACAACCACCCAGACTTACCCTATAGATCACCTATAACCCCTGCAAGCCTCGGAGTTGATCCCGTTTTTGCGGAGCGATCAATTCCGCGCCGCCATTACCTCTGCAGGAAACCAGAAGTCTGGGAGAAGAATATTCAGAACACTTTTGCTTTCCAGACTTTGTTGAAAGTTATGTTCACATTTTTTATTAATATTACACTGCTGAATATATATATTTCATCCTGCAGGGTCCTGTCGGTTCCATTGGACCCCCCGGTCCAGCAGGCCAACCAGGAGACAAGGTATGGGTCTCATTCCAAAATGGCAATTATTATTCATATGTAAATGTCAACTGTGCACATTTTGAAGAATCCAATTCTGAAAAAAATATATATTCTTTTCTTTCAGGGAGAGCCTGGTACAGCTGGGCCTCATGGCCCAACAGGTCCCCGTGGTGGTCCCGTAAGAGATCCTTTATTTTCAATCATAATTTAAGCCAATTTTTGTTTTGTACTGCTCCTAAAGTATTTTCCAAGGAAGAAATGTAGCTCTGTATAACCCATTGACTTCACATATAGTACTCTTGAGTGTTGGATTGCTTGCTTAGGGATCAATATATAATAGAAGGTGCCAGAATATCATTTCTTTTTGGCATGTATTTTAAAACTATACATGAAAGTAAATCAATCCCTCTTCTGTACGAAATTATATGCATAATCTCACAAATTTCACTACCAACCAATAGGAACCTGTACACACATTTCCCTCTCCTTTCCCTTCCCCCGCTAACATTTTACATTTACGCAAATTTAAGGAGCCATGATTTCAACAGTACCCTATTCATTTTTCTTATAATAATCTGTTATAAGATCTCTAGTGATCCATTTAAAACATTTAACTCTGCTGGTGGCATAAAATCGTGTAACTAAAATTGATGCCTAGCACACAGCACTGATTATCGACAAAATAAGCATCTTTAGCAAAGCAGTCTGGCCATGTAGATACGTACAAGAATATAATCAACGTTTATTTTTATTTATTTATTTTTCTTGCATTCATATCCCACCTTTCTTCCATCATGGAACCGAAGGTGACATACATGCATTTTATCCATCCTTCCCTATGAGGGAAATTAACCTTATTGTCCTATTTAAAATATTATTGATCATTTCCTAGCTGCTTGATAAATAATAGTTCATTATTAGAATGTCCATTTGTGAGTTTACTTAACTTTCCTGCCACACAGAGCACATTTGGACTCTTGAGAAACATGAAAATCTCACAGGGGGAGGGGAGGAATGCATGGCTTTCTTGCATTGGTATACAAAACAGATAAAGAAATAAGAAAGGAACTGAACACAGCAGGTGGGGAATGAGTCAATGTATAGGGCATTCAAGCAAAGTCTGGGTTTAGATGCTTGCTATCCTTTATAGCCACGCGGGTGGCATTGTGGTTTAAATGCCACTGTGCCACTTGGACTTGCCGATCAGAAGGTCGGCGGTTCGAGACCCCATGACAGGGTGAGCGCCCGTTGCTCTGTCCCAGCTCCTGCCACCCTAGCAGTTCGAAAGCACGCAGTGCAAGTAGATAAAAAGGTACCGCTCTGGTGGGAAGGTAAACGGCATTTCTGAGTGCTGCTCTGGCTTCACCAGAAGCGGCTTAGTCATGCTGGCTGCATGACTCTGAAAAACTGTCTGCAGAAGCGGACAAACACCGGCTCCCTCGGCCTGTAAAGCGAGATGAGCGCCGCAACCCCAAAGTCATTCACGATTGGACTTAACTGTCAGAGGTCCCTTTACTTTTACCTATCCTTGATCAAGTCATTCCCATAAGGAGTTGCCAAGCTAACAAAACATAACCAGCTGTGAAAGGGTTCAAAACTTTTGCACATTTTCTTCGATGTTGTAAATAGTTTGACGTCTTGAGAGGAGAGAATAGGGGGACCCTGCAAATGCAGAATATCTGCAAACCAGAGCAGCTGAAATAGGAACAACAATAGAGGTGGTACTTTGCAAACTTCTGAGGTGATTTAATTGTATTACTCATTGACCTTTTCAGGGTGATCGAGGAGAGCAAGGACCCCCTGGCCCAGCTGGCTTCCCTGGAGCTCCTGTAAGTATGGGGAGGGAGGAAGGGAGGGAGGGAGGGAGGGAGGGACATAGGTAGGTAGGTAGGTAGGTAGGTAGGTAGATAGATAGATAGATAGATAGATATAGATAGATATAGATAGATATAGATATATAGATATAGATATAGATATAGATATAGATATAGATATAGATAAATCATTTTTTGTATTTTCCTAGTCTTTTCCCATAGATTTTAAGTACATCAGAAGATAATTATTACCCCTTTTTCACTCTCACCTGTGCATAGCAAGAGGAAGGCAACAGCTTCCTATAAATATTGAACCTTCTAGTAAATTCAGGCATTGAGTGCTAATAGAACTACAGTTGTACCTTGGAAGTCGAACGGAATCCGTTCCAGAAGTCCATTCAATTTCCAAAGCGTTCGACTTCCAAATCGTAGTTTCTGATTGGCTGCAGGAAGCTCCTGCAGCCAATCAGAAGCTGCAGAAGCCCCGTTGGATGTTCGGCTTCCAGAAGAACATTCGAAAACCAGAACAGTCACTTCCGGGTTTTGATCGTTTGGGAGCCAAAACGTTCGAGAACTAGGCTGTTCGAAAACCAAGCCACAGAAACAAGAGAGAGGTTTCTGTGAAACTCCGATATTTGCAGAAGTACAATAAATGTTTTAGAAACCAAAAACAGAAACGCCTAGCCATAAGGACTGAGCATGCCCAGCAACCACAGAATCTAGGATACCGTAATTGTTGGGAAAGACCAGCTGGCTAAGACTCCGAACAACTGAGAAAATGGCTGCCTAGGACCCTGAACAGGAGCTCTACTATTAGGAGAAAGGATGCACAGCAAGCTTTTGGTGCACATCCACTTGTCTAATAGTAATCCAGATGTGCTTGCTTCTCCTTCTGCATCAAGTACACCTGGCTGCTGCTTTTTACAATATAGCGATTTAACAATGAAAAAACCTCAATGACATGTAAACAGCAATAACCCCCATAGTAAGGTGCTTGTGCCAAACAGAATTTGAGTGCTCCTTTGATCACAGCAGAATGCCCTGCTGCAACCAGTTGCTTCTTGAGGCGCTGCACTGAGATTGCCTGTAACATCTTTTATAAGCAATAAATGCTGGAGGTGGAGAGCAGAACCAAGGAGGAATCGTGGTCTTTTGAAAAGCCCAGTCTTTGAGTGAAGTTGTCAGGGAAATTAATAAGACATTAGCTCTGTGCACACTACTTTGCGATAAGCATCTTTAACTGCATCTACAGTGAAAAAAACATTGAGCTTGACAGGTGATTAAATTTGGATTCCAGCTTTCCCAAAGCACTCTTTAATAATAATAATAATAATAAAATTTTATTTATAGCCCGCCCTCCCCAGCCAAAGCCAAGCTCAGAGAGGCTTTTTACCAGAATCACCCATGACAGGATTTGCAGCCCCCACAAAAAAGCAGGGGAGCAGGACTCAACAGCTACTGTTAGGTCTCATTATTCACCTCGTAATCAGTCATTATTATATCTCATCAGTGCTATTTTTATGGAAAAAGAGGTGCTGGAACTCCCTTGTTCTCTTTTAATGGCAATGGTGCCTACCTGAGAGGTGCTGTAACTGAGTTCCGGCATATTCTGGCTGGGAAAAAAGAAATCCTGTGTCTCCTACTGATAATAATGTTGATGTTTAACATGCATGTCTTACTTTTCTATAGGGACAAAATGGAGAACCTGGTGGAAAAGGAGAGAAAGGCCCTTCTGGTGAGCGTGGTGAACCTGGAGCCCCCGGCGCTGCTGGTCCATCAGGAGGCCCTGGAGCACCCGTAAGCATAGATATCCTAATCTAATGTTTCTGAAGTCAATGTATTGCTGGTCTGTATTTTCCTTCTGGCATTATGATGTCTCGTTCTCATATCCTGTCTAGGGTCCAGCCGGTCCCCCAGGAGGAAAAGGAGAGCGAGGTTCGCCAGGCCCAGTAGTGAGTATTGTTTTTTCAGTCTCTTCTGTATCAGTAAGCAATGGTGATGCATGTTCCAGTTCCAGTCAGATGCAAGTAGTTGCACTTGCTCAAGTATGCTGTGATCTAAGAGAAGCATGCTAGAGTCCCCTGACATAGATAAATAAGAAAGTAGTTTAGATAGTTTAGGTACTACATGCTTGGTTCAACTGGCCTGAAAGCTCTAATTGACAAAAGTATTTTGATGCATGCTTTGACATACACCGAGGGCCTTCTGGCAGTTCCCTTTCTGTGAGAAGTTAAGCTACAGGAAACCAGGCAGAGGGCCTTTTTGGTAGTGGCACACCTTCCCATCAGATGTCAAGGAGATGAGTAACTATATAAGCTTTAGAAGACATCTGAAGGCAGCCCTGTATAGGAAAGCTTTTTAATGTGTAATGTTGTATTGTGTTTTGTTATATGATGGAAGCTACCCAGAGTGGCTGAGGTAACCAGTTAGATGGACGGGGTACAAATAATAAAAATGATTATTATTTAGTTAGACCAGCCCATCCATTGTAAAATGTTGACCTCCCGTTCTTACGTGGAGATAAAATGGAAATGCATTCATATCTTTTCACAACATGGCTACATATTGCACAAAGATGCTCTAGCATTGGTCTCTTAATATATATCTGCCAACAGAGGATAACGCTTCCTGCATCTTATCAAGTCCAGAAAGGTTCTGCTGCAATACTTCTAGGACTCTTTAGGTTGCCACAATAATCTTGTGTTTCCAGACGTGTTTATGACAGGCACATTCGCCATAGAAATCTCAGTTAGTTGCCATGTAAAAAATGCTGTTATTTTTCACTCTCATGTAGTAACTTCCAACATAGTCATCAAAGTAGGTGATTTAATTATGTACTTAAGGATATTTCAGTCCCTTGAATTCTGCTTTTCGGTATTTGAAGATACTAGTGTTTTATGACCTGTTAACTTGAGCATCACTTATATTTTTCAGGGTCAGGCTGGCTTTCCTGGTACTCGTGGCTTACCTGGCCCTCCGGGCAACAGTGTAAGAATACCTACCATTTCCTAATCCTTTCCATGCTACTAATGTCTCCAGTTGCCTTTGAGTTCTCAAGTGGCCAGGGATGAGTGCCCACCTCCATGGACATGAATTTGAAAATTTACTTGCCCATAAGTTGTGCACATATTGCTTGTGAAGTCTTAATCAACTGGTTTTTGTTTTAATAAATTACAAAACAAGCTTCCTGATGGAGAAACGCCAACCTGCCCCAAACTACAGAGCCTCCAATATTGCCTGCTTAGGTTCTTCCAGACTCACCTACATCAGAGCTGTAAGGAAGAAACCTCTGGGTGGAATTCAGGGTCACACTCAGGCCATCAGCTGATGTGCCTCTTCGTGACTCCTTGTGCTTAAATCCTACCCAATGCCTTTTCCACACAAGTTGTGACATATGTCTATGTATCAGGTCCAACAACCCCATGTAATCCACTAAGTGAAAAGCGAATCTTCTCAACTAAAGGCCAGTTGTGGTTATGAGTCAAATTCCTTCTGGCTCTGAAAACCAGCAGCCACTCAATGCCTCAGTGGAAGACTCTAAACCAAGGGATGGAGGGCTGTAAAACTGGCCCACGATGTGTGGAAGAGGTGAATGGTGGGCTGCCCTGCCCTGTTAAACGGCCTGCCACTCCAACCCCTTCGCAAGAACCTGTTGGCCTCTATGAGAGGTCAAAAATCTCAGCGATGGAAATGGGAGGCCATGGCGGCATCTGTGCCACCCAGCGATCTTTCTCCAGGCCATTGCTCCTTTCCTTTGCTCCTATGCCACCTGGTTTGAGATCGTGCTGTCGCCAGTGTGGTGTGGTGGTTAAGAGCGGTAGACTCGTAATCTGGGGAACCGGGTTCGCTTCCCCGCTCCTCCACATGCAGCTGCTGGGTGACCTTGGGCTAGTCACACTTCTCTGAAGTCTCTCAGCCCCACTCACCTCACAGAGTGTTTGTTGTGGGGGAGGAAGGGAAAGGAGAATGTTAGCCGCTTTGAGACTCCTTTGGGTAGTGATAAAGCGGGATATCAAATCCAAACTCCTCCTCTTCTTCTTCTTCTTCTTCTTCTTCTATATAGCAAAATGTCCTTTTGCAACTTGGCTCAAACTAAAGCCTAGCTGTGAAGAACAATTCCTGCAACTGGATCCAAGCAAGACTTAGGACAAGGAATAAATACATTTTTAAAATAATAATAATAATGATGATGATGATGATGATGATGATGATTGTGTTCTGCTAACAAACCCATCACCCCCCATTTGCTATTATGTTGTTCATCCATAGTCTGCTTTACTCTCAAAGCATCTCTTCTTTTTATGAGTTACTTTTGAATGTGTTCATAGAGCACAATCCATATTCAAGGGTGGCAAGTCTAAATCAAGGAGGTCTATCTCTTTGGACACATAACATAAATTCTCCATTATTTTGGTATTCTAAGAGTGTTGATTCAAATACTGTATGTCAAGCATCACTTTCAAATATTGACTCCTAGGGTAACCCAGGACTTCCTGGCAATGCGGGTCCCCCAGGCAAGGATGGTCCTCCTGGCCCAGCTGGTTCTACTGGTCCTGCTGGTGGCCCAGGAGCTGCTGGTCCCAAAGGTGAGCCTGGCCCACCAGGTGAAAAAGGTCCAGCAGGTGTAAAAGGAGAACCAGTAAGTACATTATTTGGGAGTCTACAAAATAGAGTTGAAAATATTCAGTGAAAGATTACAGTTTTCCTGTGATGTCTTACTTCTGATACGTTAAAATTACAGATGCAGTGATTACACTGATCTGTTGTGGGTGTGTGATAAATTAGGACCAATCTTTACAGCTAGTCATAGCAGCTCTTCTTCTTAATCAATGTATTGCCTTGCCTGCATGTCAAAATGGCTGCTCATCACTCTCCCGGGGGTGGGGGACAGATGCAGCCCCTTACTCTTGGCCTCCTTCCTCTGATGGCTTAGGCATAGGCCATTGAAGGGGAATTCCCCATGGACAGCGGGAGTTCAGGGGTGGTCTTCCTGCCCATGACACCATCTCCTGACAGGCTAATCAATGGCCCCACCTGGAGGGCAGTGCCTGGCTGGCTGGCTGGCTATTGGCTGCTGTCTCTTCCAGTCTGGCAGCAAGGCTTAAGAGGCTAGCTGCATGGAGATTTAACAGTGCTACAAAAAAATTTCATTTACTTAAGTTTTTGTTAACACTCTTCAAATAGTAAGGAGCAAACATACACATTCCTGCTAACCTAGCAGTTCGAAAAAGTGCAAGTAGATAAATAGGTAAGGTAAACGGCGTTTCCGTGTGCTGCTCTGGTTCGCCAGAAGCGGCTTAGTCATGCTGGCCACATGACCCGGAAGCTGCACGCCAGCTCCCTCGGCCAATAAAGCGAGATGAGCGCCGCAACCCCAGAGTCGGTCACGACTGGACCTAATGGTCAGGGGTCCCTTTACCTAAACATACACATTGTTTTATCTATATCACAGGACTGGATAATGGTTTTCGATCCTAGTTTTCAGGGCAAGCTCAAATCATAGTTTGCCAGTTCACATTAAATGGTAAACTATGGTTGGCCTCAAACCAGGAAATGAGGGAAGAATTTCCCAGGCTCATGAACAGGAGAATACCTTAAGCTCGATGCTTCTTCCAGGCTCATTCACATAGCGCCAAACTATGGTTCTGCATTATGCCTCAACCATTCCTCTGTTTCTTAGAAATGGAACAACTCAGAATGTAAAAAGTATCCCACCCCCCTTAAACATAATTGGTGAGAGGCAAGACTTTAAGTCAGCCTTCCTCAATCTTTGGGTTCCTCAATGTTGTTGATCAGCCCCAGCCATCTGGATAAATGGCACAGGATTGTGGGGGGTTGCAGTCCAACAACGTCTGGGGACCTAAGATTGGATTAATCATTATCTAAAAGCCTTAGCAAAAGTTTTATCAGAACACTATTTCTAAGAAATATGGAGGCTGAAATAAGCCCATAATCGTGACAGGGCTCACCAACCTTTTGAGGTCCATAGGCCCATTTGCTCACTGGAGAAGCGGTTATGGGCAGCACACAAACACTGCAACCAAGCACACACCACACTGTTCTGTTGGCTACAATATACCGCTTCTTTCAAGCCTAATGTTAATGTGGAGAGGGAGACCTTGTAGGTGTCAGGGAAGATGGTCTCCATTATGCTCTGCAAGGCATGGAGTGCATTTTCATCTGTACCATCTCTGCTCAGCTGAGCATGTTCTGCAATAGAAACCTTCTCCCCCCCCCCCCCCAGCTACACATATCTCAGTAAGCTTCAAAAGCCATTTTCTGCATCTGTATTTGTTGGTCTGGGAAAAATGTTTATTGTCCAAGGTGATAAATACAATCAGTAAATAAATCCCATAAACAAATTTGTTTCTGTATTTCTCTTCGTAGGGTTTTCCAGGTCCTTCAGGATTGGGTGGCATACCTGGGCAACGTGGTTCTGTAGGGCTGCCCGGCCCGAGAGGTCCCTCTGGTGCCAATGGCGCACCTGGCGGAAAGGTAAGGCATTACCCCATTACTTTTAATTCTCCAAATTATTTAACATAACAAACGTTTTGTGTTTTAGAAATTAGGTCTTGAAGTGATGTGTGTGTGAGAGAGAGCTTCATAAAGAAATGTGTGAGGAAGCTGTTTTGTGGACAAGTCTCCAGTGATCAGTGATTTCCTCCAGAGTTATAAAACACATAATTCCATGTTAGTGTCAGTATCAGCAGTTTTGTGGTAATATAAGGTGACATTATGTCAGTGATGGTCAGTGTGGTGGGAGAGATGGTAGTAATCACTTGCCTGCACTGAACAGAGTCCAAGGAAGAACAAGCTTAATTATTTACTGACATGCAATGCAATACTGTTGGAGGCAGGAAGTGGCTGGGTCAGTATAATTAGCCGGCATCAAGGGAATGGGAGTTTTCCCCCCCCTGCCCCGGTAGTTTTGGAGTTTGCTTATGATGGGCAGAAATGTTATTGAGCCCTTTTGCATATCCCATTGCTTTAAAGCTCTTGCCACCTCTCTACCCCTCTAGCAATGAACAGACCACACACTCAAGTAAATTTAAAAGCTTTACTTACTAACTCCTAAGGTCTGATTCATGCATTGTTCCACACAGCAGCAAGGGGAGCACAGGTAGATTACTCTTGGGTGCCTAATACAGCATATAGTTTCAAACATGCAAGTTCAGATCCGTCCGTCTTGGTGGATTACATAGTGAGAAGAGAGAGTGAGGAATAGGAAAAGAAGCAGCTTCACTTTCTCCCTCAAGAAGGGGTTTGACCTAGCTGAGTCTAGGAACAGATCTCTCTGGTCTTAACTTCTTCATGCCTACAATAGCTCACATTTAGCAGGGTTTTTTTAAAAAATGTCAGTATGTCATTAATCCATCTGTTTTTCCATTGCAGGGTGAAGATGGCAAACCAGGATCCAATGGCAGCCCAGGAGAACGAGGACCTCAAGGGCCACCAGGTCCAATGGGCCTAAATGGAGCACCCGGAGAACCAGGCAGAGACGTATGGAAAGAATTTCATCTTCGTTCTATCCTAGGGATAAACACACACTGCATGTAGAAATTTTGCCCACCTAAAATGAGACAAATTAGCCTCATTCAAAGATCCTGTTGTACATCCTAGTACGGAGACTAGGAAAGACTTGGTCTTCCTTCTGTGGGAAGCTGGATACTGGTTTGCACCCATGCATGCACATTGCTTGATTTCTTTGAATTTGATTACTATACAAGACAAAGGCCCTTACTTCCTGGGAGACCCATTTGTTGCTGTCACCTGGGTTGGAGGGAGATCTGGACAAGCTTCCTCTGGTGTGCCTGAGTGACTGTTGCATGACTGTAGCACTGCTTATTTTGCACCCCTGTGGCCAGTCAGCTGCAACAGCCAGCCTTCTGGGGGCAGAGACTCCAAGCAGACCAGAGAAGGAACCTGTCCAAACTGGTCTATGCCTAGACATTAAAGGCTTATTTGCATATCTTTGTGCTTGGTTTCTCTTCACATGATTATGGTTTAATTCAGACTCACAGCTGAACATAAGAGCAGTTTCAATGAAAAGCATTGTGTCAGAGGTAGCATGGAAGTTTAATTTGTAATTCCCTATTCAGGCACGCATATCAGCATGTGGTACTGCGTTCCTCTTCATGTGTGATGTGTGGGAAATCCCTTAATGAGTGAGCAATCTCAGAAAAGCAGCAGCAGCTTATTTTGACATGCCATTATGACCATGATAATTTCAAAGTTAAAGTGTTGGTGGAAATATCACTTAAGTCTTTCCCTTTGCTTCAATCTTTTTATACTTTTTATACTTATATTTAAAGCCTTCTTTCACCCTTATTTCTCAGGGTAACCCTGGATCAGATGGTTTACCAGGTCGTGATGGGTCTTCAGGACCAAAGGTGAGAAGCGACTTAACCATCACAGTCATGTGTGCTCTTTCAGATCCCAGTGATTGTGGTTGCTACTGCTAGTCCTAATCAATACAGTGGACCTTGGTTCTTGAACTCAATCCATTCGACTTCCAAAATGTTGACAAACCAAGGCGTGTGAACAATGCCAACAGCCAAAACGGATGTTCGGCTTCTGAAAAACGTTCGCAAACCAGAAAACTTACTTCCAGGTTTGCGGCATTCGGGAGCCGATTTGTTTGTCAACTAAGCCGTTCGGGAATCAAGGTACCACCGTACTAGCATTTGACTGTGTTTATGGTCATTTAGAAAATTAAATGAATTCCTCACGTTGGCCATTTGTTGTCTCCTCAGGGTGATCGTGGTGAAAATGGTTCTCCTGGTTTGCCAGGGGCTCCGGGTCATGTGGGTCCCCCAGGTAATACTGGTCCAGCTGGGAAATCAGGCGAGAGAGGACATCCAGTAAGTGCTGCCTTCCTATGTTTTCTTACTAGCATCTATGTGATACTAAACTAGCAGTGTATTAACAGTACGCTATGCTTTTTCCACCTCCGTCTGACACCACAAGGAAGTGGGGAAGCCATCAGCAATACCACAGAGATGAAGGCACTTTCCCAAGAGATTTAGCTTGCCCGTTCAGCGAATTTTCTTCGGGTGAATTGCTTCGAGTCGATCCCACTTTCTAGCAATTGGGGAAAAAAAAGGCATATCAAAACAGGAATTCTCAAAATGATTTAGTTATTTGTAATGACATTTCCTTTGAAATGCTGAAAACAGTGGGATGTGACCATGTGTCATACTCTAGTGCCCTAGAACAGAATTTCCTCCACTGAAACAACTTGAATTTGGTTTCTTCAACGACCTACTGCCATTTTTCCCAATGAAAAGCCTCTCCAAGTTAAATCCAGGGGCATACACCAACATGACCTGAGGGCACTGTGAAAAACTATGCTGCCTACAAAGTGTTATTTTTCTAGAAAAAGAGGTGCACCATGAATGCCTCCCTTTTCTCTTATACAGTGGTACCTCAGGTTAAGTACAGGTTAAGTATGGAGGTCCATTCTTAACCTGAAACTATTCTTAACCTAAAGCACCACTTTAGCTAATGGGGCTTCCTGCCGCCATGCTGCCGCTGCACGATTTCTGTTCTCATCCTGAAGCAAAGTTCTTAACCCGAGGTACTATTTCTGGGTTAGCGGAGTCTGTAACCTGAAGCGTCTGTAACCCGAGGTACCACTGTAATGGCAACGGCACCCACCTGAGAGCTGAGTTCCAATTAGTTCTGGCTGAAAAAAGCCCTGAGCATACATTTTTTTTTGAAAATGGAAGTCATTGAAGTGATGTTTGTTCATTATGTTTGCTAATATATTTGGGAGCTTAATAGTAGAGATGTGAATGTTTTCTCTGTTTTGTGACACATCCAGTTTATATCCAGAAAATCGATGCTTGGCATAGACATAATCCTGTGTTGTTCTTTGTTACAGGGACCTGCTGGTCCAGTCGGCCCCACTGGCCCTGCCGGTGCCCGTGGTGCTCCCGTAAGTCTCTGTTTCAGAACTTTGTATGTATGTGTCCAGGGCAGCTGTTTATCAGCTCCATCTGGTATGCAGGCTGAGACCCTACCTGCCCGCGGACTGTCTTGCCAGAGTGGTGCATGCTCTAGTTATCTCTCGCTTGGACTACTGCAATGCGCTCTACGTGGGGCTACCTTTGAAGGTGACCCAGAAACAACAACTAATCCAGAATTCGGCAGCTAGACTGGTGACTGGGAGCGGCCGCCGAGACCATATAACACCGGTCTTGAAAGACCTACACTGGCTCCCAGTACGTTTCCGAGCACAATTCAAAGTGTTGGTGCTGACCTTTAAAGCCCTAAATGGCCTCGGCCCAGTATACCTGAAGGAGCGTTTCCACCCCCATCGTTCAGCCTGGACACTGAGGCCCAGCACCAAGGGCCTTCTGGCGGTTCCCTCACTGCGAGAAGCCAAGTTACAGGGAACCAGGCAGAGGGCCTTCTCGGTAGTGGCACCCGCCCTGTGGAACGCCCTCCCACCAGATGTCAAAGAGAAAAATAACTACCAAACTTTTAGAAGACATCTGAAGGCAGCCCTGTTTAGGGAAGCTTTTAATATTTAATAGGTTATTGTATTTTAGTGTTTTGTTGGAAGCCGCCCAGAGTGGCTGGGGAAACCCAGCCAGATGGACGGGGTATAAATAATAAATTATTATTATTATTATTATATTACTAGTTCTCATTAAACCCAAGTATACTCTTATGAAAACTCTTTGTCAATATGCTTCTACAAGGGCCCTGCGGGTGCACGTGGTGACAAAGGTGAAGCCGGTGAACGTGGCAGCAATGGGATAAAAGGCCATCGAGGATTCCCTGGTAACCCCGGACCCCCTGGTCCAAGTGTAAGTTTGCAGAACTCTCCTGCCTTCCTTGCGTAAGAGGGGGGAAATGCTGGATTTGTTTCATGACCCCAGAGTTTAGCACAATATGTAACTTTGACAAGAATGAAAAGTATCACAAGTGATCCCTACAGTGCCTGGATTATCCACCAAATGATGTACAATTTAATGTTTTGGCAGAGGAAAACAGGAGTGATTTTGCAGGCGTTCTGGAATTTACCACCCTGTGTCCTGAGCCTTCATTATGTTTCATGGAGGAAACATGCCTAGCAATATCACTTGGGCATATAATTATTTCATTTTTGTAGGAGTAAAGTTGAACCTTTTGGGATATCCCAATATCCTTGGCAGCAATGCATGAGAGAAACTCCTTACTGTTTTGTTACTGGCATTTATAGACCACTCATTAATGGGTAGGTCACATTCAAAACAACGAAGAAATTTTAAAAATGGCATTTCAGTTTTCTGATACCACATATGCACAATGGCTCTAAGCCAGAGGAAGTTTGTTGTACTTAAGCATCCTTGAAATCCATGTAAAACATTTGTCACAATTAACTGAAGTGTCATTGATTTCAATAGGACATAAGTCCAGCTAACTTCCTTTGATCCGTGGAGTTACCTACCTTTAAAGCCACTGGTACCACCTATATTCTGGAATGGAAGCGTTCAAATTGTATTTAATTCTGAGAACATTTAGCTTCTAAACCATGCACATTAACATGGCTTATGGTCCCATACAAAACTGTAATAATGAAAATAGAGAACCATTTTATTTATATTTGACCCGGCCAGTGTAATAGCTCAGAGGTGGGGATCTTTTTCTGGCTGTCAAGCTAGATTATTGTCTCCCCACCTCAGTGGGTCACATTTGACAGCTATGCAAGGCCACCCACCTGTCAGTCACATGAGGTCATGATGGTGTCAGGTGATGCTGCACTTTGAAGCCCTGATTTTCGGGACGTCAAAGTGCAGCACAGAGCTGTCAGAAAGCCCTTTTGCAAACATCCCTGCACTGCTATTTGAATCTCTAGGTTTCAGAGATTGGAAGAGCAGTGCTGTGAGGGAGAAGCTCTATCCCATGGAAACTACTTTCCCCTCCTGGAGCAAGGCATAAATCCACCCATCTCAGCTGGATGAGCAGGGGAAGCATGCCTTGCTGCAGCAAATGAACAATCGGGATTTCAATTTAAGCTCCCAGTTTGTTCTTTTGAAGCCCCACCCTTACTTGTCCCATACCTGATGTCATGCATCTGATATCTAGAGAGGTTCTACCTTTGGAGTTTGATGTTCCAGTTAACTTGCATGCCGAATAGCTGTAGATATATATATATTCATCTTCTATGGATTGCCAGATCTTGTAGTGAGTGCAACAATACAGGTGTTCCAATGTAAAGAAAAGAATGTAAAAACTGGATTTTACTAGATCTACATCATTATTATTTTTTTGACAGGGTGCATTGGGTCCCCAAGGTCCAAGTGGAAGCCCAGGACCTGCTGGTGCAAGAGTAAGTAACCTGTTGATTCTGTCCAACCTGAATGCATTCTCAAATTATGGCTAGACAGTTGAGAAAGAACTAACTTTCTCCTCCTCCTCCTCCTCCTCCTCCTCCTCCTCCTCCTCCTCCTCCTCCTCCTTCCTCTTCTGTTTAGGGTCCCCCTGGTCCAAATGGCCCACCTGGAAAAGATGGTACAAGTGGCTACCCAGGTCCCATCGGCCCTCCAGGTCCTCGTGGAAGCAGAGGCGAATCTGGCGCTCCGGTAAGGGAATCAGCACTCTTTAAGATGATGAAAAGTGAGAAGCATCATCTTGAAAGCTAGTCTCCATACTGTCTGGGAGCCTAGCACAAGACTTGACAAGAAGGGAGATCAAGTTTGTACCCAAAGGGATCTGAACAGCACTTCTCAATAAAGAGTGGTAAAAATAAAAGCTGCAGAGTTTAGCCTGACCATGCTGAATTTCAGGCAAATGTATTTTCCTTATGAGAGCTGTACCTGAGCCACAGTTATGGTACCCAATCCTGAGTGTGGGAAGTAGGTGGCACTAAACAGACAGCTTCCTCCCCACAACTAGCTACATGCACAGCTAGTTACAATGAAAGTGAAGGTGTCTACCCAGCTGGCCTCACTATTCAGATTTATTCAGATTTGTTGCTCATAAAGCTCAAGCCGGGTGACAGGAGGTTCTTGTGTATTTCATCAGTATGATGATAAAATAGAAGGATTAATAGAATAAAATAAAATAAAAAATAGATAATGATTATTATATCTGCTGTTTCTATTGGGTGACAGTACGTTTCCGAGCACAAGTCAAAGTGTTGGTGCTGACCTTTAAAGCCCTAAACGGCCTCGGTCCAGTATACCTGAAGGAGCATCTCCACCCCCATCGTTCTGCCCGGACACTGAGGTCCAGTGCTGAGGGCTTTCTGGCGGTTCCCTCACTGCGAGAAGCCAAGTTACAGGAAACCAGGCAGAGGGCCTTCTTGGTAGTGGCACCCGCCCTGTGGAACGCCTTCCCACTAGATGTCAAAGAGAAAAACAACTACCAGACTTTTAGAAGACATCTGAAGGCAGCCCTGTTTAGGGAAGCTTTTAAGGTTTAATAGGTTATTGTATTTTAATATTCTGTTGGAAGCTGCCTAGAGTGGCTGGAGAAACCCAGCCAGATAAATTATTATTATTATTATTATTATTATTATTATTATTATTATTATATAACAAGGCACAGTTGTGGACTGAAATATCACTGGGGAGAGGACTAGCCTGAAACCTTTCCTATCTAAATAGTCCAGTGTCGTGTGGTTAGTGGAATAGGGGAACTAAGCTAGTCCCCTAAATGTTCCCAGTAAATAAGAGTATTAAAGCATTAAAGCCTAGTGCCTTCTTTCCAAAGCCTGGGAAGCTTCTGCCTGGTTTAGGGAGGGAGGTGCGACACTCATCCCCCCCCCCCATCACCTTCACATGCTAGCCCTAACTATTCAACTATTTCAAAAAATCACCAAGCACCACTGAAATAGCCACATACAAGACCAGATCAAAGAAAAGCTCGACCAAAGGATAAATATTGAGTCCAACCCTCGGTGGAGATTATGAGCCTGGTGTCTTGCAGCACAAGGCTAAAAGTGCCAGTAACACTGACTGGTCCTTTTCTTTGAGTGTACAGGTGAACTAATGTACATGTGCATTTTTGAGTTATGGGCGGGGCTTGTTTTATTTTCTAGGGTCCTGCGGGTCATGGTGGTCCTCCAGGGCCTCCTGGTCAACCTGGAGCTCCTGGTCCGTGCTGCGGAGGTGGTGGCCCAGAGAACCTTGAAAAAGGACCATCCTACTACAGAGACCAGCCAGATGAGGACAAAATAGCCATGAGCGATATTTTAACTTCGCTGAAGTCAATCAACAACCAAATCGAAAACATCGTTAGCCCTGATGGATCACGGAAGAACCCAGCTCGGAATTGCAGAGATCTGAAGTTCTGCCATCCTGAACTGAAGAGTGGTATGTTCATTTCTGTTCTGATCCAGGTCATAGAGAAGTCAGTGAGAAATATGCAGTCTCAAGAAAAGAACCGGGCATCGCGAGGGACACAGAACTGCCCCATAGATCTCTTTTCCCTCTCTTTCTGGTAAAGACTAGTAATATAAAATGTGGTGCTCCTTTGGTACACTATGCATTTCTTAATCAATGACAGCAAATGATGCTGCACAATGTAATGCTCAGTGTAATCATATTATATATTTCCATGAAGAGGGGAGAAGGAGGGATCGACTAGTGGCTGATTCCTGCACTTAGCCACAACAGGAGGCAATTAACTACATTAGCTCCAAGTCTGGAATAGTTTCAGGGCTGGATTGCAGGCAAATTGTGGAAATAATAGGGCTTGGGATCCTATAACTATACTATATAACTATAACCTATAACTTTAATGTTTGATGTTTTATTCTGTTTCTGTATATGCTGGAAGCTGCCCAGAGTGGCTGGGGCAACCCAGTCAGATTGGCGGGGTATTATTATTATTATTATTATTATTATTATTATTATTACCAAAGTGCTTGATGTGCCTGATAATGAAGAAATGTGTCAGGGGAATGTGTAGCTGTTATTCAGTTAAATTAGACTTTGAAGGAAGTGTAAAGATTAACAGTACTTAATATGACTCAGCAAACGTTAAGAACATACAAGTGTAGAGTAATATTATCATTTAGGTTTATATTCTTCCCAAAGTAACCCCACAAGGCAGCAGAAGCCTTTGGCATCCAGTGTAAGGAAGAATCTAATCCCAGGTTAAAGAATGCCCTTTTGCTTTGTCACTTTAGGGGAGTACTGGATTGATCCCAACCAAGGTTGCAAATTGGACGCCATTAAAGTATACTGCAATATGGAAACTGGGGAGACGTGCATCAGTGCTAATCCTATGAGTGTTCCAAAGAAGAACTGGTGGACAAGCCCAGGACCCGAAAAGAAACATATTTGGTTTGGAGAGTCTATGAATGGAGGCTTCCAGGTAAGAAGAATGATGCGTCTCCACCCCATCATTCAGCCCGGACACTGAGGTCCAGCTCCGAGGGCCTTCTGGTGGTTCCCTCACTGTGAGAAGTGAGGTTACAGGGAATGAGGCAGAGGGCCTTCTCAGTAGTGGCACCAGCCCTGTGGAACACCCTCCCATCAGATATCAAGGAGATAAACAACTATCTGACTTTTAGAAGGCATCTGAAGGCAACCCTGTTTAGGGAAGTTTTTAATGTTTGATGCTTTATCGTGTTTTTAATATTCTGTTGGGAGCCACCCAGAGTCGCTGGAGAAACCCAGCCAGATGGACAGGGTATAAATTGTTGTTGTTGTTATCATTAATATTATTAATATTATTAATATTTGGTCAAGCAAACCTTGACTTGAGAGTGTAATTAAATTGCTTCTCAAGAAAGAAGCAACTCTGGATCCATTTCTAATTGAATGAAAAACATAATTGTCTTCTCTCCCAACTACCATAGCAACTTCCATGGCTCTTGCCATTTTTATCAGATGTTTCTTGCATTGCTAATGCTGATTTTTAAAAATATTTTAAAATATAATGTTACGTGCATGGATATCTATATTTCCAAATTTATACGCTTGAATTTAAAAGGGGGATGTACTGGGGGAAGGCATTGATTGGAAAGACCCCCCCAAAAAAATAATAATAATCAGGAAACAACCTTTGCCAGCTGGAGCTGGTATCTTTTCTTCACTTTTATTTCCTCTCCATTGTTTCCAATGGTGGTGATGGGGTGGTGGTCTTTAAAAACTGGGGAAAGCTCTTCCAACCTCATAGCAAGAGCCCAGCATGGCTTTGGTTTTGGTGCACGGACTGCCTATGCCGTCTACAACCGTCTACAACAAACAAGCCTTTTGTGTTTGCCCCACAGTTCAGCTACGGAGACCCAGATCTTCCAGAAGAAGTTGCAGATGTTCAGCTGGCCTTCCTCAGAATTCTTTCTAGCCGAGCGTCTCAGAATATCACCTATCACTGCAAAAACAGTATAGCTTACATGGACGAGGCCAGCGGGAATGTAAAGAGAGCCCTGAAGATGATGAGTTCTACCGACAGCGAAATCAAGGCGGAAGGAAACAGCAAGTTCACATACACTGTCCTGGAAGATGGCTGTACTGTAAGTAAACATTGCAAAACAAAATTGAGATTCGGTTCATTGTTCCATTATGAAATTTCAGTTTTGCAAACCTCCTATTTTCACTCCTAATCTTGTGCATTTTAAAGAGCCTTAAATTTGTAGTTATATCTTTCGATTGGATTTTATAGTGCAGAAGAACTTTAGCATTTTCCCTAGCTGACTATAGAGGGGCCGATCACAAGAGTGAGAAGTGGAACAGGAAAGTAAAACTTTGGGGCAATGCTTGCTAGCAGGGTGGTGGAAACTTTGATTCAAGCTTCCACACATATAGTTATGTACAGACTCTTCACTGGATGACCAGTGACCAGTGAGCTACTCCCAGCTCAGATTGGACTGATGAATAAGGCTATCAATGGGAATAGCAAGGCTATCAATGGCTGCAAGTCAGGATGGATCCTTTATCAAAGGCAGTATGCTCTGAATTCTACTTGCTGCTGATTAATACTACTGCTAATAATAATAATAATAATAATATGCATTTATCCCTCACATATGACTCAGAAGTCTGGGGAGGAGAATCACGATGGGTCATTCATACTTCCTCCTTCACCATGGAAGAGCCTGATAGATATTAATCCAAAGTGTCGCTAATCAAACCTTTTTAAAATCACTTTCTGCTTTGCATTTCACAGAAACACACTGATGAATGGGGTCGAACCGTCTTTGAGTACAGAACACGCAAGACAATGCGGTTGCCGGTGATAGATATCGCACCCTTCGACATCGGCGCTCCCAATCAAGAATTTGGTGTGGACATTGGCCCGGTTTGCTTCTTATAAACCCGAGAATCATGCTCATTCCGAACCCCAACAAACAAATTCACACTCCCATCTTTGCTCTTCTTGTCTTAACCTTGTCAGCTATTAAGAGTCAAATCAACTGTATCCCAGTTATTTATTTGCAAAAAAATTCTGGAGAGAGGGAGGAAAGAGATAAATTGACATAAAAAATGCCATTTTCTTATTTTGCTCTTTACACGACATGCAACAAAATCCCTTCTGCTGTTTCTTTCACCAAAATTGGAAAAAAAAACCTTCCAACAGTATCTCCATGGTGCTACATTACAACCTCAACACTCAGTACAGCAAAACTGTAATTATAATTGAATGCTTGCCCATCAGTCAAGCACTGACGGATTCCAGCATCCAAGTTTGCCCTCCAATATAAGATGCAGTTCATAAAGCTAGAGAGAATTCCCCGTTTCAACTACCTCAACATGGACAGAAACTGGGATGAGTTTGATGATTCACACCAAGAGAACCAACTCAAAAGATGTTGGAACCAATGAATACATCTGGTCAGGTGGTTTTGTTTCTGTACTGATTATTGATGAACAGAGTACAGTCCATCTGAAGAAGTGAATGCCCCTAGTGTCAACAGACTAATATAATTTTATTGCTGGACTGCATTGTGTGATTTTTTTGATTTATTTTTTTTACCGGGTGCTCCTATACTTTCCTGTCATTGCTGGTCAAGACCACTAAAATTAGGGAAGTGTAAAAAGATTAATGTGATGGTGCTAGTTGTGTGATTTTTTTCCACTTCTAAATCTGTGAGCCAGGTTTATTGGCTTGCGTTAAAATATCAAGGCTTGACAACAATTGTAAATGTCTCTCATCAAAAGTCGTATTGTCGGTAGGCCATTGCTGAGGGCTTTTCTTCCTTCCCTCTGTAAAAGTCAATAAAGATGCAAAATCGTGAGCTTCTTTTGTCACATTAACACATTTATAGTGTTGGAGGTTAACCATCTTTGTAAGCTTTTATATGGTTGTTGGTCTTTTCCTTACAGAGACACATAATAAAATATTGTAATAAAACTCTAGCGTTGCAGTTTATGTGTTTTGCTAGATAAATCTCTTTCTGTAGGTTTCATCAACAATGAATTTAGCATAATGATCATTTATTTCTTCAGTACCATCCAGGTCAATGGCATTTTACAGAGGAGCACAGCAAACTAGGCAAGATCTCCAAAAAGGAATTTTACAATCTACATTTCAACTGAGGAGCGGGGTGGAGCAGAGAGAGAATAGTGGGGGCGGAAAGGGAGCAAATGCAGCTTCATGTATTTAGCAGGGCCGTCTTACCCATAGGCGCTAGGGGTGCAGGGCACCCGGGCGCCAGGCTCTCAGGGGCGCCAGGCCGAGAGTCCAGGGCCCGAGAGTTGAGTCCGGGGAAGAGCCCGCCCATTGGTCAGAGTGCCACAGCGGGCTCTGCTGCTGCGGGAGGGGAGGCTCTGTGCCGTGAGTTCAGGGGCGACCGAGCCAGCGAGACACTGAGGCGGCCGGCTGCCTCCGCCCACCTGCATGCCTGGGACTAGGCAACTGGAAGGGGTGTTGAGCGGATCTTTGCACCCTGACGCCGCATATGCTTAAGACAGCCCTGGTATTTAGATATCATTTGGCTAAAGATGGGAGCAGATAACGGCCAAAGGGGAGGGATTTGAAGGGAAGCGTTATCGTTGCTCTTGAAAAAGAACATAATTCTTGCAGGCTTAAAAACATTCAGCTGCCAGTTGGCACAATTTCCTTTCAAAGGAATATATTTTGTGTTGAGGCAGGTGCTACACTACCTAGATCAGCCTTTCCCAACCTGATACACTCCAAATGTCTTGAGCTCCAACTTCCATCAGTGATAGCCAGCACAGGCTGCGACTGCGAGGGAGCATCCCGTGGCCTCTCCATGGCCTCCACTGATGGCCTCCTTCCTTGGGCAGCTCATAGTGGCTGCTGGAGAGTGAGCAAGGAGGAGGGGAGGCAAGAACCACCAAGATCCAGCTTTGTATGACATGCCAGCTCCAAGAGGTAGGCAGAGGGCAGGGCCAGCCTTGGAGGGAAGAAAGGTGAAGCAGAGCACAAGGAGTCTTAATTTCTTTTCAATTTCTTTTTTCAAGACATTTTGTTCATTTTACTAATAAAGAGAACAAATAAACACACATCAATAAAGTCATACTGGATCCCAAGACTTCCCCCCATCCCATCCATGGAGTCTTATTTTGAACATCTACAACTGCATATTAGTCCGTACTCCAGTTTTTTTTTTATATCAAACCATATTGTCCATAATGCTTTTTACACTACAAGTGAGTCAAAATCCTGCTCTTGTTTCCATCTGCTTACAGTGGTCTCCTAAATAACTTACAAATTTTTCCCATTCTTTTATAAAGTTTGTATCCTCTTGGTTTCCTGAGGTTTCCCGTCAGCTTTGCCATCTCAGCATAGTCATGGCTTGCCACTCTTCTCTGCTAGGGACTTTGCCATCTTTCCAACTCTGGGCCAATAGCATCCACGTGGCTGTTGTTCCATATCTTAATTTCTATTTTTTAAAAAATGCTTTGTGCATCCATGTCTAATCCTGCAGTTATTTACTGGTGTGTGGTTTTCTTTTTATAAATCTACCAAAGAAAAAATAATACAACACAACACAACACAATATAATATATATTAAGGGGTTTCCTTAGGATGGTTGAAAGCAGTTGGGGAGGAGTGATAAATGTCCCTATTTTCATCTGAGAAATCATCATCATTTTTTTATTTGCATGCCACCTTTCCACAGTTAAAAAGCAATGCTCAAGGCGGCTTACAGCATAACAAGATTTACAAAATTACAAAAGTCATAAACAATAAATAAACCAAATAAAAAAATACACAACCAAATGGGAAACAATTTCCACATAAATCAAAATCTAAAACTAAGAATACAGCATTAATATCACAGTTTAAAATGACATAGGTAAAAAAATAGCAGCAATTTAAACAAAAAACAAAAACAAAAAGGAGCCCTCTCTACCCAGCAGCGGCAGTGGCAGCGGCCGGCAGTAGCAGCAGCAGTCCTTTATAGAGCCCATCAGGCCCTGCCCTAGGCCAGGTGTTGAGTGGCCAGACTCGGGCCCTCAGGTGCTGAGCAGGGGAGTCCTCCTGGGTGGTAGCCGCAGCAACAGAAATGTTGGAGGACATGCATTCATAACACCGCCACTTCCCGAGACAGGGCAGGCATCAGTTTTGTGTGGTCCATGATGTGTCATCATGACCCTACCTCCATGCCATGGACAACAGGCAAGCTACAGATTCTCTCATTTGTCCTCCTGCCCCTTCCCTCTATCAAAGTCTGCTGCTGGTGGAGTGAGAGGTGTGCTGGGTGTGGAGGAGGTGAGGTGTTGCCTCCACCAACCAAGGAACCAGAAGTGGCGGCAAAACCGTGAACGGAACAGAATTTATTAATTTCGGTCACAGACCGGTTCCAGCTCACATACAATATCACGGAAGTCATAAAACACAATAGGGATACATTTGAATTTGCAGTTGGGTATAACAGGGGCAATACAGATATAGCAGCAGTTAAAAATATATAAGTTAAATCTTAAGCACTAAAATATAACCTAAAATTGTCACTTAAGGCCTTAGTCATTACGGTAGCACAGCTTGTTCCCTAGGTTTTACGGCAGTCACGCAGAATTTGGCCATCCTTAGCGTGAACTCTGGATCCCTGTCCTCTACCAGGGATTTTAGACATTGGAGTTTGGATCCATTTGGAGATTTTTGCATAGCAGGGATGATAAATGCAGAGTGTATATCGCCGTAGAAACCACAGCGTAACAAGGTATGAGAGACAGTTTCTACCTCCATCAAGCCACAGGGGCAGACTCGTTCCGTGTATGATTTACCCTCGAATCTGCCCTGCCATAAGGCAGATGGCAGCACGTTGAATCTAGCGAGGGTAAACAACTGTCTGTATTTAAGTATTTGTAATTTTGACAGATATTTTGTTGAGGTGAACCCTCTCCCATTATCTTTTATTGCTGGGTTTTTATTCGTTTCACTCACGTGACACACCATGAACAGAGAAGCTGGAGTAGGAGCAAGCAAGTGCTACTGGTCTGTCAACAAGGCAAGTGCCTGACTGTGTGACCAGGTGCCAACAGGCCTGGCCTGAGATACCACACAGTTCTCTCTTTTTTCCAATTTTTTTTATTAATTTCCCACATTTGTAACAAAAATAACATTACAAAACACACAACAAATAAAAAACACATTTCAATACAAAAAACTAAACACAAAAAACAATTGCTTCTTCAGATACCTAATTTTTATAACACTGTAAACTGACTTCCTCTAATCCCTTCTAACTGAATTTCATTATATCACTTATGTAACAGTTCTTCAAATTCATATTTCTAATAATATTAGAAGATTCTGGAGAGCCAGTGTGGTGTAGTGGCTAGGAGCAATAGACTCGTAATCTGGGGAATCGGGTTCGCGTCTCCGCTCCTCCACACGCAGCTGCTGGGTGACCTTGGGCTAGTCACACTTCTCTGGGGTCTCTCAGCCTCACTCACCTCACAGAGTGTTTGTTGTGGGGGAGGAAGGGAAAGGAGAATGCTAGCCGCTTTGAGACTCTCCTTCAGGTAGTGATAAAGTGGGATATCAAATCCAAACTCTTCTTCTATTAACTCCTTTCATATACTAACCTCTTCTCCTTCATTAGTATTCTAATCCTTAGTGCTTACTACTACATATTCTTATTCTAATCTCAAACCTAATTGTTACTCCAAGTACATTCTAATTATCTCATATTACAATATTTAGCTAAATATTCTTTAAATTTCTTCCAGTCTTCTTGTGTCTACTCCTCTTTCTGGTCGCAAATTCTTCCACACATTTCTCATCTTCAACTCAGGCAAAGATTTCTCATAATCCCACAAATCCATCAACACTTTATGAAACTGTTTTAACGTAGCCTATCAATGCAACATACCTTTTGCAATGAAGAGGAGTTTCTTGAGAGAATGAAAACAATTCTTTTATCAATATTCTTCGGCGGTGCTTGGACGGATGCTGCTACACATGGGCACTTGGGAAGGCATCCGTTTATATTGTTTCCACAGCCAACTCCCCTTTCTCCCAGGAATCTACACTGACATATTCACACATGCTCCAGCATTAGGCAGGGTCAGGTCTCTGCCTTGGGCAGCAGAAGCCTCCCAGGTAGCACTCTCATCGGCTCCCCACTGCCCTATCACACACACACACACACACCCCCGTGATGGAGAAGAAGCACCGCCATCGACATTGATTTTGGGCAGGTCCGTGTCCACGCTGGGTGAGAGTTCACCTGAAATCGGCGCCAATGGCAGTGGTGCTCCTCCACCAGCGGTAGATGCAGCAGGGGGCTCGGTGGCAGCAAAGCGGGTAGTGGTAGCAGCAGCAGCTATAGTGGTGGCGGGACATGTGGCAGTGGCAGGGTAGGGCAGCACTCCTCGTTTCACCTCAAGCAGTGCAAAGGAACATGCTGCCCCTGGCATGTCCACACCCTAAAGCAGAGGCAGTTAACCTTTGGCCTTTTAGGTGCTGCTGGTCTATAGCTTCCATCATCCCTGACTACTGGCCATGTTTGCTAGGTGAGTTGTAACTAGAGAGAGAACTCCCGGTTATTAGGAAGAGTTTCAGAGGGTCCATTGCAAAAGATATAAATTGTCAGGCTTCAGGGAATCAGCTTCCTCCCCCCCCCCCCGGCAGTAGAACAGCAGCCACGAAATTAAAAGACGCCTGCTTCTTGGGAGAAAAGCAATGACAAATCTAGACAGCATCTTAAAAAGCAGAGACATCACCTTGCCAACAAAGGTCCGTATAGTTAAAGCTATGGTTTTCCCAGTAGTGCTGTATGGAAGTGAGAGCTGGACCATAAAGAAGGCCAGTCGCCGAAGAATTGATGCTTTTGAATTATGGTGCTGGAGGAGACTCTTGAGAGTCCCATGGACTGCAAGAAGATCAAACCTATCCATTCTTAAGGAAATCAGCCCTGGAAGGACAGATTGTGAAGCTGAGGCTCCAATACTTT